TAGAGCTCGGACAGATTCAACTCTTAACAGAAACTTCCATTGAATTCCCAAATTGTGATACATGTTTCATTGTACCCAGGTCAAGTATCAACTTTTCTTAGACACAATTTTCAATGCATCAAATTCCTACATATTGAAGCTTGTTTGTGGTACTTACCGTAGCAGCCTTTTCAGATTTAAGTCGCTTTTCAACAAAGCTGGCAAGTTTCTTTGCGTAAAGTTTTCCAGATTCACTGCATTTCAAAGTTGCAAAAGGTTATGAGAAACAAATTTTCACATTTATCATGAGGTGATCTCACAAAAAAAAATTGATCATACGAGGAAGTAGCAGCAAGACTTGTCAAGCAATCTAAGGGATGGATTCATAGAGAAAACAGATGTGATGGAAAAAGAAAAGCCGAAACCATAGGCATTTGGAAGAGGCAGAGCAGAGAACATACCTTATTACGCTATCTCCTCCAATTCTGCCTCTAACATTATCCATGCTTTCTCCATGCCGAGTGAGTAGTATTGGTCGTGGGGTTAGATGGGTATTAACCTAGAAGAAAAATCAGCGCCTCAAATGATGTCATGATCACTCTAGGTTATTTTTATATAATTAGATGATGAATGTTGAGTCTGTTGGCGATGGACACAGTGATCCATGCAAGTATATTACTTGTAAGCTGATTTTGCATGTTGCAAATAGGCTAAAGACATGTCAATATAGAGAACAAGTAAGAGATATATAGACTATTTAGTTCTGTATAGCAAATTTGTACCAAGAAAAACACAATTCTCCCAGGAAGGTAACCACTAATATTGTTCACCTGCAATAAAAATAGAATAAAAGTCACGAAGAGTCAAAACTATCAAGTACCATATCGAGATTAAGACAAGATGAAATAGCCATGTGGAAGGCCAATTTTTTAACAGAAACAGATAGAGACGTACTTGTATCTGTCCACCGTTCCCGCTGACCATATCAATCATTTTGATGTAAGAACCTTCTTCTACAGGCTCATAAACCTGGAAAAAAAAAAGAGTAAGCTCAACAATTGTATCAAGTACCAAGACGATAGTGCATCAAAGCAAAGTTAACTAATCTTTAAAAAGTAATTAAGACACGATTACAAAGTGCAGGTTTGTGTACCGACCCTTTCATAATTGGCTAAACGGTCTCTAAAGTCTCGTACTCCAGCTTCAAAATCCATTCTGCAGAGTAGCATAAAATAAGTTGACCAGTGAAAGAGGACGAAAAAATTTAAGTTACAGAGCGAGTGTCGTACTCTTCTGAATAGTCAGGACTTTGCTGGATTTTAAGACGTATGTTTCTTTCAATAATGCGCTCATCATTGCATAGTGTTTCCAGAAAAATGATCTGCATAAGAGATAAAAGGTAAATCAGTTACGAGGATAATTCCAAATCCAATATTAGCCGAAGGTAGCTATGCAGCATTACAAGCGCTGCATCATAGAAATTCTTTGAAAATAGACAATGATAACCAAGCATGCTTTCTGCAGAAGAATAACCGTGCATTATATGAGAAACAACATCACAGCATATTAAAGCTTCAATACCTTACACTTTCCTTCAGCCATTTTCATCAACATATTCCGCCGAACTCGTGTGCTATTAGTTGCATCAAAGATTCCAACCTACAGCTAAAAACTATTTACAATGCAAGATATAAAAACCAGGAACTTACATCTAAACCGAAAGATACTTACTTGACCACCTTCTTGCATCCAAGCTATCATGTCCTCCATTGCCAGTGCTGCTACCTAGTGGCATGTGACATATTAAAACTATGTGCAAAGAAGAAGATAAACAGTGTTAACATTGACCACTGAATTAAAATATGACGAATTTATGTTAAAATATCATAAGAACGATATAGACACACAAATTAGAAGAGACAGTCGAAAAATGGTTTAACTAAATTATTCAATTTTTCATTTACCTCAGTCCGTGCCTCTACACCTTCAGGATTGTCAGCTCGGAAGAAATCAGCACTCTACAAAAGGCTCATTCGTTGTTAACCACAAATCGTCCTAAAGGAGGACATAAACTTATAAAACCTCGGTTTAAGAACCAAGTCTTACCATGTTAACTCCATGTTTAAGCCGTCGGTACTGCAAAGAGACGGAGCAATGTTTGATTCAATCTTTCCAATAAGGGTTGCGTAATGACAGGGTACGCTAAAAAAAAATGATCGTTGCAACAAAATAGCTAACCTTTCCAACATTAAAATGTTTAGTATCATGTCCCAACCAGCGTAGATATCTTGTCAACTTTGCTGCAGTAAAAGTCTTTCCCCGAGCTGGCAAACCGACCTAAAACAATTTTGACGGGAATGGTGTGAATCAGGACATCCAGTCTCTTTTTTTTTTTTTTTCCCATCTTCGTTTAAAAGTTAAATAAAATAGCCAGCCACAACAACGTCCAGCTCCTAACAATCAAACTAGGAAACATAAGCTAAAAGACAGAAACTATGAAGCACATCAATGTGGCTAAAAATACCAGGACAATTGCTAGATGTCTATCTTCTTTCGGTCCAAGCATTTGATCAGCTACCGCTGCTGCGGCAACAGCTCCTGCAGCGGCTGGCATTGAATTCTAACAATTAAAACGAATAAAAGGGTGAGAACAATATAAAACATTCTTAAATTTCAGATGACCCTACTAAAAGATAGAAACTAGGTCAGGCCAAACCTTGGTTTGCTTGGTATCAACCAAAAAAGAGCTTGCGCTAAGAGACTTGACTAGCCTAGGGGAGCCAACACCACGATCAACAAAGAGTCCCTTTTGACCATCTTTCTGCTGAAACGGTGAGAGTGTTCCCATTGACTTTGACTCAGCCTCTCCTGAAGCCGAATAGATATCTGAAGAATCGGGAACAATGACCTTCATTTCCTATGGGTGAGATGTATGACGATGATTAAATAAGAAAGGCGAAAGTTAATTAATGGAGGATCTGCATCTACCACGCAACTAAACAAAGTGGTACCTTTGCAGATGGAGATCCATCAACCGTAACACCAGAATCTTCAGAACTATTCTGTGCTGCGTTTTTAGGACTGTCATTAATAAATGAACCAGAAGCTGAAAGAGATCGTGGATTCTCTGCATTGTCCGCCGCATAAACAAGGTACGAGTTTGCAGAAGGTGTAGGAGCAGGAACTTCATAATGCGCAAGATCGAGCTCCAAGCTTTCTAAAGGACACTGCTATGAGACATCAAAGAAAAATTTAATTTTCAGGATTGGCCAACAAATTTCGTTCTCCCCATGGAAATTCTAGATTGATATCGCAAGTTGCAGTCAAATTTTTTGAAATCACGCATAAAAAGGAGGCACATAAAACCATTCCTGCTGATTCAGTTGACATAACCAGCACATCACTGATAGATAGAATCGCGGTAAGAACAAAGAAGTAGAAGAACAAACTACCTCAACAGATTCTGGATCAGGATTAATGCTGACATCAGGAATTCCACGTACAGTAGAAGGCTGGAGGTTCTCCCTATAAGCTCTCCAACTAGTAGCAAGATCAAACGGAGAAACTCTGTCAGCGTTGATGAAGACACGGAATTCAACAATCACATCACCTTCCAGCCTAAACAGAGCTAATCTAGCATCTCCTTGCAACGAACCACCAGTAAGAAGCCTATTTTGACCCTCCTCCACTATGCAAGGCGTATTTCTGTGCTTTGGCTTCAACAAAAACTTGAAATCCAAAGTCTCTACACACCAAAAAAGGCGATGCAGAAGCTTAGATTGTAGAGAAATCATTGGAATTGAACTAATATGCTAAACGAGTCCTCCAAATTGAGTAATACCGTGATCAGGAGGAACAACGAAGCTTATTTCCGACATTGACGCCGATTCACGTTGCATCGGAAGCTGTTAAAGAAAAATTGAGAAAACGACGACGCAGAAACGCAATCAAATTGGAGATGGATGAATCGGAAGGAAAGACGAAGAAGATAAACAAAAATCAAACCGATGCTCACAGCTTTGGAAGGATCCCAGGAACCGATGAGAGGAAGAGAGCCATAGACATGAGGAGTGAGCTCGCCTTCAACCTTAGAGTTTTCCATTTTGAGTGAAACGTAGAGCTGACCACCTCCGCCATTGGAACCATCGTCATCTTCCTCAGTATTCTTCGATGCACCGGACCCCATCGAAACTACCGTCTCGATTCTCCTTTTCCGTACTTTTTTTTAATTTGAATTAATGAAGAAGAAAAAGATGCGTAACAGATGATGAAATCAAACGGATAAGAGATTTGAGAGAAAGAGAAGAAGCGAAGCCGCTTGCTCCGCAGCTTTTTTTCTTTTTTTCTTTTTCCTTTTTCCGGAAAATTTCGGTTTTTCTCAATGGTACATTGGGATAACCGGATAAGAGCAAAATACGTGGTGGTTGGTTACTTGGTTTGGGTTCATTTTGGGCTGGGCTTGTTTGTTGCTTATTGGGCCTATGTTGCCGACTGGTGAGCGAGCCTTGTCACTCTCCTTCAGAGTTCAGAAGATCCTCTCAATTGTCTTTTGAGCGCCATTAATTTCTCTCTTTTTTTGGGTTTTAGGCGCCTGAGAATTTCTATACACTCAAATTACAAAACCGATGGTGGTGAGCAAAAACTCGAAACTGCCGAAGAAACTGGAATCAGAGTCGTCCCGAGGTTTGCTCTTTGGCTTTTCTGTTTTTTTTTTTTTCGTTTTCGCCTGAAGTTTTCCGTCGGATTGAGACTTGGTGTCTGTTTGGTCGACTTCTAGCCTCAAAATTAAATTTGATTGTGATATTGGATAATGTGTTTGATAGGTGTTAATATACTGTATATGCTTCAATATCTTAAAAATAACTATGACTCCAGAGGTGTTATAGTATTAGTATCTTCAAGTTTCAATTTCTGGATTTGAGTGTGGGCTTTGTTTCTGTGTTAGTTGGCTAATTGCTTTGGAAATTTGGGATGAACAAGATATTTAGACATTAAAATATTTGCTAAAGGAAACAAGGCTTCAATAGTACAATAATTTAGTCCTCTAGTTTCTTACATGTCTACTGCGTCATAATTGCACAAGTCTTTGATACTCGAAGATGTCAACAGTTACATCTTATCCTCTGGTTTCACGTGTAGTGATCTTCTTCAGCTCACGAAATATGCTTAATGTTTCTCCGTCAAAACCGCCCGCAAACTGAATTGAATTGATGTTAGGAAAGAACCAAATAGATATGAACATGGCTTTTAAAGCATATTAGTTTATGACTTTTTATGTACCTGGTGTATTGTGTAGGCAAATCTAACCCCTTGAAGCATAAGACTTCGTTCTTTAGCACTTCCATTTGTTTCCAGTTCGTTGGCTATTCGCTTCATGTACTCCTGAGCTAGCCTCAACGACCTGTATTTTAGCTGCAACAAGGTAAAGGTTCCTCAAATCTTCCGTCAAAGTAATTTTTCTTGAAGTTGGTAAAATGGCTGATTCCTTGTATATTATATGGAATCTTTAGTTTTCATAGTTTTTTTGTGCAACTAATGGTGTCTTGTTAGTAATAATAGTATACCATACTCCAGACTTTGTTAGTAGTGTTCTTTTTCAATCATAATCAATTGATCAGATTTTATTGGTATACTGCAGCTATCAGTCACCTACCTGTCCAATCAGTCCTGTGTCGAGCATCCATTCCCACGGTATCTGAAAGTCCTTGTATCTCTTCCCTGTACTGTCTCTCATCTTCTCTGTGTTGTTAATACTTTCCTCTAACCTGAAATGTGAAGATTTAAGGCGATTAATTCTTGTAATTGGTTAAGATCAGGAAGTTGCTAGTAGTTATATTCTTTATACATACTTGCCTGTCTTGCAGCGATTGAATCCTTTGCAAGGCTTGCGTCAGAGATTCCTTTGGATTGTCCTTAAATGACAAAATCTCAATTTCAAGGTTCTTTAGCCTTTTGTAATTGCAAGCAGCCTCTCTTAGGGAATCTGCTTTGCGTTCTGGCCATTTAGGGAAATGCTTTAGGACTGCCCTTTCATCAACCAAGGAAGATAGTTCTTCGTCTATCCATTTCACAAATGTCTCCACTTCTGATATGTCTGTAAATGTTGCAGCCTCCACCTTACTAATCAAGATATGGATATGATCTCTGTGTCTGTCAGTGTCAGATTTAATCTGCAAATGCGCAAAAACTGTTAGGAGATCTTTTTTGGCCCATGTTAAATTTGTTAATACAGTTTCAATGGTTAGTAGAAACTCTGCACCTAGATAAGAGTTAAACTCTAGGTTTGTGATGACAATTAAATGAATCCATATGGTTTCTCATCTAACTCTTCTAAGTTATGATCAAAGTTTATACTGTACAGTACTTACATCTGAAAGATATTTGGAGCGATTCTCGATTTCACCAATCATGTTTCTGCTGAATGCAGGTGACAAAACTCCATGTTGATTGACCTTGTTTCCCATACGAGACTCTCTCTTCGTCAAGGCACGATAAAACTCTACAACTTCAGGAGCACGCCGCACAGATCTTTTTCCAAGTGTTGTCTTTGATGGAAGTGGTGGAGGTGGCGGCGGCTTTATTGCTGTAGGCTGTTCTTGGACCATTGGCTTGGGGTTTGGATTCCTTATCTCTTGACCCTTTGTGTTGGATTTGACACTCTCTGGCGCTTTCAGGTTAGATCCGTCTGTGTTGCTGCCATCATATGAGCTCTGCAACTTCTTCCATAACATTGATTTCCTCTCATTGTCATGTGCTTTAAGATTGCTTACTTGTGCTCTTAGACGGGCAACTTCTTGACGCAGATCATGATTTTCCTTCTCCAGCTTATCGTTCCTCACTAGAGAGGCTTGAAGCTCCTTCACCAGACGCATGAGATCCGAATCATCTTCTCCATTAGGTAACATGTCTGTATATCCCCCTTGTTGTAGTAGATGTGGGATTGAGTTTGCTTTTCTTAGGGGGGGCAATTTTTCTCCTTTTTATCACATGCCTTTAAATTACTTCCCAAAGAAGCATCATAGACTCACCTAAACCTTTGATGTTCACTTTTGCGTGTGGTTAGTTGCAAATTACAAGTGTACTGTTAGACTGAACTGGAATCGAACCTGGAATACTGGGAGTTTACGGTCTAAGCTCTTTTGTGTTGGAAACTAAGGTAAGCATCTTGAATGATTACATTCAAGATTAGTCATCAAAGCTTTGATGCTCATGGTTTATCTAATTCCTTTTTTATAAATTTTGCCCTTTTTGTAAATTGCAGATTAAGTTTGAAGATCCTCTGGGTCCGCAAATAAGTCACAGGTAAGCAAATACATAACTTAGCCTTCCTAATCACATGAGAAGCAAAGATAGATAAGCTAATTTATTATGCCCGCAAGGAAACGAGCCATTAGGTACCTGTATGACTTGTGTCTCAAGTATTTGTCATTTGTTCATGAAGTTTCGTGTCTCAGTCTCTCACCCACTTATAGTCCACGTCGTAAGTACACGTATGGGTGTTTTTAAATCGCCTTTTCATAATTCATTTCTTGGTATCGTCATAGACTAAGCTTTCGCTCTACATTCTTTCTAATTTAATAAATTGAGTTCACTCGTTTATACAAAACTACATTTCTCTTTTGTCATATTTACATAACAAAGTTACACATTGGAGGCATTTATTGTGTGACTATACCATTCTTTGCATCTGAAGCAAAGTTAGACTCGAAAATGACATCGCACCATTCAATAGTTTCTCCTATTTTTTATTTTTTTTTCTTGCTTTCATCTTTTTGTTTTACGCGATTCTAGAAAACCAAACCTTTTTGTGTCGTCAAAGCAAAAGTAAACACGAATTATGTTTTGTCTTTTTATTTCTTAAGATCATTTTGTAAAGTGAGTCTGTCAGATAGATTGGAAATTTTGCTGGGTGCTGGTCTGCATCATGTAGTGAGAACTCAAAATTGTCATTTATCATGCGATGGTTTCTTTAGTAGCTTCTAATTCTTGAGAAGGTTAAGTAAGCACCTAATAACGTTGATGTCCAAACCTAAAAAAGAGAAAAATTGAACCCTGATAGATTCCATTAATCAATTGGTTCTGGAAATTAACAATCCTCCATAGAAAACGACTACTCTACCACAAAATGAATAAAAGTTTAATCCGAATATGCACAACAGTAAAGTTATAGAAAAATGTTTAAACATCCTTTTATGATTTTTATTTTTAAAAAATCAGCAATTAATTCCAGTTTCTGAATATCGTTTGGCCACAATATAGCTTTCTAGAACTTCGATTTCCCGCCCTAATATTCATTGTTATGTTAATTAATGTTCATCTTTTGTCTTCTCACCAGTTACAGCCATGGATCGATCCCTCCAAAACACACACGCGAAACTCGTGGCGCGTGACATCCATCGCCTGACACAGTCACCTACAGAATCCAACTCTTTCTCCCTACTTGGCGGCGCGTGTGTCTCACGCGTAGAGACAGTAGGCACAATCGTCTCTCGTGACCTGACCCCTAAGTTCCTCAAGTTCGGCGTCGACGATGGCACCGGCTGCGTCACGTGCGTCCTATGGCTCAACCAACTCACGTCTTCTTACTTCTCCCGGTGGGATCCAGACACGATTCTGCTGCTCGCTAGTGCCGCGCGGAAACAAGCCGCAGCGATCAGAATAGGAGCCGTGGCTCGCGTTCGTGGCCGCGTCGGCTCGTACAGAGGAGTGATGCAGATCACGGCTACTGTGGTGGTGGTCGAGAGAGACCCGAACGCGGAGATCTTGCACTGGTTGGAGTGTTTAAGGCTCGGTCAAAGTTGTTATCCTATTCAAAATTAATCAGCTCCTTTTTTGTTGTAAGTTAATCAACTTTGAAATCTAAAGTCAAAGGTAACTCATGAAGCAACAACGCAAGTGCCTTTTTCAAAGTCTTATCATACACAGTTATACACCCCTGATATCACAGTTTTTTCCTCTTTATTGAAACTTAAATTGACAATTTCCTCTTTATTATATACCTATTTTGTTTTGTTTTTGTTCATTGCAAATAAGCTTTGGATTGATCATTTACTTAAATATCGTGGCAATAGTAAACTGAGAACTGGAAAGTAGGTATGTTGTGGCATAAACTCTATTACCCATAATTCTTTAGGCCCAGCCTGAGCTTAAGGCAAAAAGAATTGGACTTTTTGTTATGTAAAAAAAACTTTGGACACTTTTGGAATCTACATCACAATATCTCTTTTTTTTGTATGAAAATAAACAATTTCTTGTTTAAACTTTCCCATTACAAACGGCACTTTTTTTTTAAAAAAAAAAAACACACTAAAAATCTAAAATAATTCGCACTAAATACGAGTAGAATCCACATCAAGAATCGCTTTCTACAGACTGTATATTAACAATTTACACCTTACCGTTAGCCCAAATAAATAATAGACCAAACCAGACTGGACAATAAACATAAACGTTATAAAACCAAAAATAAAATAAATGGCCAACGATTACTCTGAACCCTACTGAACCAAGACTAAACCAGCTAAAACCGATAAAGCCAACCAACCGAACCCACACACTGTTCCTCGAAGATTCCTGCTGCCGCTTGATCTATGTGATCCTGCCGATCCACCACCACCACCCGTATGAATCGGAACCACTCCTCCGCCGCGTTGCCAGTCACGGCTGCGGCTGCTACTGCTGCCACCTCCTCCTCCCCTGCTGCTACCGCCGCTTCGTCCTCCACCTCCTCCGCGTCCCCCACCTCCTCCTTTTTTGATAACGACAGCTAATTCCCGAGCCTTTCCTTCAAACCCAACAACGTCTGGCTTTGAAACAGTAAAAGGGAGAGCCTCGTGTTTTGTATCGACTGAGGAAGGTCGTGAGCTCACGGAAGTAAGATTGTGCTGAATATGAAAGATGAAGAGAATGTACAAAACCAACCATGTTCTTCTCAAACCCATTTTCTTAATCTTTTCTTTTGTTTCTGTGTATTAATCTCACTTTCCACTTTGATTTATTTATATAAGCCTCATGAAAGAACTTAAACGCGGCAAAAGTGGTTGCCAGCAGTTTCGACGTAGTCTCTCATCATTATGATGCTGCCACGAAAATATCCAATAAAGATTTATACTTATCTATATTTATATTTATTTACCTTTATTTTTAACAATATAGATTTTATGAAGGACCAAACAAATAAAACAAGAATAATAGTGATTTTACAAAAGGTTAATTGGGATAAAAGTGTTTCCACATGTCGTGGATTAAAAAAATAATCCATCTAAATTCATTTCTGGTATTTTGTTAATTTTTAGATAGCAAATAGAAATAAATAGCCCGATTATAAAAAATAAATAAAGAAAAGTTTGGCCGCGTGTACAAGTTGACTGACGAGGTCCCTTTTGGGTATAGAGAAAAGAGAAGTGATTGGTGACAACTTTCATATGTCTACCAATCTTGATTTTTAGAATTTGAATCTTTTGAAATGTTCTATTCCCTAGATATTATCAGGAAATATCTTTGTACAAAACATGCTATTATTTATAAAATAAGATTTTTTTTTGTTAAAATAGATTAAAATCTTAATGTGTTTAATAAAGTTTCAACTCAAACCAACTTATTGCGGTTTTCTTAAAAGCATAAAGTTTAGATAAGAAGACACATACAAAAGTACTGAAAACAGAAAATATATTCTTCTTTCTAGGGTTTACATATATTAAAGTATAAGTAACCTGTCATTTTTTTAGTGAATAATAATTTTTTTTGTTCTTCCATATGAATTTTGAAAAAATTAGTTGATATGTCTGAATTTATCCAGTTAAGGGGTTATTATTCAATCATAAATTTAAATAAAATTTAAAAACCAAGCAATTTATTGTTATGTTTTAAATATGGTGTCATTCCTTTATGTTTGTATTTATCCAAAAAAAAATTTTAAGTGTTATACAATCATGAATTATGATATAAATCTACTCGTAATCCATTGTTATACATTAAAATATGGTCTTACTGGATATGATTTAGTAATTTTAACACAGTATAGTACAATGTCGGGTTTTCTTTCCGTGTACAGTGTCGGTATATAACACTGAAAAATTAATATTCTGTGTGTTTCATATAATTAAAAAGTAATATATATTTTGGATCTTCATCAAGACTAGCATCGACTTACACAAGTAGTAGATTGGCAATGACCTTGAAGATTAAAAAAATCAAATGCATCGGATTTTCAAAAGAAAAAAAATGGAGACTTCTGATTCTTGTCCATGGACAAACACATCTGTATCCTCAAAATAAGACAATCCAAAAAGGATCCATGAGAAAACTTAAAACAATGAAACCAATGTACTCTTTCAGATAACCAACTTGAAAAAATATTTTCTCCCGAATCTCTCATATCACCCCGACGCTTTAGACTCAAAAACTATAGACCCATAACGACTCAGCATTCAGCAAAACCCGACCCCAAGCGATCCCCCAACCACTTGATATGACTCGACAAAACATGTATAGATAGATAGTGCCAAGACAATGGTAGACTCTTGATGCATCAAAACATTTAGAGGCTAAATTACCTTGCCAGGATTTGGCAGCGTAAATGTTGATGCTTCTTAAGTTGAGGGACCAGTTTCTTCAATTTTCTTTTCTTCACCAGATTTCTCTGCCTCGCTCTCTTTCTTTTCTTCTGCTTTCACTTCAGTCTTTGCCGTCTCCACAGCTTTCGATTCGGTTTTCTCCTCTGTTTTTGTCTCTTCCACAGTCAATTTCTCAAGAAGACCAGCAGTGTCAGAGGCATCTTTGCTCTCTTCTTTCTCTTCTTCAGAGTCAGCAACTTCCTTGAACTTTTGCATAAATGTTTTGCAATCTGACAAGGAAAATAAGATGTGATTACCCAGGCAGATCTACAAAACTTTTCGGTTAATAAGATCAACAGCTCAGAAACCACTGAAATATACACCCAAAAACGAAAAACAAACAAACAGTAGATAAAGTTGGCATATCAAATTAGTTGCAGCCTAAATACATACTTGACCACCTCAAGATCAATATCTCTTTACAATGTAATAGCATAATCTAACCGCCACAGTACTTATTTCGACAATTCCTGAACACAATAAGGTATGCCGAGCTGATAGCAATTAACAGATCCAAAATAGCCTATGATGGAAGCTTTGAGAACCTCCAATTAACAAGTAGCCATATACCAATGCTAAGTTCAAGATCCTTCAGTAATCTAAGCCGTGAATCTATCAAATCTACTGAGACTAAATAAGGCAAAACACAAGCAACATAAAATAAATAAATGAGTACAAGCAGAAGTACATTGAATGATAACACAATTGCTAGATTAATATCAAACCTAACAATGAAAAAACATGCAAAATTCAATATCATACTCACTCTCAATTGAAGCAAATCGGATACAGAAAAGCTCATCTTTTAGTTCACCATCAGCAAAGTCACGAGCGTGCCACACACATGACTTTTCATTCCCAACGTGTTCCTGAACACTCATGCCCGATTTAACTGCAGAAATAGCAGAATCGGAAGATAAATTAAGTAAACACTAACTTAAATACAGATCCAGATGCAACTCAAAAACAACACATAGTACCCTAAACAGAAATTTTACCGAAGTGATTAGCACAGATCTTCAAAGTTTTCGATTGCCTCATAACGAGACGAATCTTCCCAGTGTTCTTATGCTTTAAGAGCTTCACAGTACCAGCTCCTCTCTCTTTCCACTGATTCGCATCCTTATCGAACCGATACAGCTTCGATTTCCTTTCGATTCACAAACAATAATTCAGTCAAACACACCAAAAAGTTAAACCCTATAAATCCGATCAGATCCAGTTGATCTAGATCACAAAAACTGTAGAGACCGATTAAGAAGATCACTTACAGATCGAGGATGGCGTCTTCGTCTTCCTCGCCGGTAGTGACAGCAACCTCCTCAAGCCTAACGATCGGAGCGACCTGAGCTCCGGTGTCCTCATCCTCGTTAGCTCCGGCCTCTTCCTCGTCTCTGTGCTCGTGCTCGGGTTCGTTGGTCGCCATAGTATTACTGAGATTTCCTCGTGGATTCAATTGTTCGCTACGGTGCGGCGTATGCGAGAGAGAGAATTTGGGGGTTTTGCAACACAGGAAATTGGAACGACTTATACCGCGTTGAATTGAAGCTAATAATGGGCCGATTTCTTATGAAACTAATATACATGGCCCATATAAACCCATAATATATATGGCCCATATAAACCCATAATATCATTAATATTTTGTTTTCACATTAAAATACAACTTTTTTGAGCCAAAGCTATTTTGGCTATAAACGTGAGTTACATTCGATCTCATCTCACCGCGTAAAAGATAGTTTTGTCGGATCCGAATCACATGTGCAAACAAACAAAACTTGAGGCTGTGATTAAAAGACAACGTTTCGAGTTTATTGTTATTATTATCACGATGATACTGATAACAACAATACATTATGAGAACAATTTCGCTAAAGACATATGTAGTATAAACCGTAATTTCCATTAATAAACGTAAAACCATCACTAATTCATTTGGCAGCAGCAGCGCCGCCGATCCCCCGTTTCCCGGCGGTGTATTCGGAGACACATAAACGTCAATTATCGCCCAGTCATCGGCCACGTCATCGTACGGATCCGATGATGTGTTATACTCCGATACTACCCTTGTCGATCCCGAATATTCCATTCTTGTCCCTTCCTTTTCCGAAAGGTGGCATCTGACTTCCACCCAACCATCTGATTCCCAAATTGCCCCTCCGGTCGTCGCCAAATTACAAATTCTTGCCATCGTCGCGTCTTCGAATTCTGATCTTCCTACTTCCTCCTCTTCTTCTTCTAAGTCAAACCCGGAGTTGACCCAGTCAAGTACGCAACGCGGAGATGACTCAGTCGGAGACGAGTTGTGACACTGAGACAAAAATGGATGCTGCAAAAGCTGATCGCAACTCCACCTCTGATTATGGTCTCGCTTCAGACACTTTTCTAGGAAGTCACGGCCGATTTCTGACAGCTTCGAGGGAAAAACCGGTAACTCGTCGGAGAATCCGATTCGACTCAGCGAGTCAATAATCCCATGGTCTTCCCAAGCGGGTTTCCCAGTAAACATCTCGATGATCGTGCAGCCGAGAGACCAGACGTCGCTCTCCGGACCTTGGTACTCTCGTCTGATCACCTCCGGAGCCATCCAAAGCGGGCTTCCACGTGGCGTGATCTGTGCTGTTGGTGTATGGATTCTGAACGCCGACCCGAAATCGGCTAGCTTGATCATGGAGCTTTGGCTGACTAGGACGTTTCTCGCCTTGACGTCGCAGTGAACGAATCCATGAGAGTGGACGTGGCGGAGAGCAGAGACAAGACACGCCGTGTAACGCTGGAGCAGAGTCTCGTCGTTAATTCCTCCAACAGCGTAATTAGCCACGTCACCTTCTGGTAGATACTCTAAGTAGAGATTCCTAAACGTCGTCGTTCCTTCTTTCGAGACTCCGTCGCCGAGAAACTTCACGATGTAAGGGTGAGGCTTGAGCGAGCAGAGGACAGAGATTTCGTTTTCGAGAGACTCTGATTGAGTGGGGAGACACGTGGTGAGATCCACGGATTTCACGGCAAAAACTTCACCGTTGGTTTTGCTGATCGCCGTACTAACTGCACCGAAGCAACCTCTTCCGAGACACTCACCACGAACCCAAGAAGAAGATGACATTAAAGAAGAAGAAGAAGAAGAAGAATAACAAGTGTTTCTGATGCTCTGTTTCTCCATGTGTGCCAACTTTCATATGTCGTACTTGTGCAACACGAAGCTATTTATATGCGTGTTTTGGAACTGTAAAACAGAAAATGTGAACGTGAAATAAAGTTGCAATTTTTTTTGTTTCTGACATGGACAATTCTTGTACACTTGTCTTTTCGATTTGTAAAGTCTCATCTTTGTAAAATTTCCCACGTGGATATGTCATGTACAACACAAACTTTCGAGTCTATCATTAGATTTTTGAACAAATTCTACCATGTTCGATGGTCGGTTTGGATTTTAACAAATTCTACCATGTATTGATATCTAGACTTTTAATCCTTGTAAATTTTTTACTTTGATGGAATGATTAGTCGTTTTTGTAAAAAGAACAGATAAATCAGAAAAGGATCATTTTAGAAATTAGAAGAAAATGTTTTATGTCACTAATGACACTGGGAGAAGTTCTCGGGATGTTTGTACTCCCTCCGTTTCGTTTTAGTTGTCGTTTAAGGTTTTTGCACACAAATTAAGAAAATCATTAAATTTTTTGTTTTACCCTTTATTAATATATTTTATAATTTTTTCATTGGTCAAAACATTAAAACATTAATGACAAAACATTAATTTTCACCAAACATTTGCATTGAAAACCTAAAACGACAACTATTATGAAACAAAATTTTAATTCTAAAACGACAACTAAACTGAAACGGAGGGAGTAAGAAACAAGGCACTTGCCCTATCTCCTTAATCCTTATCCAACAAGACTCAATCAAGTTGCGGTTTGATCTTGCCCGTTAATATTTTACTCACCAAAGATAAAATCACACACACCCTCTCGCTTCACGCAATCGTTTTCGTTTTTATAACCTCATCATTAAAAAATGGTCTCTTTACTAAGTGATCGGATCACCGATCGTGGAGAAGACAAATGAACAAAAACGTGCCTATAGATTTGGAACGCTTGATTTGTTGACTTATTTTCTAGTATGTTTCTATGTGGTTGACCTGACATGATCAGACATGGAATATACGGTAGTCGACGTACAAATCATTATCAAGGATTCATGAAACCAAACCATGTCTTAGCCAATCATAAGCAATGGACATAAATTAATTTATATTCGTAATCAATTAACATAAAGAAGGTGAGGGTGTACAGTAACAGAATATATACGCGAAGTAGAGGATATCCGAATAAATTATGGGTTTGTTTGCAAAGTAGTACGTTTTTGAGACTTAATTAGTAAAGTAGTCGGTTTACTATTTATAATTTGGAGAATAGTCGGTGAGACCAGTTTGTGAGATACAGAATTGTGAGATAGAAATATTAGTGGATTTTGGAAATGACCAAAAAGGGCTTTTGTGTTTATTCGTTTCATCTCTCGTTTCTTTTTTTTTTTTTTTTTTTTTTGATCTCTCGTTTCTCTCTCCATCAAAGCTCTGCAACTCTGCTCCATCTCTCTCCCAGCTCTCTCGTTTCTCTCTCCATCAAAGCTCTGCAACTCTGCTCCATCTCTCTCCCCGCTCTCATTGCTCTCTCTCTCTCTCTCTCCGCTCCATTTCTACAACTTTTCTCCATCTCTGCAACTCTCATCTATCTTCTCCAATGTCATAGCTTAAATCTCGCTTACCCTCTCTTACACAGCTCGATTACGACCAATTAAACACAAAGCCATTACGAGAAACATAGACAATTTTAGGAAATCCCTATAACAAATTAGAATTGGTTGATTTGTGGATTTCAATTCTAGGTTCGTTGGGTTTAGAAATTCATTTGTGAAATTAGAAATCAAGTCAATATCTACAAGCATGACCCCTCAATAATTACAAATAGGTCGATGTCTATAATTAATCAGATGATTTTTTGTTTGGAACATTTAGGATTGGTCGTTGCTTTTACTTGATATAATAAGTGAAATTAGAGTTTTTTTTTTTTTCTTTTGAGTTAGTTGTTGTTCTTTACTCAGGACTCTTTTGATTTCAATTTGGGGATGGTGCTCTCTATCAAAAGGTTACCGTTTACTTCTTCTTTGGTGTGTAGCTATTTCTGCGATTCTCATCGATTAAGGTTTATTTGTTGGGTTTTTGTTTAGAATTTGTTATTAAGTTGAGAATCGATTAAAGATGTTGTTGTAGGTTCTTGTAGTTACGTTTCTTGTAGCCATCATAGTTTCTTTGATCACATCGTTTTTTTAAGTTAATCTATACACTATCTTGTTCGTAATTGTAGAGTGTTGTCGGTGGCTGAATTGGAAAGCTATTTGGAAAATCGTTGAGAGTTTTCTTAGAACCGTGACGCCGTCGCTCAATCTCAAACGACACAAAGGCCAAGCTGATCAGTACTCTCCTTCGTCTCTGGATAATTGCTTCTCGGTTTAGTGTGTCTCTCCTTCTTGATTTAGTTAAGCAATATACTTTGGTGGATTAAGGGCTAGATAACAGTAAGAAGACCCTTTTCTTTCTCTTTTCCTAAGATTTTGTCTGTATAGTGTTGAAATAAATCTCCTAAAGTCACTTAATGTCAGGTCGATATGTATAGAGTTAAGTTAGAGTTAGACAGTTTCGATCTTGGAATAAACTCTGGTTAGAGTAAGAAATTCATTCTCAATTTAACTTGCCATGTTTTGCTGCGGATTATTTGTTACCTAGACAATGGGAGTAGAACTTAAATGACAATGGTTGATTTCACAGGAATAATCTATAGTACTACTAGATATCAACAAAGAGCAACAACTACTTGGAGACGCTCTTCTTGTATCTTGCTAGAAAATTGATTGGGGACAAAAAGACTTCACTTTGTGGAGACACGAGCGCTTGCTCCACCAGAGATTCACATTGACATTGATGATCACTAGAAGAATGAGGACGAGCTCTTACAGTCTGCAGCCCAGCACTCCCCATGTGCTCCTTAACTATATTGTACAAATCAAACTATCCCTCCATCAAATACATCGTCCAAATCAAACTAACTATCCGCCAAATGTACCATACAGATCGACTATCCATCCGCCAAATATACCGTACAGATCGACTATCCGTCCGCCAAATATACCGTACAGATCGACTATCCGTCCGCCAAATATACCGTACAGATCGACTATCCGTCCGCCAAATGTACCGTACAGATCGACTATCCGTCCGCCAAATGTACCGTACAGATCGACTATCCGTCCGCCAAATATACCGTACAGATCGACTATCCGTCCGCCAAATATACCGTACAGATCGACTATCCGTCCGCCAAATATACCGTACAGATCGACTATCCGTCCGCCAAATATACCGTACAGATCGACTATCCGTCCGCCAAATATACCGTACAGATCGACTATCCGTCCGCCAAATATACCGTACAGATCGACTATCCGCGTACAGATCGACTATCCGTCCGCCAAATATACCGTAAAGATCGACTATCCGTCCGCCAAATATACCGTACAGATCGACTATCCGTCCGCCAAATATACCGTACAGATCGACTATCCGTCCGCCAAATATATCGTACAGATCGACTATCCGTCCGCCAAATATACCGTACAGATCGACTATACGTCTGCTAAATATACCGTACAGATCGACTATCCGTCCGCCAAATATACCGTACAGATCGACTATACGTCTGCCAAATATACCGTACAGATCAACTATCCGTCCGCCAAATATATTGTACAGATCAAACTATTTGTCCGAAATGGTGTACATATACCAACAGAGAATCTACAACCGATTTTCAGATTAAAGAAGATCCTTCTCAGGTTTGGCCAAAAAAAAAAGAAGATCCTTCTCATTTGTCTAGCTCGTCATAAGTAGTGTCAACTTGATTAGTTGCCAAAATCGCACATACTAATGCATACATTTTACAAAATCCATATCTCTAAAGTAGAAGCAATCTTGTGTAGATACAATCCTTGACTAGTAATTATATAGCTTTCCACTAAAGAGGAACTCAAACACATAAGTCTAACTATATGCATTATTCCAATCACATAACTTAATATATGAACAAGAGGGGGAACAAGCCAGATGTACGTAATATATACATTGTCCGAGTGTATTAGCGACAAAATAAGTAATACATAGTAGCAAGCGTATGATTGTATTCTCTTTACATATTTTATGGAATGAAACAAGGGAGAGAAAGAGATGGACTATTAACCGGACCTTCGTCTTCGAGTATAGGTCCCTGTTCGATATGCAACTCTATAAAAGCACAGTAACTTCCTTTCTTCAAGAACACACTCGATAAGTCGTCATCTTTATCTTCTGCGTATCCAGCTGATCTAGCTGCTTCTATAAAGGACACATTTGGCCATCAAAAACTGTAGTCTTTAGTGCTTCTGCAAGTTCTTTGCTTCCAGCAAGCAAGCGGCTGTATTAAAAAGAAAATTAAAACCAGAAACGGTTTTACTACCGAGTCTACTTCAAACTATAAATAGATTTTGAAATTAAAACCCGAAGAAAATTAACTAAATAAGCATCAAGAACAACAATTACATAAGAGGTCAAGAGCTTCTTTTGAATTCAACAATTACATAATTTACGAATCATTCTTCTAAAAAAAAAAGAGCTTCATCGTAAACACAAACATAGCCAAGAAATATTAGAGAACTGAATCTGAAATAAAGCTAGAGATTTCTAATTTCACCACCACTTACATGTTTTAGAACATCATTCATGAATCAATCTCCTCAAACAAAACAGTTTCATCCTAAACACACGCCAAAACAAAGGAATACTTGAGATTAAAATTAGATATAAGAGCTCAAGAGCTTCTAAATTAGACAGTTTTTATGTTTCAAAACATCATTCATGAACCAATCTTCTCAAAACAAAACAGTTTCATCCTAAACACAAGCACAACTCCGATTCTGAAACATTCTAGAATGGAATCTGAAACCAGAGCTCGAGAGCTAAACCCATCAAAACCCATCAAGGCATCAAAACAAAACATCATTCATGAAATTTTTTAAGCACAATGTGGATGAAAATGAGAAAATGGTGCGATCTAAGAACTCACATAAATGAAGCTATTCTTCTCCGTATCTTTCCCATGAGCCAACACTGTTTCATAAATTCATTCCAAAAAACAAACATCGATAGGCTTGTTCTACGGGACAAATACATAGACGAATCTAGGAGCTGATACAGATAGAGAAGAAAAGATACCATCGGATGCGTCTACGTCAATGGAAGGAACATTGGGAGGAATGAGCATAAGAAGGAATTTACAGATCGCGTAAGCGAAGGCGAGAACGATCACGCGCCGACGGAATGAGCTAGGCATCAGTTTCAGCTTCAACATCTGAACGCCCATAAAGATCCGAGTAGTTAAAAACAAGATCCGAAGAGTTTGATTTTGTATGATTATCAAGAGAAGAATTTTAGAGAGAAGAAGAGAAGAGAGATTTGGCGAGTGCAAAACCTGGAGGAGGTATGGTTTCCACCTACGAGGAGAGCTATTGAATCTTGTAATCCTAACCAGACCCTTCTCGATTCACGTCTCTGTATCAAAAGATCCATTTTTTTTTTGTTTTTACCCAATTGATCGAACCATTCGTAGTTTCTTGAGAAGAAGAGAGAGACCAAAACGACATTTCCACTTGTTCAGAGATTCTTCAGCTAGGGCTTTGAGAATCCGGCGAGAAAACAACGCCGATGAAAGATAAATCTCGCCGTCTCCGTCAATCGGAAAAATAGAAAAAGGAATCAACGAAGAGCATATGGATTTAATATCGTCGGCAATATAGAGAGATTAGCCTTTAATGAGATATCGCCGGCAAAAGGAAAAAAAAAAGAAATTCATGGATGTGGAGTCGTCGGAGAAGACGAAGAGAAGAAGAGAGAGAACATATATATTTTTTTAATATTTCTCAAAGCTGTCAATGGCATTAGATGGTAAATAGACGATATTTTGGATGGCATATGGGTCAGAGCAGAAGTTACTACAGTACAAACTGAGTGGTTTTTCCAATTGTGAATAGCAACTGTACTACTTTTCTAATTAAGTTGGAAAAACGTACTATTTTCCAACTTATTCCATAAATTATCGGAGTTGTCAAAGGGGTTAGAGATGAGGGAAGAGGTTGCCGAAAGGGGTTGGATTTTTAAAATTGGGGTCCATTTGGAAACTTACGTGGCATGAAACCGTTGGTTCACGTTCTTTGACATATTAACGAGTTGTCTGAACACACATATTGGGAATTGACGTGCTTGATCAACCTCCACGCATAGTGAAAATATTATAGTATTAGTTATTTTTTTTGTTTGGTTGGGATCATGAAGGAAGCACAAGAATTTACTCAAAAACGTTATCCGAAGATATCACGGAGATCGAGTTGGAGATGGAAGGTAGAAAATAAAAGATATGGTTTTCAACTTTTAATTGAGAAGATGGTTGGTTGGGGAATCTTGGGTTGGTTAATCGCTAGATCACTACAATCGTATTTTTCTTGGGAATTGTTTTACTAACAAAATAATTTATAATGGTTTGGTGGTAGAAAGACCAAAGTTTTCATAACATATACTGTATCAATTTAGTGTTTGGAAACTAGGATTTGGCAAACAGAACCAATAGAAATCGAACTTAAACCAGCTAATGTCTATGCATATACTATAGTCTTTCTTATATCTTTGAATTATTCCAAAATACAGAAAACTTTCTTCCGCCTTCCAAAATAAAAACAATTCCGCCGCAAATAATTATATATATTACTTTGTTTGTTGTTTCTCTGGCAAAGCTTTGACCTTCCGCGAACGTGAAGTGCTATTAGAACGGTCCACCACTTGTTCCATATCCTCTTAGGGCAACTATTTTCACCTATTATGTGTGTGTGAATAAATTACTAGAAATGTCCAAAAAACAAGATATTATTTAGAGATTTTTAGGTCCCATACCATATCTTCCAACTTGCATGTCTAGGAGAATCCACTTGGAAAACAACTTAAGACAAAGACATTGCAACATGTACTTAATACCGTACTAAACTTTCAGACTTTCCAGTATCTATAGGATTAAGTTAATAGCTAAGATATTTGTGAACTTTCAAAAATTTTAGCTAACAATGCGTCTATATAAACGAAAAAAGAAAAAAACTTTCAAAACAAGAATTTTATGAAGTTTTAAAACAGACCACTAGACTACACATTTAATTTGACCTGCATTATCTTAGAAAAGAGTGGTACTATATTGTATTGACTAGTATCGTACTCACATACAAGCTTTATAGAGTTATTACATAGAAGATGGACAGCGAGAGTAGAGACAATCTAAGATGGTATACAAAAAGTATCCTAATAAATAAATGAAGTTAAAAGCGAATTAAAGAATGTAAGAATGCTTCAAATTCTAACGTCTAGATTGTTATCTTGTCTGTACATTTCTCCTATGGTCAGAAGAAGCGGCACAACGGAACCAACATCACACTAATATCGTCCAAGGAGCCTCGTGATACAGAGAGGTCAACGAGCTTCTTGCAAGCTAACAATGGCTTCCGTTTTTGATCGGTTCCTATGCAAAATGGTCGAGCTATGTCTACTGCCTCCTGATTGCTAACCTTGTCCCATAGACCGTCTGATGCTAAGATCAAGAACTCGTGTTGGGGATTGATTCGGAGAATCTTTGTCTCTGGTTCAGATATTATCCATTGTTTGAGATGAGCATCTCCTATTCCTCTAGATACAGCTAAAGATCCTTGGATTCTCCAAACACTATTGAATGTATCGACATAACCGCCCTGCAGCATTATCGTAATCAGAGCCTATGTAATCATGATAAACCGAACAGTAACTTCCTTTGCAAGAATTCTTACCGAGCTCTCAATTCTGTTTCGTTCATCATCTCTCGAAGGGCGGTGGTCAGAAGTCAGGGCCTCCGCGAATCCTCCAACGCTCAAAACAGCACGGCAGTCACCAGCATTGGCCACCACAAGATTCCCGTCGTTGATCAGAGCCGTGACACAGCACGAGCCGCCCTTAACATCTTTTTCCTTGAGAAACTCAGAATCAGTCGCTAGATAACCACGTTTTACTGCTTCTTCAATCTTTGAATCGTTCCTCCCACCAACTATCTCTCCTAGAATGTTATTACACAAGTTCTTAGCCGCAAACTCAGCCGCTATTGGTCCTCCATGACCATCATAGACTCCGAATATTGCCTGCCATTAGAAAAAGCTAACAATGTTTGAAATCCCAATTCATTGTGATTTTGTAAGTCATAGGATCTATCTAATCAAGAAATACTCATACAATTTGTTCATATATTTCATTGAATTTTCTTACAACATTTCTGTGGAACTTCTAAAGAAATCTTAAGTTATATATTACTCTTCAAAACGCTACTAATTAAGCAATAATCAATACATACACTTAAAATTACATAAGAAAATTGAAGTTACCTTTTTGGGTTCTCCTTGAATATTTGTGATGGCAGAGAAACGATCCTCCATAGCTGCTCTTTTACCTCTCTTGCAATAAACCGAGTAACCATCACCGTCCCTCTCCACCTCTCTACTCTCCTTCCTTTGCGTCTGTGCATTCACCGCCGTTTCCGATATCGGAGCTGCAATGTCCACCGGAGCCACCGGTATATCAAGCCTCATTGGTCGTTTCCTCTTAAGAACGCCTCCGGGACCAGAGTCGGATCCAAACCCTAGTTTAGCCTGTGGTTTCAGTAGACGGAGGCAGAACGGAGACGTGGGAGACGCAGCAGAGGAGGGAGAAAGAGAAGAAACGGGAGGATTGAGATGGGAAAGAGACAGGGTTAGGGTTTCATGCGCCGGAGAAATGTTTAACGGTTTGTTGCAGAAAAGAGACGAGGACGGAGAGAACACCGGCGAGTTGGAAACGGCAACCGAAAACGACATCGTTTTCTTAGAAAACTTAAAGTTTCCCTTTTTGATGATTGATTTGATTGTTAAGTCTTCTAGACGTTTGTGTTTCTCTGTATTAGTGTCAACGAGAGAGAAAGAGGCAATGAATATATAAGAGACAAGTCTTTCTCTGTTTCTCTGTGGCCGTTGCTTCTTCTTCTTCCTGGTCAAACGTTACCACTATCTTCTTTCTCTTTTGACTTTTTCAAATCATGAATCCACCGCCACAGTCCATTTTTTCTGCTTTTTCTTTGTCAACGGCGATTTGTTGTTGTTATTCTTCCAGAAATTAAAAGAAATATATTTTCGCTTTAAATGATTTTTGGGAAGATAAAAAAATCAAAAAGGCCGAAATAGGCCCATCAAGTAAGCCTTTAGTCAGATAGCCCATATTAGTCGGACCGACATGGATATGGATATTTTGTGGTAATTTTAGAAACCCGACCCGGTTTTTTTTTATTTCCAGTTCCGTCTCGTGTTCGTATCGGCGGCGCTCGGAGATCAGGGATCGCTAGTTCTGACATCTTCTCCTTCGAGGTTAGTTTAGATTCTCTTTTCTTTTGTTGTCTTTTAACTTCGATTTATGCCTGATAGATGTTTCTGATTCTGAGATTTCGTTCTCTGTTATTGTTTCTCTGAATTATTAGGGTTTTGCGGTGTCTATGTTTATTCTTTTGCGCAGCTCCGTTTTGTGTTTTTGAGCTCAAACAGATTTCTCTTGTTTATTTATGTTTACGTTCTGTTTCTTTGTGGTGAGCAGACTAAAATTTAAATCGATTTGTGTTCGATTCAGCGAATTGTTGGTCTCCATTGTTACTGTCGTTTCATTGAATTAGCTAGAATTGGATTTTAGAAAGTTTCAATTTTGAGTGGAGCTGTAAATAAAAGAAGTGCTGCCTGGTAGGTGTTCGTTGAAATTCCTCTGAGAAACAAAATAGTGTTTTCTTTACTTTATTAACCAATTTTATCGCAGGTCGAAATCTTAATTGAGAAGCAAGATCGTGTTTAAGCAGCCATGGCCAAGCATCATCCTGATTTGATCATGTGCCGCAAACAACCTGGCATTGCTATTGGGCGATTGTGCGAGAAATGCGATGGAAAATGCGTCATATGTGATTCCTATGTCCGCCCTTGTACTCTGGTTCGGATTTGCGATGAATGCAACTATGGTTCGTTCCAAGGACGGTGTGTCATATGCGGAGGAGTTGGAATTTCAGATGCTTACTACTGCAAAGAGTGTACACAACAGGAGAAAGATAGAGATGGTTGTCCTAAGATTGTCAATCTTGGCAGTGCGAAAACTGATCTGTTCTATGAACGTAAGAAATATGGATTCAAAAAACGATGATGATCGTTGGTTGCTCCAGCTATTGATCTTTATTATTGCTAGGAAAGTGTCTGTACTTGTCTTGTTTGTGTTAAGGAAATTTTATCCAGGGAAGAAATTTAAGACATGGAAAGGATTATCTTTTGTTGATTAGTTGGCCTTGTTACCTTGCTATGGTTGGTTAATGTCTCTGAAGTGGTTGTGAATAATGTTATTGTTCCTCAGCTACTTTGTGAATAATGCTAGAATCAAGCTCCCGTCCAGAGGAATTATGATTCAGTTGGTGGATTAGGCCTCGGAAGTTTTCAGGAGAAGTAAGTCCCTCTGTGTTATAGAAACTGTCTTAACTCTTGTTTTAAAACATAAAACAGAGAACTAGAAACAGAAAGAAATCAGATTTGCCGATGCATTTTCTAGTCACAAAATTAACGTAATCTTGTTTATAGTCGTGTTCACTGTTCACCACATAGTTCTTTTAACAGCATTACCACTTTTGAATTCAGATATGGTTGGAATACATAGCTGTGCGATAACTATAATTTTCTAGTTAAATGTCAACTCAAAACTTTAAAGAATACGCAATAACTCTGACTCTCTAACGTCGACAAAAAGGTTATCATCCATTACCTAAAAACCCCACATGATCGTCAGACCCAAATTCCCTTTTTTGGGCCAAAAATATAGACGTTGACTTTTTATATCGGACGGTGCCTATTAGTCAACTGCCCATGCATGTTCGCTTTGCTTATGTGTTAACTGTTAACTTAACAGTGTGGAATCCACAATTTGTCTCCAATAGTCAACTCCTACCTCCAATACGACAATGACACGTGTTAAACATCAGCAACTTTATTTCGAAACTGATTCTGTATTTCGATCTCGAGTTTATAGCCGAATTAATTCAATCGTAATTGTTATTTAATCAATTGATCTAAATGAGAGAAGTCAAAAAATATTTAGAGGAAAAATGATATTGTTGCTAGCCATTGAGAAAAGCGTTTTATTTGTAGGAAAACTTACGCTGATGATTTATTTAGGGACAAGCATTGAAACAATCAAACACATATGTTCAATACTTCTATGGGACATAAGAGGTTGTAATAGATAGACTTAGTATCCGAATATTCCAAACCACATGCCTTTGCAGGTCTCTACACCAACCTTTTATCAAAATGTTTTAAAATTTGTTGTGCCCTAATTCCTTATAAATGTATTTTGCTCGAATTTGGATTAGACATTCAAAATGATAATTGTAGAGTTGCTTCCATTACAATATATATTCCGGTTATGTAGCACTGTCCGAAATATATACTACAGTAGTTTGGAAATAAGGTTAACTAATCTTTATTAAAAAAAAACTAGCTGAGGTTAACATTTCACGTTTATAAAAGGAGAGGGTCACGAGAGATATAGTACTTGAATAGAGGAAACAGAGAGAAAGAGGAGAAGGAAAAGAGAAGATGGGATTTTGTTATGTAATTCGGCTGTGTTTATGCATCTTCTTTGCACTTTCAGTAGTCTCTTCGGCTCGACTCACGTTCTCATTTTCAGGTAAGAGCAATCGAGCTCATCATCCCATCTACATACAAGAAAGATCATGAATTTGGAGTTGTGTATAATTAAACTCTTCATCCAAATTTTCAAATCCACAATATATAGTATATCGTTGGATTAATGGGTAGTCTCTTCGATTATAATGATCAATCATAATTTTAAAAAACAGGGTTAGATCTATCTCGTATTTAGTCAAATAGGTGATTAATCCATGATACATGTATGTGTGGAGGGAGATAGAGTCTTTCGTAACATATTATTCAACCATGGTTTAACTTTCGTATAATAATCTAAGTTTTTGTTTAATTTGTGATAAGTTTTACTTCGTAATATATATATGCTAAAACTGCATGCATAATTGTTCGTGTTATCATCGATCTTGATCATTAATCTTCGATCTTGATCTGTTTTCTTCCGATCGTTTCATCAAAATCGATCGTGATTCTGTTATATCGTTTTCATTGCTTCGTCTACATTCCGATCAAGTTGATCGCATTTATCGTAGTCACATTCGTCTATTTTTTTTCTGGATCAGATTGATCTTTTATCATACGATTGATTCATCAATATTGCTAAAACTGCATGCATAACAGAAAATGAAAAGATGATGGTGAGAGGTAGATCATTGATGGTGAGCACCAACGACTATGACGGGCCATCGGCCAACGCCAGACACAATCCACCAGGGAGGCGTGGAGGAGGACGGAGAGGTTAAAAAAATATATATTATTGTTACGAAAAAGATAACATGTTTTGGGATACGTAATATTTTTAATTTACTCATTTTCTCTAAGTATTGTCATCTATCTATGCAAACAATAAAACCCTTTAATAAATAATACGTATTGATACATTTATAAATTAATAATGAACATGTAAACTCGTATCTTCGATCTCATTTTCAATGTAATGGTAAAATAAATAATTATTATATTGTGTGGGTCAACTGGGTGCAAATGACCGTTGAGCTGATTTCCCCACATGTATAGATACTCAAGGCTTGACATTCTATCAATCCAAAGTGGGAGCTAGCCTGAAACGTTATTATCTGATATGTCTAAAAGAGTTAGATTATTCCTCTTCAAGAAAGTTGCTTAATGGGAAATGTTGCACCACCACCACAGACACAACAACCAAAACCGACAAATAAAGAACGCTTGTTGAAAGCAGCGGCAATAGGATATGGCCCTGGAGTCTTGTTGTTAGGACTGGCAATCGGACAAGTTATTGCTTCTTACAAACCGGTGTTGTTCTTTAAGTTGTTTCGTCTTTGAGATGAAGCTTTTATGTTTGGTTTATGAAAATATGTATTAAGTATTTTTGTTAATGTTCCATAGTTGTTTATCTCATGAAAGCATTGAATAGGTTGCTAATGACACACATGAAACCACACACAGGGTTTGGTAATTTTTAGCTACTCTGTTCATATTTCAAAGGTCCGATGAGTTTTCATATCGTTTTGTAAACCTAGTATAAAACCAAACAAAAAAACAACAAAATGCTAAATTTACATAAAGATTAGAAAACAAGTTGAACTTGTGAAATCGCTAACAATCAAATGACTAGGTCAAATGACGGGATCCAAAGTCCGGTTAGTTTTTCATATCGTTTTGTAAATCTAGTCTAAAACAAAAAACAAAAAAAGCTAAATTTACTTAACGATTAGATAACAAATTGAACTTGTGAAATCGCTAACGATCAAATGACTAGGTCAAATGACGGGATCCAAAGTCCGGTTAGTTTTTTCATATCGTTTTGTAAATCTAGTCTAAAACAAAAACAAAAAAATGTTAAATTTACATAACGATTAGAAAACAAATTGAACTTGTGAAATCGCTAACAATCAAATGACTAGGTCAAATGACGGGATCCAAAGTCCCATTAGTTTTCATATCATTTTGTAAATCTAGTCTTGAAAAAAAAATGCTAAATTTAACGATTAGAAAACAAATTGAACTTGTGAAATCGCTAACGATCAAATGACTATGTCAAATGACGAGATCCAAAGTCCGGTTAGTTTTTCATATCGTTTTGTAAATCTAGTGTAAAACAAAAAAAAAACAAATTTTTTTTGCTAAATTTACATAACGATTATAAAACAAATTGAACTTGTGAAATCGCTAACGATCAAATGACTATGTCAAATGACGGGATCCAAAGTCCGGTTAGTTTTTCATATCGTTTAGTAAATCTAGTCTAAAACAAAAAACAAAAACTAAAAACAAATATGCTAAATTTACATAACGATTAGAAAACAAATTGAACTTGTGAAATCGCTAACGATCAAATGACTATTTCAAATGACGGGATCCAAAGTCCGGTTAGTTTTTTCATATCATTTTGTAAATCTAGTATAAAAAAAAAAAAAAAAACAAAGGGTTACGAGAATTACCTGGCCAATCTTCATGGGCTTGTGATTTCTTGATGGGTTGGAAATTATCCTCTGTGTTTGTTGGGCCTTGATGGGCTGGAAATCGTACTGGATTTTTTTGATGAAACGCGAGACTCTTTCCTTATCTGATATCCCTCGAAGTCGTCTTCTTTCATGAACCTTCACCGTAACATCTTCATCCCCGTAATCCTTTGTTCTCCACTGTTGAACCAAATTCTTATGTGTGCCTCATTAAACATCATCCAAAATAGCCCTTGTATGACATCATCCAAAATAGTCGTTATATGACGTCATCATAAAAATCACCGACGAAGATTTTTCCTCCATCTCGTTGTCAATTTCTGTCGTGTTCTCTCATATTCCGACCACAACTTTATCACCGTAACTCTGATTCCCTTATAATCCCAGATTCACCTTTAAACATCTGCTTGCCATCTCTAATGATCCGTCGAAGAGATACGAACGAGCCCAACGAATAATTCCCATAGCGAGAATGAGATTCATAACGGCTTCGACATAACTTGCTCAAGAAGAAACTCAAGTTTTTAAAAGAAGAAGAAGAAAGCGCACTTTAGGGTTTTGCTCTTCGAGGAATGACAACTTCGATTCTTACGAAGAGATTAGTATATTTATAATGAAAGGTTATGACTGAAAGAAAAGGAAATTTCTTTTAAAAATAAAACTAAAAGGAAATTAAGGTCAAATATTTCCTTTTTATATAATTGGACTCAAAAACAAAAAGGAAATATCCTTTTGAGCACGTGACAGTCACGTGATTACATGTTAATTTCCTTTTTTTCTCCTCATTCGCTTCGCCGACGTATTTCTCTCCTTCCGTCTAGTCTAGCTGTCCGATCATGTGGGTGATGATCACTCTCGTAAAGCCTCTCCCTTTTCCCGCTTCTTTCGGTCTTCGAAGAGGAAGAAGCGGGTTACGGCACTGTCGACGAAGAAACCAGGTTCAGTTTTCTCACCTCTCTTGACTTACCAATCTCTTCGCTAATGTTTATCTCTATTAAAAATTCTAACTTTATTCAATACTTTAACAGATGACGATCACGAGTTATATTCGCCAGATGAGAAGCTGGATAAATTCTCGGCTGATTTGGGATGGTTATCGGCTTTTCCTCATGTATCAGTTGCTTCTATGGCCAATTTTCTCTTTGGTTATCACATTGGGTAATATAGCCAAATCAAATCTTATTTCAAGTTTAAGTATCTGTCTCGCCAAATTTGTGCCTTTGTAGAAACAATCCATGTTTTTTTGTTTCACTGGCCTAGTTTAATTTCTGTAGAAGATGGCCTTTGATAGGGATTTCACCTAACATGATGAGTTAAATAATGTGTTTGGTGATTAGCTGTTTTGTTTTTGAGGATTATAAACAAGTTATGCAGAGAAAGAAGCAAAGAGAAAAAGAGTTTTGGTAACTAAAAAATGCAGTGGAAGGATTGGCATTGCTTCTTCTTATACAATAAGATTGTGTGTGCTCTTCATCTCTTGGTTCATTGTTTTGCAAAAGAACGAACCAAAAGATCGACCCGATTAAACCATTCACGTGACCAGCGTGAGTCGACGCAGAGAAACGCTGACAAGGCCAAGGATGTGGAAATGTAGACTGCACCACAAGTCCAATAAAACCACACCATGTCTATCACATCATCACCCTCTTCCTCTTCCTCTGTGCCCTGCTTTGATGCACTCGGCTCTGGGACACTCGCGGGGTTGCAACTTTTATTGGTAGGAAGTCCACAGAGATGAGCATTGCCTATGTAGCTCCTTTCCGGAAAGGTTAGAAGATGGCCTTTGATAGGGATTTCACCTGACAAATTGTTGTATGAGACATTGAAGAATCCTAAATTGTTGAGGTCAGCTAGCACAGGAGGGATGTTCCCATCTAGCTTATTGTTGGACAGATCAAGACTTCCCAAATCCTTCAGCTTCGAAATGCTATCTGGTATGGAGCCAGTGAGGTAGTTGCTTGACAAATTCAACGATACTATATTTTGAAGGTTTCCAATCTCAACTGGAATCTCACCAGATAAATGGTTGCTTGACAAATCCAACCCATACATGTAACGTAGAATATCACCTTGATATGCTTCATATCTTCTTTTCGTTAAAAAATCCACTATGATCGCTGGTGTCCGTTGAGCACCATACGCGAAATCATCATCGAGGTTAATAGCTGATGTATAACTCCAACTTTGCGAGAATGAAACTTGTGAGAAGCCTTCCACTGGATCAAATGACATGTTGCTGTCATATTTTTTTGCACCAAAAGACATTTTACTGAAACAGGATGGTATAACACCTTTGAATTTATTCTGAGATAAATCCAAGATACCAACTTCACTTAGCTGACATAGTTTCTCAGAGATATGAGTTTCAAAACTGTTACTCCGTAGAAGAAGAACACCTAGATTAGAAGCCTTGGCAACATTATTCAGAACCATATCAGAAAAATTGTTGTTCCGCATATCAATCACCTCCAATAGCTCAGCCTCGAACAAAGCGTCCGGAATTGAGCCAATAAACTCATTGTTCTGTAGTCTTAGCTCTCTGAGAATTGGAAACTCAACATTTCTTGGTAGAGAACCAAAGAAGCTATTATGTGAGATGTCTATAACCTTAAGCTTTAGATTCTGTAGCTGGCGAGGGAAATGACCGTTGAGCTGATTTCCCCTCATGTATAGATACTCAAGGCTTGACATTCTATCAATCCAAAGTGGGAGCGAGCCTGAAACGTTATTATCTGATATGTCTAAAAGAGTTAGATTCTTTGACTTCAATAGACCTTCTCCGAGACTCTCACTAAAATTGTTGCCATCAAGAGCTAGCCAAGCTAAGCTAGTAAGATTTGCATACTCCAGAAATATCTCACCCTTGAGTTGGTTGTTGGAAAGCTTCAGAAACTTCAACGAGTAGCAACTACTTAAAAATGTTTTAGGTAGTTGACCCGATAGACCGTTAAACGACATGTCCAACATTAGTAGACTTTTCATCATTCCCATAGAAGATGGAATGGTTCCATGAAAATAGTTTGAAGAAAGGTTCATGTACCTCAGCTTTGGAAAGACAAGCCCTATATCTACTTGAATCGAATCGTGTATCCTGTTACTCGAGATATCGAAAACTTGTAAGCCATGAACAAGCTTTGGTAGCTGAAGCTCTGTCAACAAATTGTTATTCAGTAAAATAGTCTGCAGTCTTGTGTTATTCTGCAAAAGCCAAGCTGGAAATGCTCCTGTCAACTGGCTATAAGAAATATCAATGAAGATCAAGTCATGTTGATGAACTAGAAAACCAGGAATTGTGTTGCCAAGACTGATATTATGTAATGTTAGCATCTTCAACTGAAACAGTGGAACCCAAGAGCTCTCAGTCTGAGCTTGGATCATACCAACTTTTGATGACAATTTGAAAACTGTGAGTCTTGTGTGATTGGCCAGTGAATTGAAAGAGAATGAACCATTGAAGTTATTATCAAGAAGTGATAAGTACTCAAGTGCTGGTGGTAGACCAAACACAAAGGAAGACAAGTTTTCGTTCAATTGGTTGCCTGATAGATCAAGAGTTCGAAGACGGGTTAGGTTAGCCAGACAATAAGGCATAGTTGTCAAAACATTGCTGCCTAAATCGAGCTCTTGGAGATTCATTAGTCTGCAAATCTCTGAGTAGCCTGAAATTTGTCAAAAAAATAAAAGTTGTTCTCACAACAGATGAAGAAATTCTTGGGAAACAAGAAATATAATGAATGGTTTGTAATATTTTACCTTTGAGGGTCGAAGACAATTGATTCCTTCTAAGATTCAACACTTGTAAAGATGAAGGAAACACTAAACCTGCAATTTGAAGAATAGATGTATAAATAAATAATGTTTTGCATGCTCCATTACAAATCTAGAATAATGAACACATTCAGAAAACCAAACAGTATTCAGAATCCTTATCACAATCTGCTTCTCTTTTGTTTCACTAACCGACCAAGATGGGTTAGTTATGCTTATATGAAAATTCTATGCATGCAAAGGTATGCACTAGTAATAAGAGATAGTTGAAAAACTGCTCCTTTAATCTTATTCTAATGAGATTCTTCTGACGTCTATGCATAAATTCAAATGGAAAGTTAGAAAAAAACAAATAGATATTTCATTACCGTTTGGAGGAAAGACACCTTCCAGTAAATTGTCACTAAGAACTAGAGTCCTGAGCGACCTCGCTGCACTTAGAAAAGGGAGAGCACTATTGTTGAGATGATTTCCAGAGAAATCCAAGGTCCTCAGCTTCTCAAGTCTCTCAAGGCTCTTATGACCTGAAACAATAATAAAGAACATTCAAGAAAAAATTGGACATAAACTGTAAAACATAATGGCTCCACGAAAAGAGGTCAGGACGCACCATGGATGGGATCAAACAAGTGATTGCACCAATTCGATGACAAGTCAAGAGTTTCCAGTTGAGGGAAGCTATGGAGCAAAGACAGATTTAGAGACTGAATTTGCAACAGATTCAGTGAAAGGTGGATGATGTTCCCACCAAGACTAGCGTCACTGCATTTTACTCTCTCCCAATGGCAGCAGTCACTGCTACGATCATCATGACTCCATGACTTGAGAAATATTTCTCCTTTGGGGATTAGAAGAGAGTTGAGATACGACTTGAGTTGCAACAAACCCATCCTTTCAGTTTCCACACACCCTACACATCCTTTCATCTGGAGTTGGAACATCATTGTTATTGTTATGAACAACAAAGCCATCTTCTTCTTCTCTTTAACCCACCACCAGCTTCTCTCGTTTATTGTCATTTTTTTTTTCCTAAGTTTTAGTTAGAAACAGAGGATTTGCTCCCCAATATTTAAAGAGCTTCAATGTAAGATGCGAATATAACTAACTATACGAGTCCATGAAACTATCAAACCATGCATCTTTGACTTGCGGTTAACTCCATAATTGAGAATTGACCCATGAATCAGTATCCACCGAACGTGTACCTCTCACTAGTAGCTAATATATCAACTTCCCTGGGGGGCCTTTGCTACACTTTGTTTTTTGCGTAAATCAAATAGGAGAGTCAAGGAAACGTCTGAACACAAATAACACAAACTTAAATATTCTAAACAAAATACTTAAAAGACTTGCAAGTCACTTATTTATTGGTCTTTCCCTCTGTTTAGTTACTTATAGAGAAACACTTTTTCTTCTTCTTTTTTTCTTGATAAAAGAAACACTTATCACAGCTCAGTAAAATTCAAGTACTTTTTATTTAGGACACTCTAAATTACTGTAGTATAGTAGTAATACATGTACATGCAAAAACATTTGAAAAGCTTAAACTCAAGAGTCAAGACCCACCCGGCCACCCCCAGCTTCTCTCGTATGTTCTCATTTTTATTTTATTTCTGTAGTTTAGAAAACTGATTTAGAAATAAGACAGACTAAGGATTTGACCAACGACTGGAAGCGGTCATAATATCGCCACGTAAGGTCTAAAATCAACTTTATATAAATAAAAGGTCTAAAGTCAATGAAGATTGACCAATGACTTTGAACATCATATGATTTGCCGATGAGCGTGTAGTTTTGGGCTGGAAGATATTTTTAAGTAACTTCCAATATCATGACAATTTCAAACAAGAGAAAATTCGAGGTCTTTGAGTAAACGCACATCTTTTTTTTAGAAACGTCAGCAGAACTTGATGCGCAAGAAACGACAATAAAAAACATGTGATTCACTAAGACTGATGTGGGCCGCAAGAAAAGGATGTCAGAGACTCAGGATTCTGAAGAAACTTTGTGAAACTGTTCATCTTTAGGATTAGTATATTCACATAAATCTGTATAGGTGTATCCAAAAATCGTTAATTTTAAGCCCTCTAGGGAAAAACCCGGAAAAGCAAGCTTATCTCGGTTAAGCTGAAAACAAACCATCTTGCAATAATATATGACGTAACCGATAATTTCAATGTGATTCTAGAACTGTTATTAAATGAATGCATATGGAAACTGAAAACCATAAAATACTTAGGTAGCATAAAAAAGGCCTTAAATTCTTCTGAGAAACTATAGTGAGAAAAGAATCCGAAACTGAACCAACGGTTACAAGAAACTAAAGCATGTCTGCAAGATCAAACTGCCCAACAAAGTCCTTGATGTCTTAAAGGCTCTCCACTTTAGGCTTCTTTAGAAGTAAGCTCCCGAGAGCAGTGGTCAAGGGAGTGGATGTCACCAATGAAGCTTTCAATAAATTGATAGCCTGCATTACAATAAGACTCAAAGAATTAACTGAAAACAGGAGAGAATTGTGAAAAATCTTTGTTTTTGGTGAACATTCAGAAGAAAATAAGAAAAGAGAAGAAAAAAAACAGACCTCTGCTCCAGTGATGCTAATAACTTGTTCCTCAATATCATCCAAGTCTGTGTCCAACTTCTTTAGTAAGCCAAGGGTCGAAGACAAGTTTGAAGGTGTTACAATAAGATCATCTGAGATCATGAATGTTGACCCTCTCTTCACAAACCCACTACTGACCGGTAACGTGTGTTCAGCAACCAAGTCAGATTTTGTATTCGTTGCACTCAACAGACTGATAGCCTGCATTAGTGTCAGATTCATTAAAATTAATCTGGGTTCAGAACAAAATATATCAGGAAAGATACAAACATGCACGCACGCGTACGTTGATTGCATGTACCTCAACATCATCTACGTCCACGTCCAACTTATTCCTTTGGTAACCGACACCAAGCAGCGATTTGTGGAAACCATAATGCTGAGGAAGCATACTATTTGTGCCTCCGCTAGAGCTCAAGCTCTTCATGTTTCTCCAAAAGTTGCCAATGCATCCTAGCTCGACATTGCCTCCGGTTATTTCCCATACAGACTCCAAAGGGATAGCCAGGAAAATGAAAAGTAGATCGACAAAGTCTTGCCCACCTTCAGCATAAAGAACTTTCATGTCCGGCTTCCTAACAAATACAGTGAGTGACAAAACTCCATCTGATCCAGCTTCAGCTTCACCTCCATCTTGCACGGGTAGAGTTGGCATGTCATGCAACCTTGTCATACCGCAAGAGATATGCTTCTTCAAGAAGACATCAGTGAAAGGGGTTTCCGAAGAAAACAAGCAATGGAGAAGAGATATAACCTGTATCCAAAATTTCATAAATCGGAGAGCATACAAGGAAAAAATTAGTGGCATGTAATAGCAATTCCACACATGTATTTACCTCTTCGTGATTAACATCTACCGACATGTACTTCAACATAGATAAATCATTATAACCGAGTCTTAGAAGTGTCCTCCAGGCGAGAATAATAGACGCATGTTTCACTTCATCCATATTTTCGGTAATGATGAAAGCGCTCTTCGGGGTGACAAATAATTCATCACAACCACCTTCAGGTACTTTAAACTCCTCCGTCATCAAATTGCACATATCATCATCTATGTTGAGCTTAAGCCGTCTGCATTGCTTCTCTTTCACGTGCCTCGGATACAAGAGCATACCCTTAGAAGCTTCCGTTATGAAATCATCTTTGTCCATATCAACAACACTTTTGTAGAGATTATTGAAACAACCTATTGGAGGTTGATTCTGCTTATGTTTCTCTAGCAATCGCACAATGGTACCCATTGGCAGCGCCAGAAAACCAAAAAGCACATCAACAAAATCTTTGCCTACGTCAGCAAAGACAACCTTGTTCTTTTCTGGGTCGACACAAAGTGTCAGCTTTAAAATTGGTTTCTCTGCAGTCCCAGCCATTGAAAATCACACAGAAAATCTGTAGATCTAGAGAAAGAGAACCAGAAGTAAGAACAAGAGAAAACCCAAAGGAGAATAAACACTGATGTTGAGAGTTGAGACGATTTCTAGAGAAATCCAAGGTCTTTGATATGTAACCCGTTTTGGGCCATAAACCCAATATATAAGTCATGTATATAAACGGGCTATTGGGCCATAAACTATCGGTGGATTTGGGCCGCCGATCGCTGAATACGTCACTCCTCGCGATACAACCAATCACGGTCAGCGAATACTCTGAGTCTCTGACATCCTTTTCTTGCGGCCCACATCAGTCTTAGTGAATCACATGTTTTTTATTGTCGTTTCTTGCGCATCAAGTTCTGCTGACGTTTCTTCTTGTTAGAATTTTCAACACCTTTAACTTATTTCGATTTTTTTTTTTTCACATACACTGAAAATTGTTTTGTTAAACATTTAAATATTTCTGTGGCTACCAAAAACAAATTCTCAGAGTTATTATCCTCTGTACAAAGACTGAAATTTTCCATTTATTCTGGGAGAAAGAGAATCAGAGTGCCACCTGTCATTTCCTAATCTGGCACGTAGGTTTTTCTCATACGTATATTCAGTGTATACAGTATACCAAAGGCGGCTCGTAGCAGAGTTTGTTCGATTCTTTTAACCACATTAGGTTAGGAGCAATAATAACATTATTTGCTTGTCGTTTCAAGAACTAACGAAATCATGTTTTGGATCAAAAACCTAGTAAGAATCTCGCAGACCACTTCTTCGTCGGTCGGAAACGTGTTCAGAAACCCCGAATCCTACACTCTCTCGTCCCGTTTCTGCACCGCTCTCCAAAAGCAACCAGAGATCGAGACGGTTCAAGCAAAGGATGTAGTTAATGGGTTGGAGCCACAGCGTTACGACGGTTTGGCTCCAACTAAAGAGGGTGAGAAGCCGAGGGTTCTGGTTCTTGGGTCGGGTTGGGCTGGTTGTCGGCTTATGAAAGGGATCGATACGAGTATTTACGACGTCGTTTGTGTCTCTCCTAGGAACCACATGGTCTTCACTCCTCTCTTGGCTTCTACTTGCGTTGGTACGCTTGAGTTTAGGTCTGTTGCTGAACCAATCTCTCGTATCCAACCGGCGATTTCACGAGAACCCGGTTCTTATTACTTCCTCGCTAATTGCTCTAAACTTGATGCTGATAATCATGAGGTAATTGCTATTTGGATATTTGATTTCTTGTTAAATGCTGCGTCTTTTTTAAGCTCGGAAACGGTTTAATATTGGTGAAGTTCTTGAAATTGGGGAAAATTTCTTGTAGATATATTTATTTTGGATTTTTCTACAAAATTTGTGAAATTTAGAAGATTCGTTTGGACATTGTTTCAAACGCAAATTTTGCGTTTACATTTAGGTCTATGTATATCAAAAGATATTGATTTTTTTTTTAATTTCGATTTCTTAAGAAAGTTTCCAAATGCATGGTAAACGCAAAAGCGACTTTTGTGTTTGGAAAAGCAATGTGATTTGGACTGTTTTATATGATATGTGTGAGTCATGCCCTTGGTTTTAATCAGGTGCATTGTGAGACTGTAACTGAGGGATCAAGCACATTGAAGCCATGGAAGTTCAAGATAGCTTATGACAAACTGGTACTAGCTTGTGGTGCAGAAGCATCCACATTTGGAATTAATGGCGTCTTAGAAAACGCTATCTTCCTCCGTGAGGTTCACCACGCTCAAGAAATCCGTAGGAAGCTTCTTCTTAACCTCATGCTCTCTGAAGTTCCAGGTAATAAACAACTCATTTTTCACTACTTATTAGCTTTGAACCAAAACTAAAGTCATTACACGAAAATTATATATTAGGCATATCCGAAGATGAGAAGAAGAGGCTGTTGCATTGCGTTGTGGTTGGAGGTGGGCCGACTGGTGTTGAGTTTAGTGGTGAATTGAGTGATTTCATCATGAAAGATGTTCGTCAGAGATATTCTCATGTGAAAGACGACATTCGTGTTACTTTGATTGAGGTTTTTTTGCTTATGACTTCATTGCTAAAAAGTGCTATATATGATCAGTTTCATAAATATGAAATTTTGATCAGTACTGTTTCTTTCCAGGCAAGGGATATACTTTCTTCTTTCGACGATCGGCTCAGGCATTATGCAATCAAGCAGTTAAACAAGGTTATTATAGCTCATCCATATGCAAAGCTTAAATTTGCGAGAATTTGGAAAAATTTTGGATGTTGAAAATCGGCTAGTTTTGACTTCAGTCTGGAGTGAAGCTTGTGCGGGGGATTGTGAAAGAAGTGAAGCCTCAGAAGCTAATTCTTGATGATGGCACTGAAGTTCCTTACGGTCTCTTAGTCTGGTCAACTGGTGTTGGTCCATCTTCATTTGTGAGGTCTCTTGATTTTCCAAAAGATCCAGGTGGAAGGTCAGTTAATTTCCAATATCACAACAAAAAACTTGTTCTGTATTTTTCCCTCCAAAAAATCAATGTTGGAACAGTTTCTGATCTTGGATCACTCTGTTTCCATAGGATTGGTATTGATGAGTGGATGCGTGTACCTTCTGTACAAGATGTGTTTGCGATTGGTGACTGTAGCGGATATCTCGAGAGCACAGGGAAATCAACACTTCCTGCTCTTGCACAAGTCTCTCTCATCAATCTATATGAATGTTGTAATAATCTCTTCTTTTTTTTGTTTCGGTGCCTAACAAGTTTCTGATCGATGAAGGTGGCTGAGAGAGAAGGCAAATACTTGGCAAATCTGTTTAACGTGATGGGAAAAGCTGGAGGAGGACGAGCCAATAGCGCAAAGGAAATGGAACTTGGAGAACCATTTGTCTATAAACATTTGGGAAGTATGGCTACTATTGGGAGATACAAAGCTCTCGTTGATCTCCGTGAGAGTAAGGTATGTGTTAAAAAGCTCTCATTCACTGTTCACTTAGAATCCTTCAAAATACAAAATAGATAGCTAACTTGGAGGAGGGAGTTTTCTTGGACAGGAAGGAAAAGGAATATCAATGGCAGGTTTTGTGAGCTGGTTCATATGGAGGTCTGCTTATCTGACTCGAGTCGTCAGCTGGAGAAACCGCTTCTATGTTGCTATCAACTGGCTCACTACTTTTGTCTTTGGTCGTGACATTAGCCGAATCTGATCCAAATCTCTTCCACGTCGCTACGTGCTTCTTCTCTATCTCTCTTGTACACTTTATGACCTCTAATCAGTTGAAATCAGATGTCGTTTACTTGGAACAATTCAATGAGGTCAATTCAGCATTTTAGAAAGACAGGGTATTGACTTTTGTTCTTTCGACTTTGAAATTGAATCATCTGGTTTGACTGATGTAAAATACCGAATTATGGAAGGGTTGACAAAGTTTTTTAAAATCAACCAAGTATTTTTATCATATTATTATAGATGGTTGGTTTTTTTTCTGATAAGATTCCATCTAAAAACAACAAAACAATACTGAATTTATTTGATCCAACATAAACAAAAAGTTAAGCTTACAGTTACATGTTACATTCCAGAGTCCTATATTTCGGCAAACATAATATACAACAAACTTGGTTACAGAGAAGATGGTTTAATTCATCTAAATTCGGAAGTTGGGAAAATTTTAGGAGAAATACCTAAACTCAAAATGCCAAAAAAGCTGTGGCAAATTGGTACTCCTAAACATACCTATGTACCAAGTGCTAGCTCAGCCATTTTACATCGTAATTTACAACAAGCAAAAAACTTTCCATGACAAAAACAATCTGAGGATTATAACTCTTTATTATTACCTCATTTATATATATGCGTGTGATCACATCACATCCACCTTCGCGGGCAACTCTACTCCGGAAGCTAAACCGCTAGAAGAAGCAACCAGCTTCACAGCCAACATAGGATTCGAACCGTACTTCTGTTTCGCTTCAGCAAAGCTTGGAGCAAGGACGGTTTGCATCCACTGATCAACTGTTTTCCCTTCTTCTTCGTCCGATGATAATGATGACCATGAAGCCGCCAGAATCTGAATGATCACTTCTTGATCAAGCTCTAGATTTGTTTCCGATCCAAAGCACCGCTCAAAATGTGAACCGATCTTCTCTTGAATGTTCTTGGCTAACCCATCGAAATCAACCGGTTTGAACGTCACTTTTCCATCTACTTGTTCAATGAAATCATCGAACCAAGTGTTCCTTTCCTCTGTCTCATGATCGAGGCTAACTTCTGTTTCATTCACTGGAAGGTTCAGATCCAGATATGAACGTTGCACCTTCACAGCACGTTGCTCTGTTTCTAGCTCATGTTTTCTCTTATTTACCCCAATTTTAGTAGCATCTCCCAGCTTTATCTGCAGTTTCCAGCTTCTCGCACTGAGAACTTGATCCTCAGGAAACTTCACAGGTTTAGTAACATGGTCAGTAGCATTATCCTTGGCAATCCCAGACGTCGCAACAACAATCACATTTTTCATACTGATCACTCTTCCATGCGAATCACGAATTTTCCCGGTACTCACAGCTTCAGACAATCTCATCTGATCCGGGAAATCAGCTTTTTCCACGTTTTCTAGTAAAACAACAGACTGTGGTTTCCTTGATAACTCACCGGTTATGTAATCAACCACTGTTTTGCCTCTGAATTGGTCATCAAGAAAATAATGCTCTGCCCCAAAATCTACACATATGCAATTGACCTGACCACCAAAGAAGACTTCAGAAAGAGCCATCGCCACTTTCTTCTTCCCGACTTTATCGGGTCCAAGAAGAGCCAGCCAAATTCCGCTTGCTTGATTTCTTCTCGTGGAGTCGGTTTTGCAACCGCAGATAATTTGGCTTATGGCATTCACAGCTTCGGTTTGCCAGGCAACTTTACGAGAGAGTAATTCTCTGAGAGACTTGAAATCTTTCTGATATGTATGTTCTAAAGAAGAGTTTAGAGTCACCAGCAGCGGTTTCTCCCTCGCTGTTTTTGATTCCTGGTTTTTTGATGCATAGATTACTCCCAACCCAAAATCTGTAGTGACACAGCTCAAAGGCGAACTCACTGTGCGGTTAGTCACTGATGTCGTGAGATCCTCCATAGGTTTTGGCTTTGAGATTGGCGGATTCAGCAGTTTAGACGTCTCCAAAAAGCTAGTAGGAGTTCTCACACTCTTCTCTGTCTGAACTGGGAACTGCGAACTCACCGACTGAAAACCAAGTTTAGGAAATGCCGGAGTTTGATGGATACTTTGGCATATGTTGTCCCATTTCTTCTGCAGAGCTGCGGTTTGCGAGGCTGATGTGTTAGCGTCATCTAAAGCCTGCACTGAATCAGAACAAAAGTCTCTCAAGATATTACATCAACACCATTAGAAGCGACTACAAATAAGGAAGAAGTTGATAAAAAACGCACCTTACTGCTGCCCGTTGTTCCCTTGTCATCTTTGGTCTCTACAGCCCGTAGCCAAGGGGGCAACTTCTCGGAACATTGGTCGGCCAGAGAAAGACTCGAACTGGCCTTGAGAACAGCGGCTACTTCTTGCAAATACTTCTCGTTGCAGAGGTGGCATCTAGAGAGCGTCTGATTCACTGTGCTATTCAACGGTACTCTGAAATCTGATGTTGACGAGAAGAAGCCTCCAAAGGGAACAAAGGATCCCATCAAGCTGTAACCAACAGATTCATCCAATTCATGATCAGTTGCAAAGTCGAATCATAGTTTTGAGAAAAAGACAGAACATTAATGTCTACTCCCAGAAAAATGGGAAGCATAAAGCTGAGAAGGAAGTGCCATGCCCATGATAGTGGATATGTTAAAATATTTACGTTTTATGTTTTCGACGTTGACGCAAACAATAAACTATTCCCAGTGATGTTTTCAAGTCCCTTCAGCCTAATTTGAGAGGTATAAATAACATTCAGTTCTACAGTCTAATGTCCATGGAAATAACAAAGGCATACCTTGATTTTGGATAAACCCCTTGACTTGAAGGTTTAGAGGAGGCTGTGATTGGAAGAACATGAAGGTCCCAATCCTTCTCGATTGTAGGGAACCGATCGATAAGCTTCGTGTAAGTCTCGTTGCTCGATACACATCCGATGAACCAAAGTTTCTTACTTGGATGTTTCAGAAAATCCGAAAGCTTCGACACCAAATTCTCAAGAGCAGCATTAGCTTCACTGGTCAAAACCTTTAGCTCTCCCAGATTAAGCACTATCCCAGATTTCGAGCCATTTTGCTCTACAATTCTTCCTAGATCATCCACTTTCACTCGATTCTCCTCTTCGTTTTTCGATCCATCGGCTAAAATTTCACTAATCTCCTTCTCTATGCTAATCAAGCTTAATCCGCTAATATCCATCGGAAGAAACCCTAACTTCCCACTGTTGATCGAATCCGTAAACGTTTTGAGAGCTTCATTAGCGCAATTACCTACAAGTAAAGGGTTCTTCTTATCTTTCCGGCCTAACACTTCTCCGATTCTCCGGGAATTTTCATCGAAACCACCGCTCCCACAAAACGGGAACTCACGATTCGGATCTGAGTTTGGAAGATTACAGAGGAAGAGAGGCGGACAACGACCTCGAGAGAAACGGGAAGAGAATTGCGTTACCGGAGGGTGAAGCACGTCGAGCTTAATATCGGAGCTCCGAAACCCAGCTTCGCCGAATACCCGATTCACAATCGGATCGTCGAGGATCGATAGTATGAAATACTTCAATTCGACTTTCAGAACCGTCGTTTGGCAACCACCGCCGCCGTTGTTACTAGCGTGGATCTGCTGAAGATGATACGTCTCCGGATGCCGTCTCTGATTCGCCTGAGACCGTTTGATCGCCGCCATGAGCGAATTCGAAACCGGTGGATCTTCTTCCGTCGCCGGAGACTTCGACGACGGAAGCCTGTCGAGAGATACGCCGACGCAAAGCTCAAGAGCTCGGAATTGAAGTCGCGACGAGTAAGGAGTACTCCTAGCGGCGCGTGAGACGCAAACTTCCCGGAGAATCGACGACGGCATAGCTAAAAGAGCAGAAACTGCATGAAGAGACGTCGTCTGGGCGTGGCTTCTCCGACGAGCCACAGCAACAGCATCGTCGAGAGCACGAGCAGCTTCCTCCGTCAAGCATTCTCTCGCCGTAGTCACCGGCGTTGGCATCGCCGGAAAAAAGTCAAAATCAAAAGTAGAAATTCACCAACAAGCCTTTTCTCCAATCAAAACCAAACCCACTTACTCTTCCCACCAACAATAATCAGAAACACAAGAAAAAGCCAAAAGATTTAGAAAATATAAAAAAAAACAAAAGAAGCGTGAAATTTCTAGAAATGATTTTTATCAGAAAAGTTAATCAAAAAAAACTTGTTATTAGTCTCTTTAGCTTAAAAGTTGTTATATAAAAATAAACTAAAAAAAGATGATTTGGTTTTGGTTCAATCCACAAAATCTTACGCTTGGATATGTACAGGAGTCGTTGTTTTGGTGGTATATTGCTTTGTAGGGTCCTCCAATATATTGTCTGATTTTTTCTTTTATTCTCTTTTGTTTGCTCTCTCTCTCTCTCTCTCGTGTGTCGTAAAACGATGCTGAAATAATACGAATATGTGGTGCTCGTAGAATCTCTCTCGCCTTCCCCACTTTACATTTTCTGATTCTCTCTTCAATTATTCATTTGCTTCAATCTCTTCATGTTAGAAACTTTTCGTTTTGTTTGCTAAATTTTTAGTATGTTAAAAGAGTTTTTACAACCATAAATTGGAGTACAAGGTTGATAACTTTGATTATGTATGGCCAAACCTTTCTTTACCAAGATTGATTACTTTGATTAGTTTAAGTTTTACCGACATGAGAAATAGTGCTAAGATATAGTAATTATTTGATTCTTTGTTCTTCTTTCTTCTCTCCCATCAAATTGTTTCACTGCTTTTTCACCACGTATAGATTCGACAATAGATCTTTGTCCCCCTAATATTTTTTTTTCTTTTCTAATAACATATATTCTAGGTTATATGGTATATGAACAAACTATACTAATAGTCAGGGTCTTGTAACATGAGGGAGTCACATCTCTCTACTTTTTTGCATCTTTCTACTATTTGTTTCATAAATAGTAAAATAGCAATATTTAGTTTATGATCCAAAGAGAAATTAGTTGGGATTAACAAAGAAAAGTCAACTTAATTATAGTAGAGAAAATAGAAAAGTATCGAGTGGTAGACAATGCTTAAACTTTATAAAAGATTAGGTGAATGTCATAAGAAATAAAGAGGAAAAGCATAAGTGATTAGAGGCCCAAACACCACCTTTATATGCTTTTTTGCGTCATTGTCATTTATATCATCCAATAAAGAGGATTTTTATTTATTTATTGTTTCACATTACTTTGCACATCTTTTATTCCCGATCGACGCATCTTTTTTTTACTCAATTATCGATTCTTTTACACCTGCTGGAAAGTTAAAATGGCATATTCTCGATCATTAATTTTTTTTTGTAAAATGGCTAATTATGGTTATTAATTCGAGTAGCAATAAATTCAGAACAATGCATGAAAAAGTACTTCTCAAACTGCTTAATTACGCCGTATGAAGTGTACAACAGAATAATTTCTTTTTGTTGTTGTACATTTTCTATGTTTCTTTAATCAATAAAAAAAAAGGACTTGCAAGAAATTTACTTGAAGTCTAGGCTCTATATAGTTCATGGATTTTTATTTTCTACACTATCTACCCTAACCCATATTTTCATATATACACGGCTGTATTTTAAGACGTATGTTAGGAAATAAGTCACCAAAAACCACAATGCATCATCAAAAGAATTTTCTGTTTATGGCATTGCGACCTTCGCGGCTAAGCTACTAGAAGTATCCCAGTCCAACAACCACACCCAAAAATAGTTTAATTTGATTTGCGCCACGAGCTGGTTAAAGCTCACGTCGTGTTTCTTCCACACTGGCCCATACATAATTATAATGTTCCATATATATATAATACATATGCAACCATGCATTTAATATAATTATTGGTCATCTGAATTTTATTCATCAACTTCTCACAATTAATCACAAATTGGACCGCTCAATGAATTAAAAAATACGGTGTCCTTTTCGTTTTCCAGAAAATAATTCGTAAAGGTTGGTTCCACTTCCACACATGCTGCTTCGCCAAGTCCCTAATTAATGTGTGACAGTAGTTCAATTCAAATAGTTGGGAGATAAATATATGTGGCATGCCTTAAATGATCAAACCCTAAGAGCAGCCCCAATGGGGGGTTATAGATGGGTTTCTCAGGAATTAAAAAATTGAAAAAAAGAAAACAGTGAAGAGAAAGAGAGTCTCATAGAGAGATAGTTTCTTTAGAGAGAGCCCGTGAGAAACAGTTGAGAAACTTCTCAACTGACTTGTCATTATCTGATTGGTTTATACTTTTGAGAGAAAATAAATTTTAATTAGATAATATTATTGCATTAAAATATCATTAAATCAAATATAAGAACCTGATTTTTAGAGATTCACCGTTGGTGATGCTCTAAGAGCGTCACACTTAGGAGAGACTAGAATGCATATTCTTATATTATAGGAACAAATTAATTATTCTCTCATGTATGTTTATACCGTCACATGATAATTAACATGATACAGAAATAAAACCCGATAATTAACGTGAACCCTAATTCCAGATCCCCTGTAACGAGCACACAGTAGCACTATTTAATGCCAAAAGTGAAGCTACACGACATCTGTAAATCGCGTGGCAACCAACGGTCGTTATTCGATCTGTGGTCCTTCGCGGTTTCCTTTTAACACTGTGGGACTTTATAAGTGGATGACGTTATTTATATAGCATCCATTCATATTACGACACGTGTAGATAAACTTTATGTGATGCATCTTAGAGGATTAATTTAGTCCTCGATGGATAGCGTAGACCAAGTAAGCAAAAGGTTTTTGAATTGACTCCACTTTGGTTTTAAAGGAAAGAACAAAACACCTACTTTCATATTGTAAATCCATTGATATTGATCAGAAAAACTTGATTTAATAATTATTGGAAATAAAAATCAAACCTATAATTATCTCTTCTTAGACGTAATCTTTTTCTAATACGTAAGCTTAGCTCTGAATGATTATATGTGGTTAGTCGTCTAATCCCTGATTTATTTGTTATCTAATTCTTCTTGTTCAGTGGCACCTGTCGATCATTTAGATAATCACATGCATATTTGATGTGACATTTGTGTCATATCATAGCTTTTTGAGTGAATGTGTTTTGTACTTCCTTTTGATTCACTTTATTTTTAAAATCTACAAAATTAATTTAAAATCATATTGATGTTCTTTTATTTTTAAAAGAGAACAAAAAAATCGTAGTGAAATTATTATTTTGTGTTTGGTGCCACGAATCCAAAATTTGGTCGACATGTGCCTAACGATGAAGCAAACCAAACTTTATATGGCAATTATTTCCCATATACATTATTGTGAATTTGAGATATATTAACATGGGCAAGTTACAAGTGGCAAGTCAGTGCCCTGTGTTGTGCTTTTTTTGGTATAGGTAGTTCGAACCCAGGTTATTATATGCTTCCACTCGAGGCCTTCTAAGTTGTTAATGGGCCTGAACAATAAAGAACCAACAAAATTAAAGGCCTTAGATCAGCCCATTCTTCATTTTACTGAGACTGTAATCTCTCTCCCGTCATCTTCGTGTCAGCGACTCTCCTTCTCTGTCTCTGCCAAAACCTCAGATCGGAAAAAACGGAAATTCGAAAAACCCTAAGTTTCGAAAGATGAGAATCGCTCGTTTCGCTACTCGTTCCATCAACGACGTAGCGTTCCTCCGACCATTTCGTTCCATCGTCTCTAGAAGCCTCGCCACCAACGCTAACGAAGGTAAACACCATTTCTACATTTCCACGATTTTGTTCGTCCATATACTCAGATTGTATCGTAACTGACAATGGAATCGAATCGAATTGAGCAGATCCAAACCAGAATCGATCTTCTTTTGACTCATCGGACAATCTCGATTCGTTGTTTGGCGACTACAATGGCAACGATGAGAAAAGCAGTGGTTTCTTCCAGCATCTTAGTAAAGCGGAGAAAGATAAGCGCGATTTCAATGGCTATAATAGATCAGGAGGGTCGAGATACTCCGGTGGTAGTTCAATGAACAAGGACGAGAGCTTTGATCCTTCATCTGATGGTGTTGATGGGAAATTGAAAGAAGCTGCACTATTTTACAATATGGATGAAGGAGATGGCTTGAAGGAGTACTCGTTTAGGCCCGATTTCAACAACAGTTGGGGCATTAATAACTTCCCTAGGGTATGGTTTCCCTATAATTATTTGATTTCAAATGTGTTAGTGAATTAATTTATAGCAACCATATGAAACTCATTTTGTCTAGTGTTGCATTTGTATCAGTGTATTATCACTTAGTGATTTGGATTCATGTTATACGAATGTGTAGTTCATGTATAATTTCATTTCTAGATTGGTTTTTTTCCTTAATCTTTTCTTGTCTGCTTTGATTAAGACATTCTTTAAAAATCTTTTCTTTTGTTTCATGGCAGATGCAGAAACAGATGCAAAATCCTAGACAGAATAATAACAAGTCTGAGGTAACTACTGAGGAAGTTTTGAAGAATGCTGATTTCAGGGTGAGTGTAATTGGTAAATATGTTTCACAAGTAGTGTATCATAAATTCTTTTTTGTGCTCACCTATGAATTATGTTTTGTTGGACAGAATGTTAGGTTCCTTGCAAAGTTCATTACCGAAGCTGGGATCATCATTAAGAGGAAGCAGGTCAAATTGGATGTTTCTTGCTTTAGTCTAGCTTGGTTTTATGGTTTATACGATATGTAATGATGCTTTGCTAGTTCACAACTTCACATGATTAAACCCTCTTTTGATTTATTTCTTCTTGCACAGACTGGCATTAGCGCAAAGGCACAAAGAAAGATTGCTAGAGAGATCAAAACAGCCCGTGCATTTGGCCTTATGCCTTTCACAACAATGGGTACAAAGGCATTTCAGTTTGGGAAAACCATGGAGAACAGAGATCAAGATTTCGAATATGAAGTGCTTGATGATGATGATGAGTTTGACGAGGGAAATGCTTGAATCTGAAGGATTGGATTGGGTTAGTTTTCATTTCCAGGGATTTGGTCAAATTATTTGGAATAAGCTACTGTTATCAAGTTGAGAGAATACGTGAATGACTGTATTTCAATAGCTGCTCCCAGTTTTCATGTTGTCCCGATGTCACCTTAGGTTCATCCCAATACCAAAGGATTAGGATTTGTATCTTATGACTCTAGTTTGTTACTTTTGAAGATCTGAGTCAGTCAGACTGATTATTTATCATTGTCTTTCATCACCCAATGTATTTGCAAGATTACGGTTTCTTTATTCTATAAATCAAGTTGTAATCAATTATCATCTCGTGCTACAGCTGATGAACATACGTATGTCAAAAAAGAAAGGATACACAAAAAATTTATGTCCTAGAAAAGACAATTCATTTGGAACTCTTTTTTGTTCTTGTCATCTCCATGTATCTAACATTTTCGATTGTTTTCTTCTTCTGTTGGATCAACCTCTCAAGCCTACTCCTATCTGCTACTGGAAGTTTACATGGTTGATCCAGAGAAGGTACGACTCTGGATCTTTCGAGTAGTTCCCGCTCTTTTTGTTCTGCGAAGCAGAGCAATGATCCTGCACAGACTTCATTAGCCGAAGCCGGCTTCTCTGGCTTGAACTTCTGAAGCTTAGAGTACTCAGTGATGAGATGAAACATATAGTCATAAACACGGTCCATGCTAATGCTTTCCATATAACCTTGTCCTCTTTTTCCAATTGTTTCAGCCTGTGAAAAGTAAATGTCTTAGGAACATGATTGGTATCTGATAAATCGATATTATGATGAGGAATGTGGAATTTATACTTGAGAGGGGTTGGCATTGCCCCAGTCAACAGCGTATTTGATGGACCGACATAGATCAGTGGGAGAGATAGGCCAGTAGTTTTCCTTGGGAAGGAGGCCTCTGCTGAAGAAATCTTCATACTCAGGTGAGATTATGAGTGTCATGGAACCACATGATAGGATATACTTTAGAGAAACTGACCACGCATAACCCTCTGCATATATTTTGTACCTTAAGATGCAAAGAATTCCAACCATATTAGATCCTTCTCATATCCTCCACTCATATATGATATATCTTGGGTAGACTTACCGGTGATTGCATTGGTTGGAAAGCTTGGATTGCTCAAACCCACCTTTTGCTTCTTCTGCCCAGTCCTGTATTTTAAAACACACATCAGTATCACTCCCACTAGGTTAAACTATCTATTAGGCTTCTAAGCATAGCGAACCTGGCGCATAATCTGTGCTCCCCATAACCTTGAATGGTTGCATTTCATGAGCTCCAATCTTATAGGCGATACAACATCGGGATTGCCTTTCCAGTAAGCTCTAGGTTGCTTGTTGTCCCAACTTCTTCTCCTAGACCCTTGCTTTATATCCCCAAACTCTTCTTCCCAGGGCCTTAGGTTTGTCTCCGACCTTCATCACACCACTGAGATTCAGACAAGAGTTGAGGAACAGCTGATATCAGTCAGTTGAAAAGAGAGATACGTACCATCCCCAAAACGACCAATCCGGAAAAGGAATGTCCAAATGAGCTTCATTGGTGCAATATCTAAAAAGCGGAACGGGAAAGGACTGGTACTCGGTCTGGTTGATGATGGGTTTGTCCATACAATCAAACATCATGTCGACATCAGGAACCATTCCTGGATACTTGTTGAGCAGTTGCAGAATCCCCCAAATGGTGAACATCATTCTGCTCTGCACACACGCGTAATAGAGATCCACGTACAACTTCCCCGATAGTATCACCACTCGAAACGCAGCATTCGCTTTCGCCCTCTTCACATGCTCTTTAGTGACCCCAGTCTCTGCCCATGGCTCTAAATCCCGGTGAATCCACCTGGCTTTTCACCAAATCAATGAAAAATCAACGGTTTAGGCCAATAAAAGAAAGTTTAATTCTTTCTGAATCATGTGAATAACACATTTCAAATTACTGGATGGAATTGCTTCGTTCAAACAAACCTGAAGAAGTCTGGGCATTGTTGTTGATGGGTTCGACGACCCGACCCAGATTCCGACTGGAGACTCTTTGGTTGGACAACAGCGTTGTACGGACATGAGAAGTAGGAGCACTGGAGGATTCGGTAAGCCTGAGAATGTTTTGTACCTTCGCTGAAAGATTTGCGTGGGAAGATGTGCCACGGCGTTGGTTCCAAGTTATGTCCGGCCAGAGTTTTTGTCTGAGCTATAAAGTCGTCAACCTGTTCGACGAAATTACCCAGTGAGACAAAACACAGGGAAACATAGTCACGTGTTTGTCCCTTTTAGATCACAGAGCAATAAAAGCAACATTCAGCTCGAAATTTTTCGCTAGATCCATTAATCACGGAGAAAACAGATAACATAAAACAGAAAAAAAAAATCCATAATTCCGAGTATCATCAATGTCGTCTGTCAGCTTTCCCGACAAATCACTCACTGAATATATAACGACGACAGAAAGTGGCAAAATTCTATGATTCTGTCAGATCCAAATACGTAATTCCGAAAGCATATGTAAGAGTTTCAATATTAAATTGCTGAATAAGGAGAAGAAGAGGAAATATACCTTGTAGAGAAGAAGAGCGGTGAAGGAGAAGAAGGAGAGAGCAAGAACACATAGAAGGAGATAAGAAGGTGTACGAGGAGAGCTTTTGTGAGGAAGACGAAGACGGAGACGAAGACCCATTTTTTCTCTTCTTTTTCTTTTTCTTTTTCTTTTTCTTCTGCAAAACTTTTTCTTTCTTTTCTTCTACTTTTTGTTTATTGGCCTCAAGAAATATTCTCTGGATTTTATTGGTTATACAGTGCGCCGCTCGACGCGGAGGTTCACTTTTCTTTACATCAGTTTGTTTCTATTTTAATTCTACGATTTTATCTTTCTTTTTTTCTTTTTTTGTTAAAATTAAAAGGAATTTATTATTTATCTTTACCACGTCACATTGGAATGTACTTACACAAGAGAATATATTTTGTTAACTAAATTCACCAACATGGGTCCTGTTGATTTTGTGTTCTCTGGGCTCATTCATTTATTTAGTTTGGAAAGTTAAGGAGAGAGTAGACTTTAGTTCTTGGTGAAAAGTTAAAACAGAGAGAAACAGAGGTCGTGTGGTATTTAAGAAGGGTATCTATACCCGGTGACCCCAGACGAATGGAAAATTAACTGACAGATTATGACACTATTTGCCCAACTTCTGTAGCATAATTATGACTATTACACCCCTACCCGCCTATCGGCTAAAAGAGAGATATATTTTGTGTACAGTTTATGTGTGTCAGAAACAGAGATATCATATCTATCTCTAGATTTCATTTTCAAAATTTCTTTGGGAATAGTATTCGTATTAATCATGAGAACAGCGAGACATCGAAGGGTCGTGTTTTTTGGGTTCTTTATCAACAGTTTTTTTTTTTATTTTTTTCCACATGGTTTCAACTTTTTTTCTTCTCCGAGTTCCATATTTTCTCTGGTGTTCTCTTCGTCTTCTGTCTTTGACAAATTCTTTTAATCAAGTTTCGGTTGCGTAATCCTTCAGTTGCTGTTTTCAATCGATTAATTTGATCAAGTAAGGCTTCAAATTTTTTAAAGTTTCCTTTCGATTTCATTATTTTCTGGGTTTAACCGTGTTTTCTGTCTCTGTTTCGTAGATGGAAGATCTCGACCTACCACACCGCCTAATCGCTGCCGGTGAAAAACCTCTTGGAGAGAGGGCTAATGTTTACAACAAAATGAAAACTCTTAGAGACATCATCGATTCGTTGGATCAAACTCTTACCTCTAGGTTAGCGGAGTGATTTTGAAATTTATCTGATAACCATTTCTATTCTTTCTTTTGTTTATTATCCGTTAACAACGTTATATTCAATACTCATGTAGACTGCAAAGGAAGTTTGTTTTGATATTCCAGATGATGGTGAATTTGTCAATGGTATGGCAACAGAGAATCCGGTAAGCCTATTAACGTAATTTATATATTAGGCGTTAATTTACAAGTTATATGTTATCACCTTTTGTTTGCTAATTGTTTTATTTACGATTTGTCCAACAAAATAAGTTGAAGTACCTCTACACGATGTAGAGAAAACCACTGATCATGCCAATGCAGAGGTTAAAGAGTAATATTATTGTTATTTGATACTTTGTTTGTTACCGTATAACTCAGTCGGTTTGTTTTCTGCAGGTCTGTGGAATGGAAACATGAAACCAGGTAAGTGTGCTTAGCAATTTATTCCTTAGGCGTTAAGTTGCAAGTTATCTGTTATCCCTTTCTGTTTGCTAGTTTTTGAATAACGGTGTTCCCAATAAAATAGGACAATTTGACACTCCCCAATGACAATCCTGAGGTCTGTTTATGTTATAACTATAAAAATTGTTTTTACCTAGTATTAACAGGACATTATTTTTGTTTAATTCATATTAACCTATTAAAAATTCCTTAGTCACTATCATTTTTGTTACCGCTGTATTTTTTGTTAGTTATGCATATTATATCGTATCTTTGTATATATTAGTTTTGGTAGCTTCTGTTTCCGCAGGTTGATTTACCTGTTAACACTACAGTTATCAACGACGTTATCCCAAACCCAGAGGTAGTTTGTTACTGTTAGATATACTTACATGGAGATATCTATCAAACCTAGTATTATCAGGACATTGTTTTCGTTTAATTCATATTAACCTATAAAAAATTCCTTAGTCACTATCATTTTTGTTACCGCTGTATTTTTTGTTAGTTATGCATATTATATCGTATCTTTGTATATATTAATTTTGGTAGCTTCTGTGTTCCGCAGGTTGTTTTACCTGTTAACACTACAGTTATCAACGACGTTATCACAAATCCAAATGTAGTTTGTTACTGTTAGATATACTTATATGGAGATATCTATCAAATTATCCTCTACATTCAGAGTTAGTTCATATATGTAGTGTTACCTTTCTACAGATTTAAGGTTTTTATAATTTTAATTTTTTTTCATTTTTCAGCGAAAGTCAACAAGAGGCTGATAGTCAACAAGAGGCAGATAGTCAACAAGAAGCAAAGTCTGAATTCAAATCCAGGATGAATAAGATGATGATTGTTTTAGTTTTTTGTTGTATGATCATGCTTGTTCTCATTAAGCTAGTAGGTTGAGGCATTGTTGTCCCATGATGTGTTGTAATGTTATCTCTGAAATTCATCTCTGTTATCTCTCTAACTAATTACTTATGTGATTTTTATTTTTTCTACTACGGTCCCTTTAAAAAGTTATTTCTATCTAAAACCGAATATTTGTTACTTGTTTGTGTTGATTATCAATAGGAACAAAGGAATAAGTTAAAAGAATAGGATAACCAAACAAATTAATTAGTCTCTAACAACAAAGTTATACAAGTTATACTAATTCGATGGGGTTAATGAACAAGTTACCGAAATGTGGTACCTCGGTCAGTTAATGTTTACTCTTTTACTTACCCATTTCCTACAACATACATAGATCTTGCCATATCATTTTTCTTATCGCCTAAATCTGTTGATTATGGTCTAAACAAACTCTTATCGCATTAATTTGTTTCGTATGTCACTTGTTGTTTTAGGTTCCCAAATATTCTTCTTTATACCCAATTCGCAATAAATATGTTATCATTTTACAAATGATAGCTCGATAACATGTTTCTTACGCGTAGTCCAAACTTGTCATACAAAGTTGCACATAGTTATCAGATAATTAAACATTATCTGACTTTCATTAAAATAATAAAACATTAACTGATATTTTTTTTGGGTCGGAAAACATTAACTGACATCATCTAATGTTATCTTGCGACAGAGATTGTGTCAGTTGTAGGGGCGTTTTCGTCAAAATTCTGTGTGTCAGAAGAGAGAGATTTAATTACGTTGTTTCCGTTCCCAAATCTTGTAATATCTAATCTTCTATGGTTTAATATTTTGTTCACCCATTTAAGAACACAAAATGTTTTGTAAAGCTTCAACAACTTCATCTAATAACATGTCTTACCCACCTTAATGTCTTGAGTTTGGCCAAAACTTTTGGAAATTTGTTAATACTTTTTTTACCATTAGGTTAGATGATGCTATGTTATTAGATTTGGAGTTTGGTATGTGAATTAGGTTTGTAAAAACATGTCTCATGTAGTGTGTTTTATTTATTAAAACATTACATGATGGAAGTTAACTTTATGGTGTCTTACCCATCAAAGTGTATTCAAGTTTGGCCATTATGTCTTCTCCTATATAAGTTAACAAATGTGTTCGATACAAACATAACAAGCCAAAAGAGATCCATCTTCTTCATTTCATGCACTTAAAACTTCAACATTCAAGAAAGAGCTGGACTGCTGGAGGATCGGATTAGGCACTCATTAAAATTATATATATACACATAGATTCTGTCTATTTTTGGATAAGGATACATTTTAGTATTACAGGAAGCCTCCATCCATTCCAACTATGGAGATGGAGGCCATACGCGACAATCAGCGCCATTGTACTACATTACGTTACCGTATATTCTTTGATCCATTACATACTAAGTATATATACTTTTTTGGGTACATGAGAAGACCACATATATTATTTACATATAATCCATTTCTTCAATTATTGATTTCAGTAGCTTCCAACATACTTGTTGGTCCCTTCACTGGGACTGGTCCGGGTTGTCAGAGATGGCCTCATAGTGACTATAGTGTTTTCGTCTGCTCCTGCTTCCAGTGCAGCCATCCCTGCTTCCAGAAACTTCTGAACAGCGTCCTCTGCGTATTTGTTGCCTTCACTTACTGTCATGTTCTTCCCAATGTCTGGATATGAGTTTAGGAGATGATCTCCAACAAGTTGAGAGGCCAGTTGGATCAGCTCCACCTGGAATTCTGAGAGCTTTGAGTCTTCTTTTGCTCCCCATGGCCTCAGCGATAGTTTCACTTCCGGCAGTTTCTCTGTTAGACGTCAGAAATTGATGAAACCAATCTAAAGTAAGTTCTAATTTCTCAATTGTTAAGTTCTAATTTCTCAATTGTTCAATAGAATAAACAATAATAAACCTACAAAGCTACGTCACTGATAGATTCTCAAATGTAGCAACATTCAAGGAGTATTTTTCAACCACTATTTTGACGAACAAGTTATACCAAAAGGAACCGTCTACAAATGCTTCAGCGATGCGGTGAGATACTTAATGAAACATTATATATTTGTATTGTCCTGTAAGGCTTCAGAGCCAAAAAAAAACTGAGATCATGTAATGGAATGGGAAATCAGGTAGAGAATGAAACAGACCTGGACAATCTTGGCGAGGAGAATCTCGGATACGGAAGTATTTCTCAAATGTACCAGCCCATGCATCTCTCTTGGTCAGGAAGTGAGACTTTAGGTTGAAGAGTTTCTTCACCGTTGCAGGTATAGAAGAATGCTCAAACTGTGAATGTGGTGTTGGACCATCAGGTTCATGTATCACTGCAACAAAATCGATCCCAACACCAGTCTTATCAAAAATCACAAAGACGGAATGATAAAACAAATACACACAAGAAAGTTATACAAAGATTCAAAAGAAGAATTGAGAATAAAAACTAATGGGATTAACATGAACAATGTGATCTCCCTAAAAAATGGATATTAGTCCAAGCCAAATCATGTGCAATTTTCTCACCAGTTTAACATTTCAAACATCGAGCTGGATATGAAATTTTCAATAGTCAAGATCAATATAAACACAAGTACACAACTATCAAAACAGAGTCTGAAAAGTGTAAGAGCCATGGTTCAACAATGACAGAAATTTAACAGATCACATACCAGTGCCCTTCTCAATCCAGGGAGAGATCAGAAAGGTAGGGACCCGAACACCCAATCGGTCAAACCCGAAGTAAAACGGGTCAGGTCCAATGATACCATCAGGGTTAGGCACACCTTTAACCGGCGTGGGAACATGGTCATAAAACCCACCGTGTTCATCATAAGTTATGAGCAAAGCCATCTCTTTCCACTGTGGACTGCTTCGTAACGTCTCATAAACTTCCTTAACAAACCGTTGACCAGCTGCCACGTCATGCGACGGATGATCATCATTAGCCGGAAAAAGGTCGATATCGAAATATCTCTGTTCCACAACAGAGTAATTCGGAAGCTTCCCAAGCTTAGCGTCAAGCTTGAACTTAAGCGCATAGCTATGAAACTTCACCAAATGTTTAAGCCTACGAAGAGACTTGAAGAAGAACGTAGCAGGAATGTTTTGGTAATAAATCCCAAAACTGAGTCCGTTCTCTTCTAACGAATCAAAGATCGTCTTTTGAGGAAACCCTCTAACGAGATCTTTCTTCACGTTGCTTGAGCATCCATGAGAAGTAGCTGAGTGAACGTAGAATCGATTCGGTTGAGTCGAAGTCGGTACTGATGCGAACCACCGATCGAAAACTCCGAACTCGTTCGCTAACTCGGTGTAAACAGGTAAGACTTCGGGTTTGAATCCGCTCATCACGTTCTTAGCCATTCCTGGCTCCATACTCTCCGATTGTTGAGCGAATCCGTTCATTTTCGGGTCGCCGGATGTATCGTTCGACCCGAATATCTGTTCTCGGATCGCTTGGAATGAATGACCCGGATCCATGTCTACGAAGACGGCGTCGTCGGAGACGAAGATCTTTTCGGAATTTGGATCGGAGACGTTGAGTGGATTTGACTCTTTACCGGTTAATCCGTCGATTTCGGGTCGGGTCGATTTGAGCCAACCGAGGATGTGATCGAAAGAGCGATTCTCCATGACTACAACGACTATAGTCTTGATTGGTCCTTCGATCTTGTGGGGTTTTTTGAATTCTAGAGATTGAGATGAAATTAGTAAGTAGCAGAAGAGAATTACAGTGGTAGATACTCGCCGGAAAGCCATTTCCCGGTGACCTTAGACCCGGAAAACGGCTCAGTGTAGAAGGGTAAAATTCGGCAGAGTTTTTCTAGGGTTTAGTTTAGAAGAGAAATGGTGTTGAGAGAGGAGCAAAAGGCATATACTTGAAGAATAACAATGGAGATACCATAAGATTTAAGCAATGAGAGCGATGAAGCCGAAAAAAGTCCTCTTTGGTTTTAACATTCCTTTTCAAAACATAAAAACTATCTTAAACTACGTTTGACTTTTGGTCAAGAAAATCCCAAACTAGATACCAAGTCAAAGAAACGAAAACCTCGATTAAAAAAGTAATTGCAGAAAATATTTGCAAAACTTGATGAATGGCTAAAGTGTTAACATGGATTTTGCGTGTTTTAAAACGGGAAAATTCCCTAAAAAAGCCCCACTTATTTAATATTTGCCAGAAAACTACCTAAACTTTTTTCGTTGCCAGAACAATACACAAACTAATTTGGGTTGGAAATAAAAAACACTAACTAATTTTTTTTTCCGATTTCCTCCCTTCGCCGTAACGGCCGTCAACAGCGTTATCCAAATCGTCAAACGCTGTTAATTTTATTTACGGAAAAATTCCTAAAAAAATCCCCGACTTATTTAATATTTGCCAAAAAATACATGAACTTTGTTGTTGTCATAAAAATACCCAGACTAATTTAACTTGGAAATAAAAAACACGATATGTTTTTTTTTTAAGGATTTCTCCAACCAACATGTTAAATGCTTTTAATTTTGTTTAAGGAAAATTCCTAAAAAAACTTGACTTATTAAAGAAATCCTCTAAAACCTTCAGTTCTTCAGTAATATCAACTAAAATCATGTTATTAATGTGTAACTTTTTCTAAATTGCTAATGCTTTTTTCAACAATCTATCATATGTGAACAACAGTAAATTAAAAAAATTTTACCCACTTTGTTAGCCGAAGGTTCTTCTTAATTTCTTCAATTTATTGTTGTTCGCATCAGATATAGATAGATGTTGTATGTTAAAACTAGGATTTAATATAAGTATTATATCGATTTTGATTTTATAAGGGGATAACATCGGTTTTTTAGCCATTCTTATTTATCATGTGCAAAGAAAATGAGAAAAATAACGGTATTTACTATTTGGTTAACATGTTGATAACTGTTACAATAAAGTGGGTAAAATTGGAACAAAAAATAGGTCGTGCTTTTTATTTCAACTTTAAATTGATCTGTATATTTTTCTGGCAGAAAAAAAAGTTCAGGTATTGTATTGGCAAATATTAAATAAGTTGGGTTTTTTCTAGAATTTTTCGTAAATAAAACTAAAAACGTTTGATGATTTGGTTAACGTCGTTGACGGCCGTTACGGCGAAGGGAGGTAATCGGAAAAAAAAATTAGATCGTGTTTTTTATTTCCAACCCAAATTAGTTTGTGTATTTTTCTGGCAACGAAAAAAGTTTAGGTAGTTTTCTGGCAAATATTAAATAAGTGGGGTTTTTTTAGGGAATTTTCCCGTTTTAAAACATGATGTTGTTTTGTCGGATGCACGATATTTACATACTATACATATTCACATTCGAATGTAAATCATGTACAAAGTCAAAAACATAGGGTCACCAGAAGACAGTACATACTAATTCTTCTACTAAACCTATTCATCTGATGTCTAGACAACTAATACTAACTAAACTAAAAGGGCTGGCTACAATAACAAATATTGAGAGTCGAAAGAGTGAAACCCACGCGCCCCTCTTTTTTTCTCTCCCAACTGCGACTGCGTACAACCTAATCCCATCGTCGATTTCGCCTCTCCGGCAACGGTTCCGTTTACCGATTGCCGGAGAGGGCTTCTCTCTCACCCTTTTCTCTCTGTTAGCCTTCTCCGTCTCGCCGTTGTTGTTCTGTTCGTGTCTTGTCCTTGGCTGGCTTTTCGTCTCTTGTTGGTGGTGAGGCGGCGAGTGGCTTTGTTCGTCGCACGGTTCAAGGGACAGTGTGCCTGTTCTCCCGGTGTGCTCTTGATTTCAGCGCTTGAGGACGGTGTTGTTTCAGAGCTTCTTTTCCGGTGAGATTGGCTTCAGATCTGTCCTCGTGCGGCGTGTCTCTTGCCGGTTCTGGCTGTGGCTCCGGTGAGACGAATGGTGCAGCGGTGTAGCTCCTAGCGGCGGGACCATTCTCCCATCTGAGAAACCGGTGGTGCATCACCGTGTTCTTTAGAAGTCGTCGTTTCCTCTTGTGGGACGGGCTCTGCGACGGTTGCTCGGTGAGTCGGTTCTTCTCTTCTCGGGTCTCTCTGACCTTATTTTTCTCCAGCTCCGGTGGTGGTGTAATTGGATCCTGCGGGCATCTCTTTTGGAGGCAAGCCTCGTGGTCATTTGTGGCTCGCTTGGTTTGTTCGTTGCGGTTAGAGACGTTGTGGGTTATGTTGTTGGTGGTTAACGTGTCTCCTTCATTGGTGGGCTGTAGAGGGTGGCAGCTTCTCAGCCATGGTTATGGCTTCTCCGTAGCCATTTGTCTTTCTCTCTGATGCGTCGTCTCCGGTTGCTTTAAGGTGGAGTTTTGTTGTTGAAGGTGTCGTCGGTATCGGTTCTTTTTGTGTAGGTGAGCTTCTAGGTGCTTAGGTAAGGTTAGCCGAGTTTGAATAGAGGCGGCGAATAGGTCTAAGTGGCATCGCTAACACGTTGTGCTAGTGTAGAAGTCCATGGTTGCCTGTGCGTTTTTGCGTTAGTTCTCGGAGAAGCTGTAGGCTTCTATCTCGAGGTTTTGAGGACGGGCCTCGGATAGTTTAGCTCGTGGCAACTACGATGAGGATTCCAGTGCTTCGGTTCTGTGGCAACCACGCAAATTTCCGAGCTTCGCGGACTCGGAATCGGTGTTTCATCTCGTAACTTGGCCTTGAACACTTAATAGCGATTTCCGAAACAATTTGAGTAGTAATGTTGTATTTATTTTCTGTAGATTGTTTTAATCCGCTTCATGTAATCTTTGTAATTCTGTCAAAAATTAAAAATGGTATAAAATTTAACCTTTTACCAAAAAAAAAAAAAAACTAAACTAAAAGGGGCTTTAGGCTTCAACACTAAAGAGTTTAGCCAAGTCATTGCTCCACTTTTGTTGTCCAAAGAAAGAGAGAATAAAACTCGCTGTCTTCCGCTTCAATTTTTGTTCAAGTCCAGTAGATATTTCTTCTACTCTTTTTTACCGTCAAATCGTAATAATTGTCTCTCTTTCTTTTTCCCCCTTGGACTCTATTACACATCATACACATACTAACTAAGCAATAAGTTTGCTAAATTAATGTGCCACTTTTGTAAGCTCAAGGTCTCAAACAAAGACTAAAATACAAAACTAACTAGTGTACTTTATTTTTGAGTAAAAAAATTTGACCGTCAAAGCCTAATTATTATAATAATCAGTTTTTCTTGTTTATTTCTACTTTATATATCGGACTCCACTACCATATCCTACTTACCAAAGAAACAGCGTTTCATTTTCTTCAATAGAAAATTCATAAAGAAAAAGTATAGAGATGAAGAAAGCAGAGCTAATATTCGTTCCTTTGCCGGAGACCGGCCATCTTTTGTCAACGATAGAGTTTGGAAAGCGTCTGCTCAATCTAGACCGTAGGATTTCCATGATTACAATCCTATCCATGAATCTCCCTTACGCTCCTCACGCCGACGCCTCTCTTGCATCACTCACAGCCTCCGAGCCTGGAATCCGACTCATCAGTCTCCCGGAGATCCACGATCCACCTCCGATTAAGCTTCTTGACACTTCCTCCGAGACTTACATCCTCGATTTCGTCGATCAAAACATACCAACTCTTAGAAAAACCATCCAAGATTTAGTCTCATCATCATCTTCCGGAGATGGTTGTCATGTCGCCGGCTTGATTCTTGATTTCTTCTGTGTCGGTTTGATCGATATTGGCCATGAGGTAAACCTTCCTTCCTATATCTTCATGACTTCCAACTTCGGTTTCTTAGGGGTTCTACAGTATCTCCCGGAACGACATCGTTTGACTGCGTCGGAGGTCGATGAGAGCTCCGGCGAGGAAGAGTTACAGATTCCGGCGTTCGTGAACCTTGTTCCCGCCAAGGTTCTACCGCCTGGTGTGTACGACAGACTCTCTTACGGGTCTCTGGTCAAAATTGGCGAGCGATTACATGAAGCCAAGGGTATTTTGGTCAATTCCTTTACCGAAGTCGAGCCTTATGCTGCTGAACATTTTTCTCGAGGACGAGATTACCCTCACGTGTATCCTGTTGGGCCGGTTCTCAACTTAACGGGCCGGCAAAATCCAGGTCTAGCTACGGCCCAGTACGAAGAGATGATGAAATGGCTTGACGAGCAACCAGACTCTTCGGTTTTGTTCCTGTGTTTCGGGAGCATGGGAGTCTTCCCTGCACCTCAGATTACAGAGATAGCTCACGCGCTCGAGCTTATCGGGTGCAGATTCATCTGGGCGATCCGTACGAATATGGCGGGAGACGGCGATCCTCACGAGCCGCTTCCAGAAGGATTCGTCGATCGGACAATGGGCCGTGGAATTGTGTGTAGTTGGGCTCCACAAGTGGATATCTTGGCCCACAAGGCAACAGGTGGATTCGTTTCTCATTGTGGATGGAATTCTGTACAAGAGAGTCTATGGTACGGCGTACCAATTGCCACGTGGCCGATGTATGCGGAGCAACAGCTCAACGCATTTGAAATGGTGAAGGAGCTGGGCTTAGCCGTGGAGATAAGGCTTGATTACGTGGCTGATGGTGATAGGGTTACTTTGGAGATTGTATCAGCCAATGAAATAGCCACAGCCGTCCGATCACTGATGGATAGTGATAACCCTGTGAGAAAGAAGGTTAAAGAGATATCAGGAGTGGCGAGGAAAGCTGTTGGTGATGGTGGATCTTCTATGGTGGCCACAGGAACTTTTATCAGAGATATTCTTGGGGATCACTTTTGATCATTCTCTTTGGGAGCAAACTAAATATGTAATTTGTAATAATAACGCCATTCCTGCTTTAAGACAAGAGTCAATGATTTCTATAATCATCTAAGAAACAGACAATTTTGTAACTGAAAACCTTAAAACAGCATACCTCAATTACCCAACCACATTCTAACTCTCACATGACATAATTACTGTCAATTACAACCAATTTCTTTACATCTTTCCACATATTTTATCTAGTTCATGAATATCTCCATTTCTTTTATTTGTTGGCGTGCTAAACATGCATATTTTGGTGGATGACCAACATTTCTCTCATTTTCACAAAATTTAATTATTTTATGATGGAATTTAGAAATTTCTTTTTGGCAAGGACTGGTTTTGCAATTAAACAGAACTCCCATGAATCAAAGACTCACAGTCCTACACGACACCACTGACACACACACATCCTTAACAACATTTCCACATTTGTGGTGCTTTTCTCACTTTTGTCTAAAACCAAACAAATCTCAAGCCGAAGTAGAAACCAAGAGAGATGGTGAAGGAAACAGAGCTCATCTTCGTTCCAGTTCCATCCACAGGTCATATCCTCGTCCATATTGAATTCGCCAAGCGTCTCATCAATCTCGACCAACGGATCCACACAATCACTATCCTCAACTTGTCTTCACCCTCTTCTCCTCACGCCTCCGTCTTCGCCAGATCTCTCATCGCTTCACAGCCCAAAATACGTCTCCACGACCTTCCCTCTACCCAAGATCCTCCTCCATTTGATCTCTACCAAAGAGCTCCGGAAGCTTACATCGTAAAGCTCATCAAGAAAACTACTCCTCTGATCAAAGACGCCGTCTCCAGCATCGTCGAGTCGCGTCGTCGAGGATCAGATTCGGTTCGAGTCGCCGGTTTGGTTCTCGATTTATTCTGCAATTCATTGATTGCTGATGTTGGCAACGAGCTTAATATTCCTTCTTACATATTCCTCACGTGTAACGCTAGATATTTGGGGATGATGAAATATATTCCAGATCGGCATCGGAAAATCGCATCTGAGTTCGATTTGAGCTCCGGCGATGAGGAATTGCCGGTTCCAGGATTCATAAACGCTATTCCGACGAAATTTATGCCGCCTGGATTGTTCAACAAAGAAGCTTACGAGGCTTACGTCGAGCTAGCGCCGAGATTCGCTGATGCGAAGGGTATTATGGTAAATTCCTTCGCCGAGCTTGAGCCACACCCGTTTGACTATTTCTCTCACCTGGAGAACTTCCCTCCGGTTTACCCGGTCGGACCGATTCTCAGCTTGAAAGATCGAGCGAGTCCGAACGAAGAAGCAGCCGATCGGGATCAGATCGTTGGGTGGCTCGATGATCAGCCAGAGTCATCGGTGGTGTTCCTCTGTTTCGGGAGCAGAGGAAGCGTTGATGAGACGCAGGTGAAGGAGATAGCTCAAGCGTTGGAACTCGTCGGCTGCAGATTTCTTTGGTCAATTCGAACAAGCGGCGCCGCGGGGACGAGTCCTAACGATGTGTTGCCGGAGGGGTTCATGGGCCAAGTAGCGGGCCGAGGTTTGGTATGTGGTTGGGCTCCACAAGTGGAAGTGTTGGCCCATAAAGCAATAGGAGGGTTCGTGTCTCACTGTGGTTGGAATTCTACGCTTGAAAGCTTATGGTTCGGCGTTCCTGTCGCCACGTGGCCGATGTACGCAGAGCAACAGCTTAACGCTTTCACGTTGGTGAAAGAGCTTGGACTTGCGGTGGATCTCCGGATGGATTACGTGTCGAATCGTGGGGGTTTGGTGACTTGTGATGAGATAGCCAGAGCCGTCCGATCGTTGATGGACGGTGGGGATGAGAAAAGGAAAAAGGTTAAGGAGATGGCTGATGCAGCGAGGAAGGCTTTGATGGATGAAGGATCGTCGTCTTTGGCAACTGCTCGATTCATCGGAGAATTGTTTGAAGATGGTTCGTCGTGCTAATGCAAATGTTGGTGCAATCATTCAACATGCTTAGTTATTTGATACCGAAAACAAATTTGCTTAGTTAATTATATCTGATCCTGGAGAATATACTTGAAACTATATGTATTTTTTCTTTTCACTAATAAACTTATATGTTAAGTGAAATATGCTTCTTTTCTTTGACTGATTCAGTTTCTTGGGAATTTTATTTTAAGTTGATGTCTAAGCTTAAACCGACTAACCAAATCCAAACCAAATAGAAACGATTAAAGACAAAACACGCCACAACGACGACGTTTATAATAGAACTAAACATCCCCGCCGATCAACTCGTCGAGGAATCCTTTAACCGCAAGAAAGGAAGATCCTCCGTCCATCAAAGCCTTCCTCGCCGCTTCCGCCATCTCCTCCACTCTCTTCCTCGGCGTATCCTCACCGTCCATCAGCGATCGTATGGCTCCTGCGATCTCCTCAGCTTTTACTATCTCTCCGTACGCTGAAACGTAATCTAAACGCAGCTCCACGGCTAACTCTAACTCTTTCACCATCGTGAACGCGTTTAGCTGTTGTTCAGCGTACATTGGCCATGTGGCGATCGGAACACCGAACCATAAGCTCTCCAGCACGGAGTTCCAACCACAGTGAGACACGAATCCTCCGGTCGCTTTATGGGCCAGAACTTCCACTTGCGGTGCCCAATCGCACACTAATCCCTTACTGGCCGTCCGATCGAGAAATCCCTCCGGCAACAAATCGTACGGGCTTGCTTTCTCCGTCGGATTTGTGCGGATTGACCAAAGAAACCTTTGGCCGGTCAGTTCTAAGGCTTGAGCTATCTCTTCAATCTGCGGTTTGCCGAGGATCCCGAGGCTTCCGAAGCAGATGTACACAATTGACGACTCCGGCTGGTCCTCGAGCCATCTCATGATCCGGTCCCGGTCCGATGGGTCCAGGTCCGGGGACGGACGATCCTTCAAACTAAGAACCGGTCCAACCGGGTAAACCGGAGGATAGTTCTCAGGAAGACGAGCGAAGTAATCAAATGCGTTCTGCTCAAGACATGTAAATGAGTTTACCAAAATGCCCTTGGCTCCTGGGAACTTCTCTGCAATCTCGACCCATGCCTCGTAGGACTCTCTCACGAATAGACCTGGAGGCAAAACCTTCGTCGGCACGGAGCAAACGTACCCGGGAATCGGATGTTTGTCGTCGCCGGAGCTTAAATCTAGCTCAGAAGCGGTTATTCGATGCCTCTCAGGGAGATACTTCATCATACTTAAAAGACCAGCGTTACACGTTAGGAAAATGTAAGAAGGAAGGTTAAACTCATTTGCCACTTGAATCATTGGGACACAGAAGAAATCGATAACCAAACCGATGACACGAACCGAACCGGGTTCATTACGTGAAGAAAGTATAGTGGAGAGAGCGTCTCTGACTAAAGGAACTGTTTTCTTGGTGGACTCAAGAATATAAGCCTCGGGGGCTTTAAAGAAGAGCTCCAAGGATGGAGGGTTTTGAACATCAGTCAAAGCAACGAGACGGATTCGAGGCTCTGAAGCAACGAGAGATTTAGCGAAGAGCTGGGCTTGAGGAGCGAGAGGTAATGCCCAGTGGAGGATGGTTATGGTGTGGATGCGATCATCACGTTTGATGAGAGATTTAGCGAATTCAATGGAGACAAGAAGATGACCAGGGGCTGGATAAGTAACGAAGATGATTTCTGCTTCTGCTTTCATCGTCTTCTTCTGATTACCTTCAAGGGTGCCAAAGTAGATCAACCTCTGGAGATGACCTCACTTGACTTATTCGACTTCTTCTCTCTCTATCTCTGTGTTTAATGCTTTTAGTTTTATTTTTGGGCTCTATATTGATATTTAAACAAATGAACGAATGATTGATGGCTATACTACGCATGCACTGATACACGTTTTAGCCGCCGTCGGCCGTTCCATCATATTTAATTACACAGTTTGCCAATTATTTGGTTAAACACTCGAGTTTACTATTTACACTCACGGGTTTACGCTATAGTTACCATTTACAAGTCTATACTCAGACTTTAGTGGAATCTATAAGAGTTTTTTGGGCAGAAAAGCTTGTTTGGTTCTAAACAAGAAAAGAAGCATGTATACATTAAGTCATTGACCCTAGATAGGAATTAGGATCGCAACTACTCCTTTTTCAACACATTATAACCAAAACTTTAGAAGGAACGTGTTTATTTTTTGTTTTGTTTATACATTAAGAAGGAACGTGTTAACTTTGATGTACATTTTTGTTTTGAACTGTTAAATAATTTCTACAGAAAAGGCAACTCAAGACTTACCTTCAACAATGACATATTCACACAAAGATATAAAAACACTTTAATGAAGACTGATAAAAAAACCAAACCAAAGAGATAAGTCCAGCACGAGAGGGAAAAAGCTAACCACTTTTACTGGAAAAAGAAACTAAACCCACTACTTACCAACTCCTTTCACAGCTCACACACACCCTCCCAGAGGAAAGAATGAGTATTAAATTGTGGAGAGACCCTACATACATATGCTAAATAACTAATGGGAAAAAAGTTAATTAAATACCTAATTTTTCACTAACTGTCCCAATAAATTAATTGATGGTACAATTAGTTTACTCTATCCATGGTCTTACAACTTAGTCGGCCATTGTTTGCACCAGATGTTTTCCTTTGTACGAATGCGGAAAAATCGTATCTCCTGTTGTTTGATGTTTAGACTTAGTAATTTTATCTCGAAGGAGTGTTTACTAGTAGTTTTAAAGATTAGCAAAAATAAAAATAAAAAAAAGCCTGTTTACCTGCAGAGCAAACGTGATGTCTAATTCGTCTACTCTCAGGCTAACTCTCTTTAGCTTATCCCCACGAGCTTGACCGAATTTTAATATCCCCTGAAGCAACAAAACCCATTTTTGATCAAATATCACTTCTTCGAGAAAGATTTTATTGATTTTTCTGAACTATCATCAGTATAACATAAGCTTTTCTCCATCAGAAAAAATAGTTAACCACGGCAATAGTAGTTACCTGATCATTTAGCACTGTACACATATTAGTGAACTCTGTAATTCCAGCAGGAGAAATCATCCAAGATTTACAGATTTCTAGATATAACTTATTAAGCTGCATTGAAAGTTGTGAGAAGGGAGATGAGTAATTCCGAACAATGCTTTGGTTTTAATTCAATGAAAATTATGTGTTTCTTGTTTCGTGTTCTAAACGAAGATTTACCTCTCCAATGGTTGCATCCTTTTTGCTTCCTCTGAAAGCCTTTGTAGCAGCACATATTATGATCTGTGAATTGTGTCAAGAGAAGCATGTGATGAGTCCGGTTATATTCTGTAAAATCACTCTTGCTCAACTATAAAAGTTTTATAACATAAATGTAATTATAAGATGACTCTATGTGGATGCAACTTACTTGTTGATGTTGAGGAAGAGATTGAATAGTCTCAACTACAGGAGATTTAAAAGTCTTAGATAATGCAGCAGCCATATGATCCATCCTCACCTGCAACATTGAGAACAGGAAGACCAAGGTCATCAAGAATCCTTGATATTCATATCAGATTCGTTTCAAATAAAAATATCCAAATACTAACCACTGAATCAACTGGAGTAGGACCTTGTGATTCTGGACCAGCTGATCTTCTTACTTCTATTTCTAAGATTTCTAGAGCACTTCTGAAAATATGAATCAAAGGAGAATGTAAGATTTCTGTTCACTAATTGAGAGTCTGAGAGTATGAGCTTTAGTTAGCAACTACTACATTACGTATTTACGACATATTAATCCCAAGCACTATCTTACTCACGTTTCAAATAAATAAGAACAAACTCTGTGAGGAAAAGCTTCATCATGTTGAACTCACCTGCAGACGCATAGTGCCTTTCTCATGTCACCTGATGCTGCAGCAACTTTCTGACACAATGCAAATAAAATAAACCTCAACAATTGACAGGTAGAGGAAAGTAAGGTTGACTCATGACCGAGAGAAAATATCAGACTAGCAAGGATATGGATTCTTACTCTGGCACAGAGCTCCAAGGCTTTTGGTTGAAATGCAACATATGAAAGAACCTGTCAAAACAGAGCTTAAAGTTGGTGAGACATATATAGAAACAACATAGAATATCTTTTAGTTTACAGATTTTTCTGTCTCAAACAAGACCTCTTAGCAGGCAACAAGGTAGAATGAATTACCATAAGCCTCTCCTGAAGTATCCTAAGGATCTGATCTTTAGAATAAGCACGGAAAGTTATAACCATAGGTTTGCCTGCACAAGAAATAGTAGAAACAGCAGTTGATGAGTAAATTCAACACTATCTTTTCAAAGTTGAGACATTCAGTGCACATGGAAGACTGTTTAAAAATGACAAAGTTAAGAAATTCTCACAATTAAGGGACTTCAGTTTTGGAAGGAAACGATCTGCAAGGTCTATTGCATTTGCTACACCTGGAAATCAAAAACGACAGAGTAAGTCACAAATGCATATGAACAGAGGAAATAAGTACATAAATCGTAGCTGTGACTGTAAAAGACAGTACCTATAAGTATACACCTTGAAAATGGCAAAGTTGTAAGCATAAAAAGATCATACAGGACTCCTCGGTCTTTAGTGATCAAGTAATCCATCTCATCTGCTATTATTAACCTGAAAAAGAGTTTGAATAAGGATAACACTGCTTCTGAGAAAAAACGAAGAAACAAAACAACCGTACATCATTCTTGAGCTGGATGATTCTTGTTTTTGAGAAAACAAATTCTGAAGATGTTGTAGAGGTGAAGAGTTAGTGTTAGCTTTCTTTCCAGGCTTGATTTCATGAAGTATCTACAAATAAACAAAAAAGCCTATAAGCATCAATATTAAAGTGAAATCAAGAGGTTTAGGGTCTATAGTTATACCTTGCTGAAAATATCCGTTGTTTTTGTCAGCGAAGTGCAATTCACTGACAATGTATCCACAGGGGGCAAACCTGCCTGATAAAATTCGCCAATGTTCAAACTTTCCGTCGATGACATTGCTTACAAAGTTACAAGTTACGGTATAACTACAAAAACGATACCTGCGTTGACCAATCACCAACTTGTTGTACTACTTTCTCCATGGACAGTGATTTTCCAGTTCCAGGACAACCACATATATACAAACTCCCAGCCTTTTGCTGATCTATGCAGCCTTTCACAAACTCGAAAATCCGACTTTGTTCGTCCTCGCGGCAAACAATTGTTGATGGTGCTTTGGACACGTGCAATGCCTCTTTCACAGCTCTCATTTGCTCCTCATCTATACATTGAAATATATCATCACACATGATTAACATAAAAACCATTAAAATAAGTAGACTATTGAAGAACCTAATGGATCTTGTATGTTTACCTCTAGGATTCCAGTTATCTAAACAATCAGATAACTTCTCCACTGCCAAATTCACTGGATTTCTCAAAATTTCATTAGAGTCTTCCATAACTTCCTGCAAATAGATAACAACTCAGATCCAACAGTTACGGAATAATTCATCAAAAAAAACAATCTGATGCAGATCGAGTGATTTTTCTGAAATTGAACTCATGCACATCAACAATTTACCTTTTCTGATATTCTGAGATTGAAAACAGCACTTGGTCGATGAGATTTCAATTTCTTCGGCGAGGAGATTGAATTTCCAGACATAAGATTCACCGCCGCTGAATCCGATCTCTTCTTTCTCTTCCGAGGAATCTCATACGCGGCAGATTCAAGGCTCTCTGATTTCACCGTCCCGGTGGCGACAAAATGCTTGTAAGAAGACAAACTCGTCCCGGCGGCGTTGGTAGGCATTGTTAGGTCAGACAAGGAAATCGGAAACGAAATTAGATTCAATCGTGCTTATCGAATCAATCTCTTGCTGGTTGCTACTAGTTTGGGAGCGAGAAAGAGAAGATGCAGGTGTAAAGAAATTTGAGAGTAGCGGGAAAACGTGAATCGCGACGTTTTCGTCTCCCGCCTTTGTTCTTCTGATGGCCTTTTGAACCACGCATTTTTTATTGGGCCGAATTGTGTAAATGGGCCCATATTTTTATAGTAAATTGTTGAAGCTGAAATTTGCTTTCTTTTCTAAATTCCTATGTCGGCAAGATTTGTTGTACCTACAATATCCAAAATTTTGTATTATTGGGTTTCAAGTTCCAAAAGACTGGTCCAAGATTGATTTTGTCTGTAAATAGAAGGATTTGATCCTTAACTCCTAAACCCACTAACAAGATTAGTACCATTCAAAATCCTCTAGTGGACGGACACCAAAAATGTTTGATTTTTTCTTCATTTTGGACTCATCTACTAAAGCTTACATAATTGGCTGTGTCCAGGTTCAATTCATTCATGGTTCTGAAACTGAATAACTAGTTCATATGTCAGTAACGTACGTCTATACAAGATGATTATAACTTCTTCTATTTGTGTTCTTAAACATACAAAGACTCTAACATTTCCAATGGCCTTTCATGCCGAAAATATTCCCAAAAAATCGCATCAAGTTCTCACATTTATTTTTTTTTTTTTTATGAGAGTTAGATTTAAGATCCAAATCCTAACAAAACAATGCTGCAAAATATTTATAGTTTTGTTTATTTGATGTTAAATTGTCAATAAAACGACGTGAGGAATCGGACAAGGACTCCAAGTGAGATATTATTATTTTTGGTCTACCTCTTCGTAAACTTTTCTTTGGGAATAAAAATGTCCATATAAGATCCGCTGATATAAAAATGTCACAACAAGCACCAGAAATAGAATATTAATTATGAAATGTAAAACAAAAAAAGAATTTAGGTTGAAAGAAGATAAGAGAGTAGCCTATGCCGTGTCAATGCTTCTGCCAGTCTCTCTCTCTCTCTCTCGCTCTCAGTATTGTTAGATAATTTGGCCATAACATCCTATCAAGAGCCACTACGTAAACTTATATTCTTTTCCACTACATAGAAACAACTAAGCAACGATATATAACGCATCGTATGGTGTAAATAATCCTTTTAATATTTCTTATTGGTTGATTTTACTAGTTTCAAGTATAAACGCATTAGTTATTTGAATTGACATTAAGACAATATAATTCACTATAGATATTCTATTTAAACTAAATGTAAGGCTTGATATAAACAATTTTGAAAATGCGAAAACCACTTTAGATATGTGGTTGACCAAATAATTAGTGTTTTAATATAAAACTTATCTATCTATATGATGAGTGCATTTTTTCGAGAGACCAAGCATGATAGGTTGCATACTAAGTTGTCCCTCATTGTTCGCTTATTTGTCGATAGTTAATGTCGTCCCAACACGGTAGATCGTTATTTAAAAAAAAAAATTAACGATAAGTTATATAGTAGACGACGGAATCAAATATGATACATTGAATTAATATATATGTACATGGTTCATTTATCCTTTTCTATTTGTTTTATTTACCTCAAAATTTTTGACATTTAGCTTTTGAATCTCCCAGTTGTCTCACACAACTCCATTACTGATTGTCGAATTCCCCAATAGCTATTACTTTCGTTCTATAAATTATTCATAAAATCTTATACACACCCACCTTTTCTAAAACTCTACTTTTTACCAAAACATGAAACCTTTTTTTTTTTTTTTTTTTTTTTTCTTCTTTTTTTTTTTTTTAACACATACATTTTATATTAAACGAGATCAAGAGTTACAGAGAGCCCAACAAGGGAAGAACCTACAAAAGAAGAAAAGATTACAATCTTCTATTGAAAAATCCCAAACCAAGTGACTAAAAGAGAAGGAGCCGGTGGAATGATTTGCTGAGCTCTGGTAAGAGGATCGAGGTGACACCGAAGGATGCTTTTTATCTCAAGAATAAGGGCAGATGCAGGTTTTGAAGAGGAATTGTGAAGTCTTGAGTTACGCTCCTTCCATATGTAGTACATTGAAGCATGAAAGGCAAGACGAAGAATCAACGCGGTATTCTTGTCACGACATGGATTCTTAATCCATCTAACTCCGTCCTCAAACAAATGTGGAGGAGAAACATGGGCCTTATCACAGAAATAACTCCAAACTTCTGCGGCATAAGAGCAATAAAAAAATAGATGCTGCCTAGATTCATCCAACAGATTGCAGAGAAGACAAGTTGGAGGGACATTAAAACGCCAACGGATCAGCCTGTCCCGAGTGAGAAGTCTGTTTCTAGAGATGAGCCAAGCAATAAAGGCATGTTTAGGGATCCTCCCTTTAAACCAAACAGAATCATGCCAGTCCACTGATATTCCAGGAGGATGAAGATGAGCCCAAGTATTTGCAGTAGAGAAAACATTTGTTGCTTGCTTGTCACCAATTTTCCAAAGATAAACATCATCTCTAGCATCAACCTGCAAATCAATAATAGAGGAAGGTGGAAGGCAGTCCCTGAGCAACTGAATGATTGGGCTTCTAGAACGAGAATTATTGAACTGCCATTGGCCTTCCCTTAAAGCGTCCGCAACCACCGTAGTTAAAGGCAAACCAGTGACACTAGGGCCCCTAGTACCCGTAAGCTCCAACAGAGGTCCCAGAGAAGTCCAATTATCGCTCCAAAAGTTGCAAGTAATACCTGAACCAATCTCACACACGATAAAAGGCCGAGCTAAAGGTCTTAGCTTACATAAACTTTTCCAAATCCAACTTCCTGAGCTAATATTCTCCATATCCCAAAAGGATCTTCTTCCAATAAAATTCCTGCGGATCCAAGAAACCCACAATGAACCTCCAGCAGCAAAGATCATCCAAATAAGCTTTAAACCCAACACTTTATTCCAATGAATCAAACGCTTAAGCCCCAAGCCACCAGTTTCTTTTGGAGTGCAAACCGACTCCCAGCTGACTTTAGCACCCCTAGCAGAATTAGGAGAGCCTTTCCACAGAAAAGCACTACACATGCTTTCAATCTCTTCAAGGCACTTGTTTGGAAGGATAAAAATGGAGGCCCAAAATGTGATAGTGGAGTATATAACAGATTGAATCAACTGCAGTCTCCCAGCAAAGGAGAGATGTTTGACAGTCTACGCATTAAATCTACTCAGAATTCTATCAATGAGCGGTTGGAAATCTTGTCTTTTCATCTTACAAGAGGAAAGAGGAACTCCAAGATACCTTACAGGTAGGGCACCATGGGAAACGCCAAGACTGGCAGCCATACTCTAAATCTCTTGGAATTGTCCTCCATCAAAGAAAAAAAAAAAAAAAAAAAAAATTTGTCCACGATTGGGAATATCCTAATAAGACTGAGTATGGTCCACGATTTCAGGCCACTGGTCCAGAGGCTCTGGTCCGACTCGAAGAAATTTGTTTGGTCGGCTGATTGGAGAGTTTACGTATAGAGTAAAATATGTAAATTCTTATTATTTTCAGTCGGCAGCACAAAAGGACTCCTATGGCTGTTTTCTAATTTATTATTCGAAAACAGTCCGCTAATTATGGTCTATGGACAAGGACAATACATGCTCTTTGACGACGTAACAAAAAATTAGTGAACAATATGTAGCAGTAGTAGACTAAATAATTTACGAAAACATCAAATATAAGTTATGTGGAAAAATAAGTTATTATTCGCCTAATTGCATATATTTAACTACTAAATAGAAGACCCAAAAAAAAAAAGAGAGACAGATAAATTTGCAACGTCTGTAAAAAGTCAAAGGTTAAAAACGCTACTTTCAGTCTCTCACTAGCATATGCGATATGGTGTGATTAAACCAGCATTTCACACGTGGGGGATCTGCGAATCTATAACAAAGCAAAGATAACGGGAAATCTGTAATTACACATGGGACTGCTAGATTAGACCGTACCCACATTATTAAAGCATACTGTATTTAGTAAGCTAATGGAATTATAATAACCAAAAATCAAACATGCATACAATAGAAGCAGAAGCACATCGACAAGGACGTGAACAAATTTAAATACGCAGAGGAAACTGAATCTATTAAAAGAACAATAAATTTCAGCCGTTAATAAGATATCAGAAGTGGACAGTGAATTTCTTCATCACCACCTTCGCTCTCTTTAGACGTTGCTTTCCCTAACGACGTCGATTTCCTGTCAACTTGGTGCTTACCGGTCACCTATCACCACTCTCCGGTCACTTCTCCTTCCTTCTCCACCGTCGCTTCCTTACCCTCTCCCTTCAATTGCATGCTACGTTGCAAAAAGTATTTTGTTTTAAAATCATAGGGTTTTACTTATTTAAACCTTTGGAATTTTGTCGCTTCTTCTTAATTAATTTGATATTCATATACTTGTTTTAATGCCATTTTCGTAAGAAACCATGTGTTTTTGACTTTTGACGTTATAATCTCTCATTCAATGCATTTCATGTTTGAGTTCTTAAATGTAGTAGATAAATCCGCAATAACTGTCAGATATACAAAAATGTCAATATTTCAATTTGTGTCAATAACTCTGACGTCATTTCCAATTTACGGAAAGCTCCAATTGGTTAGTAACATGTGAGAACTCTCTAATACTCGACTTTTGTGAGATTATAAATAGGATTAAAAAAAAAAAAATTCAACATTAAACACGGATGGGAAAACGAGTTAATACGCAATTAAATTTCACCTTAATAAATAAAAGTCGTTGTTGCCAGATGACATGGACACGAGGACCCCACTTTATTTGGCCTACCTTATTGCCAGGCTGTTATTATTTTCCCTCTCCTACTTAAATCTTAATTAAAAATATGTCACGTCGATTACACGTGTAACTTTATATGTCGTCTATTGTAATTTTACTTTCCATGTTTCAAAATTTGTCAGATCCTTACGATCAAAGTGGCACATTTACAACCGTCGGATTTTAAAAGAAAAATCTCCAAATAACTCCCGCTTTTCTCTCAACTCATTTTCTGTAACGGGTAGCCATGTCACTTGTTTCTTTCACCTGTTACCGGTTTCTCCGGTATTCTCTTGACTATTCTAGCTTCACCTGTGATATTATTTTTTTTTAAATAAAAATATATTTTCCTCACTTAATTTTTTTTTTCAGTCTGAGATAAAATCTTCATCGCATTTTGTATAAAAGGCAGCTCTCTGCCTCGTGCTCCATCCACTGATTATCCCGAGAAAGTTTTTTTTTTCTTTCCGAGAAAATTCGAGGAAAATCTCGGACAAAAATCATCGCTCATTATATAGAGTGAGTCTCTTCAGCATCTCCTCTCTTTCACACAAGTTTTTCTGTATTTATGATTTCGGTGATTCATTGTTTCTCGTGCTGATTCAGTTTTCCTCCCGATCCGTTTTTTATGGGATTGTAATGATTCATTCCCGTGAGTGTGTGCATGGATTTAACAACTTATTTTCCCAGTTTTTACTTATTCTATCAAAGTTTTCCTACAAAGAAACTATCCTGAGCTGAGATCTTATGATTCATTTTGACTCACTGGATTCATCTTTTGATTTGCAGGGAATCTTGAGTGAGGAAAAAGCATTTCAGACAAAACTAGTCTGCAGCTTTAGCTCTGTTTTTGTCCAGATTTTTGTTGTTGTTGCTAAACAATAAAATCTTGATTTGAAGATATTTTTAAAAAATGGGAGTGAAAGTAGCAACAGCCTCTACCTTCCATCAATGGGTGGCTCATCCCATAGTTCATCATCATTCATCTTCCTCCGCCGTTTCATCTCCTTCAAGACGACGGATCATCGGAAACGACGGACGAGCTTCTCTGTCTTGTCGTTCCGTGATGCAGAGCCAGAGGCTTAATCCTTCTTCTCCCTTCGGCACTTCTTCCACGAATCTCCAACACTCCAAGTCATGTGAGCTCTGGAGATCAACAAAACAACCTAATACTCAGTTGATTCGCAGAGCTTTTAGCGCCAACTGTGATCCGTTTTCAGAGGAGGAGTTTTCGAAAAAGATGCAAGAGCTAACTCTCAAATTCCAAGTCTCTAACCAAGAAGACAAACACGAATCAGATACGAGCATTGACGATTCCACTCGAAAGATGGACACCGTAGGAAGCCATAATAATTTCAGGTCAGATTCAATGGAACCGCCGTGGTCAGAGATGGTGCAAATGTCAAGCATCGAGAGGAAAGCAAACAGTGTTGATCTTCCTCTGTCGCTTAGGATCATAAAGAGAAAGTTACAGATGGAGGAAGGAGTTTTGAAGCAAGTCGGAGAATCAGCTTGTTGCTCTGTGAAGAGAGCTTTCTCTTCAATGGTGTTTATGATTAGAGAACTTCAAAGCTTCACGTTACACATGAGAGAGCTTCTTCTCTTCGAAGATTTGCAAGGAATTCTTCATCGTGTGAGAAAAGAAATGCAAGCATCGTTTGTTTGGTTGTTTCAACAAGTTTTCTCTGCTACACCTACTTTGATGGTCTCTGTTATGATCCTTCTCGCTAATTTCACGGTTTACTCTATTGAGAGCAACTCTGCTTTAGCCGCCGCCGTAAGTCCTCCCACAACCACCCTCTCTTTCAGCTTCGAAACGACGTCGGAGCTAAGTGAAACTCAAGAAATAAACCAGAAGTTCGATTCTTCAATGGTTAAGACGTTCTCTGTTTCTTCTCCTTACGGGAAAACATCATTTGTCGGCGGTGGCGGTGGGAACAACATCCCACCGCCGGTACAAAGCGGAACAGAGGGTGATGGATCTGATCAATTCAGAAAATCTCAATTCTCATCATCATCTCTCGGTGCAACAAGTGCGGATTCAGATGTATCTGTCTCGGGTCAAGAAGAGATTAGACTGTGGAATTCGATCTTGGAGGAAACGGAGAAAATGGAAACTTTGGATCACGACACGATGAAGCAGTTGGTTTCTCCGGTAGAGGCGAGATTAGAAGCAGAGGAGTCCATGGATTACTTCAAGACAGAGCTTCTCTACCAAACGGGATTGTCTCAAGAGCCTGAAAACGTTCTTCTTCTTGCTAATTACGCACAGTTTCTCTACTTAATCATCCATGACTACGACAGGTAATTAACATCTGACCATTATATTATAATTTACTAATCATGTTATTTAAAGTATATTATCTGTGATTTTGTTCTTTATTAGACTAAGTAAGATTAAGGGAGTTTAGATTCGGTTTGGTGTTTAGGTTGGAGTCTTGCAAGTTGAAACTAACTGTCAGAAGTAGCCGTGGAATGGTAGATATTTTATTGCACATTAGGGAGCCATAGATATTTTAAGCTAGAAATTGTCATAATCAAATCACCATTAGAACCAATCGGATAGGATTAAATTGAGTGAACCAGTTCTCTTTACCCCTTAGTGAAAGAATACAACTAGTATGAAATATCTACATCTCCTATTTTCAGAATAAAAATAGGGAATAATTTAAAAATGTTGTCATTCACTTTAGGGATTGATATATTGTCCTCTTTCCCAAAGAGTTTGTCTTTTAGCTAGAGTCTTTTTTTGGGGTGGGTTCCCAACAAAGAAAAAAAAGCTTGGTTGATGATACTTGACAGTGGAGTATGTGGTGTAATTTTGAAGCTTGAGTCTTTAGACCACTGTTACATTATTCTTCATCCACCAATAGTGTTGTTAGGTAATAATTCTCTAAAATGGGTAAAACACTGTTTTAGATATTTTGGTGATCAGTCTCCAGACAATATTTTGATATGTTTTAGATATTTTGGTGATCAGTCTCCAGACAATATTTTGACATTTTAGCTAAGCGGTTCCATTTTAGACAGTTTCTTATTTGATACATGTGTCACATTCTATAAACCAAAACCCAATTCACTTACGTTTTCTCATTTAACCTTTTGGCCTTATTCAAATCCATATCTTATCTCTACTCTTTGTGTTATATCTTTGTCTATATCTAACGTGGCTTCTTTTGGTTTGTTTGGTGAAAACAGAGCGGAAAAGTATTTCAAGAGAGCAGCAAAAGCAGAACCAGCGGACGCAGAGGCACTGAACAAATATGCAACGTTTCTATGGAGAGCAAGAAACGATATTTGGAGAGCAGAGGAAACCTACTTAGAAGCAATCTCCGCTGATCCAACAAACTCTGTCTACTCCGCCAACTACGCACATTTCCTTTGGAACACCGGTGGTGATGAAACGTGTTTCCCTCTCGATGCTCCACCGCAACAGAACAACACCACATGAAGAGAGTCGCAACAATTTGTGTATGTACAGTGTGTTTTTTGCCTATACAAACTCAAGTCATGTTGCAAACTTTTTTTGTTTTTGTGAACCAAAAACTATAGTTTTATATGCACATATTTCGAGTTTTGACTCTGTTTTTTTTTTAAAAATCTACTCGGACTTGTTCTTTCGTGATCAAACCCATGTGTCAATTGGTTTCATTAAAAGAACTAAACCTTATCCTTATAGAGAGAGGATTTGGCAATGGTTTGTGCATGCTGGATGATTTGTAAATGATATTGTCCACTTCTGTCTATATACAAGTTTGAACCATCTTTTTATTGTGCGTGTCATTTGTCCCCTGTACATGATTGTCGACATTGCAGTGTGAAATCAGAATTTTACACAACAATGTCTCACAAAATATAATTACTATATCACTGCGCTTGCATATTCCGAAGTAATAAATAATCTTTATTTTAGTTTTTGTTGCCCCTTCGTTTAAATTGTATAAAATGCATTAAAAGCATCAAAAGAGGTGTGAGTTAGAGAATTATGTGTAGATTTTGTTAGAAACCAAAAACCCTTCTCGATCCATACGTTTCTTTAGATCTCTGTAGACTTCAACACATCGGATCGTGAGGAAAAAAAACCAAAAACATTAATGTGAACCCCCAAAAGAGGGACACGTCTCTCTTTCTTTTGTTTTTATCACTCATTATCAAGTGGACTTTGTGTGTCTATCGTCTCCATGATAAGCTTTTGGGATTCACGCAGATCTCTGCATATTCTCACGTGAACTCACTATAATACTCTCTTATTGTCACTTTTCCTGCTAGATGATGTGGAAAGATGTGAAAATAATGCTCCAATATTATTAATATTTTATTGTTTTCACACTTTTGGACGTACACAGAGTCACAGAGTACGATCAACGATAGCTTTCTACGAAGTAGTTAACCTTCAATAGGTATTTTCGTCCAAGTTCCAACCAGTTTTCTATGCATAGATCAATCATTCAAGTCTGATATTTTTACGGAATTATCCAAGGCATAAACCAATTAAACATTCTAAGCAAGACTATCTAATCAATCGGATGGAAAAACGATTAATCCTCTCCAGCCTTTTTTTATAGCGTATAGTACTGTAATTTCCAAAAAATCTCATATCTATATTACTACATTCTACATTGTATAGTAAAAAATGTATTCCAAGTTGAAACTATTAGCTGCAGATGAAGAACCCTCTCAAGTTTGTTGTTTGCGTTTATTTGTCTAAGCCTCAATCACACTCCAGCTTGGAAAATACTTCTTATGACATTTTAGCTCTGGCAAAGACCACCCCAGCAAATAAACCTGCAAAACCAAAGTACATACTCAAATTCATTCACCTTTTCAAGTTACCAAAAGACAAAAAAACATATGACATAATGATGATCATCGCTTGTGTGGTATATGAGGCAGCTCTGTAAGTGTGTTACTTACCAAAAAGTATGCTGAACAAATTTGGGAGACTGAGAGGGACGTTGAAGAGTACAAGACCAGCTAGTGATATCGGAACCTTGTTTAATGATCCCACCAAACTGCCACACAATAGAAAGAAAGTTATAACATTTAACACCAGATATAAAAATCCAATCAAATGTTGTCTTTGGGCAGAGGAAGATATACCTATATGTTGTCGGTCCGGTTTGATGCAGGAACCACATCGAAGTGAAGCTGATGGCTAGACCAAGGAAGCCGCTTGCTGTTGCCACTACCCAAAACATTGCATCTTTTGTCACATCCCTGCCAGAGAGTAAAACACCATGAACATTTTAACTTCAAAAGATATCACCTATTTCATATGCGCCTGTTTAGTTCCAGTGAGATCCAGATTTTTTTTTAAGTGGGCTAAAGAATCAGCCAATTATATCACTAAATAGACAGAATAACTAAACACTGGACAAGTGTCACTCTGTTTAATAGTTCTTACGTGCTTATTACGTATCTCCATTCGCCTAGTAAGATGACCAAGATGATGCCAAAAGGTAGAGACAAGAGATTATTCAGCAGCACCATTGACACTTCATTGAGAGAGCCAGACTTTGTAGACTGCTTTGCTTTGTCCATGACTCGACGAAGAGTAAGCTGTAACAAAGATAAGATCATTATGGAGAGTGAGAAAGTGATGCATCAAGATCCAGTTACTGGTTTCATAAGCGTGAACTCACTGAATAACTTGCGGTCAGAAAGCAGTTGGCAAGCTGCCACGTGTACCCTACTGCATCGAATGTGAGATCCGTGATACCTCCGCTGATTGCTGAAATGATCTGTATTGCAAACTCTTAGTTGGTGTCACTTTGATATCAGAGAGGGATTGCTTACAGAAGCCAACTGGAGGGAAGATGTGCAATTTAACTTACCATCATGAACATTGCAGCCCAAACTTTATTGTTCTGCCTTTTGCGGAACATGTATACCTCACCTATTGCCGTAATAATATTCGTCGCATTCTTCAGTATAGTTACCATAGCGACGTTTATGTATTTCAAACTGGAAAAGAAATGTAACGTTGCATTAGTCTCAAGCACCACACATCCTTAATTGAAATTTTACTAATTAGTCTCTTGCCTGATGTTTGAAACCTTACCTGTACATTCCTGAGACCAGCATGCCCACAAAGATAACATTGACAGGCATCCATACTCTGATCAACTTCCAGTTAAATTTTTCCACTGAAACTACTCCAGAGATATCTAGTACAGCTACCACCAAACAGCTGATTAAGTTCTGAAATAAACGTATAAGGAAATCACCAAACTATATAGTTTGTCAAAACATCATGAAGCCAAGGAAATCAAGCTAATGGGGTTAAAATGTCTTACTTGATATAACATCAAAGAGATTCCTGCGTTGAAATTATAGCTGGAGAGAACAATTTTGTTCAATATAATCATGCTGCAGGAAGAGACACAGTAAGCTGCTCCAGACACAAGGGGTCCTGACTGTTTCACAGACCCGTGGTCACGTCTGTTATCTCCATCAACCGGAAGATATCTCCGTCTCCATCTGAGAAACCTTGAGGAAGAATCAAGAAAGTTCAATGCAATATTCCTTTCTATAACCACAACAAATCCTTAGAGACCATAACACTGAACCAGTTCAATGAAACATGTTATATTACCTTTCACTTAACCATCTACGTTCGGAACTCTTTTGATCGAGAAGTTGAAAGACAACGTTTTTAGTTTTACTAGCATTATCACTGAAGTGACTCAGCTCTGATTCATCAGGCTCGTGGCAAACAATTGCTTCCAGTTTCACAGCAGTCATTTCTTGTTCCTGCACCCAAAAATCATAATTAAGGGACACATTCTTCAAACCACAAGAATCTTTATGAGAAACCAAAATTAAGTAGAGAGAGGCCTAGAAGTTGATACCTGTAGAAGAATCGCAGAAAAGTTCCTTGCTCAATTCGCAGAATCGAGTTTAACACTTATGAGCTCGAAATCGCTTGAAAGACGGCGCGTAAATACGAATCGAGAGAGTACGATCGCCAGTGGGGAAATCAGATCCACCGCTTTTGAGAAGAGGAAAACCGGCGACGATGAAGGTGATGAACTTTTTAGGTAACACGCAAAGCGTAAGAGGCGAGGAAGAACGTGGGAACGAGATTACCGAGGTAGAGAGAGAGTAACCGTCCATGTTCGAAATCTCCAGCCTTCAATTTTACTCTTTTTTAATTTAGGGTTCTTGGGAATCTGGGGGAAGATTAATTGTATTTTAAATCAGCTGAGAACGGAATGATGTCTGAATAAATTTTTAGGCTTGAGGCTTCGCCGGAATCCATGGCGATTATACTGGCGGGAAGATTGCCGGTGGCTGTGGCAAATAGGGTATTTTAAAAATGGGCTTGGGCTTTGAGATTTTGGGCTTTAGGCATTGGAATTAAGCCCCTGACAATGATAAGACTTCACAGGCTTTAGGCATTCTGATGTTTTAATTGCAAATTTGTCTTTTGGTCTAAATGACTGATCACACTTATTATTACAATAACTGCACAAATCTCTTTAGAAGTTATTGTTAATTTCAAGTCTTTTTTTTTTCGCATACTTGCCGACGAAATTTCGTCTCAAATAATCAATTTGATTTTGATTTACATATAGAAATTTCAGTGGATCAACATTTAACAAATGGATGTAGTATTATCTAAACGATTAGTGGAGATTTCAACTTTTAGTAGACCACTCAAATTGTCTATAACAAATCGAACACGACCAAGAGTTTGCAATAATTTTCTTAAAAAAAGATATGATAGAATCGGGTAAAAAGACTACATAAAGGGAGAAGTCGTTTTAGGCTATGAAATGTTAAGCTAAAACAAATCACACACGCACACACATATGATTGATTTAGGTGGTCTCCCGTTCACTGAAGGTGCTACTAACTATTAAGGTAAACAAATCAGTGGCCATGCTTTTTTCATGAACTTTCTTGGATAATCTATTTTAAATTTACTTTTTAAACTAAAGCATTTTTACTGCATAATTAATAAAATGATTAAAGAAGTCATACACGAACATTTTAATTATGAAAATATCTCAGAAAAAATCCTGAAAGTAGCTTTCAGAAACAATATATAATAATTTTATACAAAATATGTATTATAGAAATAGTTTATTAACAAAACAGAAGTGGGTTAACCTTGTAACTAATCATGAACAAATCCGAATATCAAAATCTAATATTTATAGACAGAAATTGAGGAAGACGGAAGACATTTACTCGTACTACTACACAGTACACACAACAGCAAAAGTCACATAATAGATTTATGTAGACATTACATGCAACTCTCACGAATAAGCAAATAGACAATAAGCGAGCGAGCGACCGAGACAAAGGGTTTGGGAGTGATAACATTTAAGAAGTAGAGTTTGATCTGGTGAAGGAGGATGATGAGTTGATGAACTGTATGCAGTCTTCTATGGCCTCTGATCGATGACTGTCATTGTTTATTGGGATGATTGATGGCTGAGATCTCCCCGAAAAAGAAGAAACCTTCGACGGTGGAGATCTTTTCTTCTTCCTCATCACCACCAGACGCAAACCTTTTGCAAATTTGCATCCAAGATGCTTGATTAATTTTGCTGCTGTGACTTCTGTTTTCCTCGGTAACCTTAATCCGCAGCTCGTTGTGCATCCCGGACTCTTACCATAAGGTCCCTTGATAGCTGTTTGCTTGGCCGAAGCATCTCTCTGAACCGGTCTAGTGTTTGGGTTGGCCCTTTTTATACCAGTAGCTGACATATCAAGAGAACGATAGAGAGAGTGAGAGAGGTTTATGGGAAACAATATAAGGATAATGAGAGATATATAAGGGACTGATTCTGAGAACAGTTGGGCTGATAGTTCAGGCAAATACGGGAAAAGACATGAATTAATGATGTATATATCTACAATCATTACGCTTAGGCCATGATTAAGCACTCAAGACATAAACACATAAACAACTAACAAAAAAGTGTAGCTTCAATCTTATTTTAGACCCTATATATATAAAAAGACTTGTAGTTAAAGTGGATCTACAAATTTATAAAGAGAGCTATGCCCAAGAGCAAAAAGAGAAGACTAGGTTTAGTTTTTTCTATTTTTCTTTACGGTCCACAGAGGGAATAAACCCATTGTTTAAGTGAAGAAAAAGGTAAAGCAACCATTTGGTATCATTCTTCTTTGATGATCACTCATGTGTGCACATAACAATCTAAAAAAGTTTCTTTTTGACTCCAGGAGAGGCCGATATAAACTTACCTTTATGGATTGCAGATTCCTTTCATGAGTCTGCGGCTACAATAAAATGGAAGAAAAAAAGAAAGAACAAAAAAACAAGTTAATGGTGGGCACAAGAATATGTGAACGCATATAATAAACCAGGGAGTGTCAGGACATAAATAGAAGATCACAGAATCTGGAGAATGTAGAGTGATTTTACATGTGAAAACATTCCATTGAGATCAGAACAATAATTCCTGCATGATAAGTCATGCAAATGGCATGAGATTGACTGACATATATAGCAGGTTACAAAAATGCCAAAAGGGAAAAGAATGCAATAGCAAAACTGCTCTGTCTCATCGTCAAAACAAGAGCACAATACATTTAGCACCAACCGTATACATTCATTACATCTTACCCAAAACGTCAGATAGGACATCTTTTCTCTACTGTGATGAGCATGATTCAAGACACATTAATCCAACTATATCCCTCAATGAATTATTACTCTGAGAGATGGAGATCACTGGTTCCAATATTAGAACTCACAAAAAAGATATTTCAGACATTTAGCTACTTATTTAGTCGATAGATGTACAGAAAGAGTAAGAAAATAAAAATCACACAGTGGTTACATGAAACAGGGATAAGATCCAAAGTCTTTAACCAGCCTGCAAAAATATTCGGCAGAATTGCAGGATATAGGACTGTTCATGTCTGAGACAGAGCATACTACCATACCTAATCAGAGCATGGTTCAAACAACAAATCAACAGAGAAGGGATTCACATTAGAATATTTAACCCTAAGAACCCAATAATAGCCTGATTCAAGAAGTTGAAAGAAGGAAAGAAATTAGAGATGTTTTAGAAACATGTACAAAGGTACACATACATAAACAGAATAGCAGCTAGAAAGAAGCAAATCAATTCACAAACGAGAAATACATATAGACATAAAGATATACTTCACCAAATTCATATTTTTTTCACCAGCCATTTCTTGGTGATCTATAAACGCCAACATGGATGGTAAATCTGATGATAAGTAAAGCCTTATAAAGGCCACACACTTATGAAAGTCAACAACTTTTTCCATCCTCAACATTCACGGCGATAATCGCGGCCATAGCTGTAGTTTGGCCTAGCTCCGAAGTCACTCTCAGACCTCTCTGCAGCAGCTCTGTCTTCTTCCAAGCTCAATCCACCCATGGTCTTCTGCAACTGCCTGTGATCATAAGGAGAGTAATCCACTGGCGCCGATGGACCATTAGGCACTCCGTAGCTAGACAATCGTGAGCCCATAGGAGGAGCCTGTGGCTTGTACTCGTTACCCGGAAAGGCATCAACGGGAGCTGATGGCCCACTAGGCGGTGGACCGTAATTGGAAAACCGAGGAGGAGCTAAAGGAGGCTGTTTGTGATCAATCGATGAGAAGGCATCGACGGGAGCAGATGGGCCACTTGGGAGGCCGTAATTGGAGGCACGATCGTACATTGAACGTGGAGGAGGAGGCGGATAATAATACCCGGAATAGTAATGATCAGTGAATGCGTAAGGAGACGGAGACGGTGACTGTGAGAATTCTCTGTAGTCACGCTGAGGAGACGGAGAGGTGATCGGAGCTTGAGGAGGAGGAGGGGTAGGAGAGTAATAATGGTTTCCTTGAGGGGCAGAATAGTAATCTAGTGGATGAGATTGAGGACGTGGCGGAGGATGCTGCGGTGGAGGGATTGGTCTCTCTTTGATCGCGAGTTTCAAGCGAATCTTCCCCTGTGGCCGACCCGATGGACGAACCAGCTCGAGCGAGTTGATCAATTCGGGGATCATCGCTCCGTCCGAGTCAATCAAGCGAGCTAGAGGAAACCTAACCGATCCGACGAGGGTTTTCGCCAGATCCGAGGAATTGGAATGAAAAATCTCGATGTTGAGGACAGATTCGTGGACGGATCGGGTGAGAGGAAGAGTAATCCGCTCGTTCCACACCGGTTTGATGGAGGCGGAATCATCGGAGCGGGTGGAGAGAGGGTGGTCTTGGTCAAGATACAGAACAACGTAGGGTTTCAGGTCACCGTTACGCCAGTTGACATTCTTCAGGTGCTTGGCAGAGACGACGGTAACAACCAGGTCGAGTGGCTCCGAAGAGGCCATTAATACGCTGCGTTTTGAGGCGATACGGTTGTGTTCGCGGTGGTCTTAGCTAACGTGCGCTCGTATCTTAGATATCTGTATCAAAAGTCTCAGCTGCCGATCATCAACTATTATCGTTTATCACAGTATTAAAACCTGCTGGATACATAAGAGGCTTTTGACTTTTGAAGTTTGATTTTTTCTTACTAGCGACAGCTGGAGTTATTCATAGATAGGATAGTTATATCCTTATGTCCAAACAGATGCCTAAATTCTCACCAAGCAGAAGATAGGCATTTGAAGAGTGGATAACACTTTCTCAGTCTTCTTCTTCTTCTTCGTTGTGATAGGTCAGGTCAGGGAACAACAATGGCTTCCTCTGCAGCAGCTCCAAATTCGCTATCTTTCTTCTCATCTTCTCTCTTTTTGTCTTCCTCTCACCAAATCCCTAAAACCTACATTTCCGTCGCGAAATTCGGCTCCGGCAGAGTCTCGAAACCACTCTCTGTCGCTTCCCAGCTAGCGACTCTACCGATTCTCTCATTCGAAGGAGAGAAGGTCGGGGAAACGTATCTAGACCTCAAAGCGGCGCCGGAGGATACCGCACGTGCCGTTGTGCACCGAGCCATCGTGACGGACTTGCAGAACAAGCGGCGAGGTACTGCTTCGACGCTGACTCGCGGTGAAGTTCGTGGTGGTGGAATTAAACCTTACGCGCAGAAGAAAACTGGTCACGCGAGGCGTGGATCTCAGAGAACACCGTTACGTCCCGGTGGAGGTGTGGTGTTCGGGCCTAGACCTAAGGATTGGTCAATTAAAATCAATAGGAAGGAGAAGAAGCTGGCCATATCGACGGCGCTTTCGAGTGCGGCTTCGGCGGAAGGTGGTGCGATAGTGGTGGAGGAGTTTGGGGACAAGTTTGAGAAGCCCAAGACTAAAGATTTCTTAGCTGCTATGCAAAGGTGGGGGTTGGACCCAAAGGAGAAAGCTATGTTTTTGATGATTGATGTGGATGAGAATGTGGCGAAATCGAGCAGGAACATTGGAACGTTGAGGATGTTGACGCCGAGGACGCTGAATCTGTTTGACATTTTGAACTCTGATAAGCTTGTTCTGACTCCTGCGGCTGTGGAGTTCTTGAATGAAAGGTACGGTGTTGATGCGGTGGAGGAAGAAGATAACGATGAAGATGACACGGAAGGTTAGTGTTTTCTTGAAAGGAACTGGCTTTTTTTGTCGGAAATTTGATGTTTTGAATGTTGTGTTTGATTGTTATTGTCTGGTTTAATTGCTTGAAGTAAGTAACAATTTGGTGTCTTAATATGGAGACGTTATTACTTTTTTTTTGTGTGTTATGAAGGGTCAGAGGAAGCTTAAGAAAGAGTAGCACCCGTAGTTCCCATTGCTCCAAGTGTGGCTTATGAGTTTAATCTTGAGTACATCTTCTTACTCTCCTTGATGAGGTCTTCTCTTTCCTTTTTGTGTCACACAACAAGAGAAATGTGTATTTAATTTTAGAGTTTTTTAAGAGATCATCCTCAGTTTCTTTGTCATACTGATTTGTGTTCAACTCAATATCATGAGAAACGTTGATTGTTTGTGCATCAGTTAAAGATTGAGAAACAAAGACTGACTTTAGAGTTAAGAAAGAATGGCTATTAAAAATGGTAATAAGGATTCATATCTCGGAACATGCACTCTAAGGAGTTGTGACTTGTGAAGGACTTTTCTTCTACTCACTACTCAGTAGTCCAATCAGGTCGCATTGATGTTCATCTTGGTTTTGAAGATCATCAATGGTCTGCTAACAACTGTTTGAAAAACAAGGATTTGATAGAACTTAGGAAGTGTCAATAGTGATTAGTGAATGTAATTTATAAGGTTTTGATGGGTGTTAATTGGTGGGCTCAAGAATATAGCCCAATCTTTTGAAGAAGGGATATGAGATGCAAAATCCATGAACTTCAAGGGTCAATTTCCCAACTAGAAAAAGGTGGTCAAAAGTGTAAGAATTTTTGGAAACATGTGTAAGCAACTAATTTAACTCCCGCCCTCTCTTACCAGTTTTCTATTTTGTCTTCTCCGTCCGTGTGTTCTGAAAACTGAAAACCCAAAACGAAACAAAAGAAAATACAAAGGAATAAATTTTCTAAAATCTAAAAAAAACTTCAAAGACCTAATTTTATTGTATGGTTATTGTTTCAAATGTAAGCTTGACCTCTCTCTCACCGATCAATTTTCGCTTCTTCAGTTGATCTATTTTTTTCTTTTTCCTTTCAAACATTTTGATTCTCTATGAAAAAACAAAACCCCCATAGAATGCTTTGGATTATTATCTCTCAATGGTTCTGAGAATTAGAGCTGTTTAAAACATGGGAATTGATGCCAAAGATGTCGGAGCTCTGTTCTGGAAAATTCTCAGATTTTCCACGAACATCGTTTATACAAACGTAAAGAATCACCCAGTTGTTTCTGGTGTTTCTGCGTTCATCTTCCTCTTATACATTTTTCTTCCTCGGCTTTTCTATTTTGTCCTTTACTCTTCTCCATTAATCGCCTGCTCTGTGTTTTATCTTCGGAATCATCCAAGTTTCAAGCTTTTGCATATCAAAACGGATAATTGGTTTTCACCATTTTCCCAAAAGAGGTCTGAGGAAGAAGAAACAAGGAAGGCTGACTTAAAGCACCAACGAAGTGTTCGACGAAATGCCAGAAGGAAAGTTGAAGAGGTTGGGAAAGATTGGGACTCTTCTCAGGCTAGCGAGGATGAGAGAGACAAAGTCATTTTAACAACTCTATATGGCGAAATCCCCAACACTGATAAATCTCCCGAACTCGAGAAATTCAAGAAAGATAGAGCCTTTCTTGTTGCAGAAGATTTCTCCTCTGAGCCTAGCTTAGATGAAGAAACTCTTTCAACAACCGGGAATGTGGATCCATCGGAGAGGTTAACGAGTGGTGGTGGCGAAACCGAAATAGAGTGTTCATCATCATCAGAAGGCGAAGAAGAAGAAATTATTCATGAAGACAAAAAGGTACTTGTAGCTTGGACAGAGGATGATCAGAAGAATTTGATGGATTTAGGAAACTCTGAGATGGAACGTAACAAGAGATTAGAGCATTTGATTACAAGAAGGAAAATGAGGAGATTAGTCCGACTTGCGGCTGAGAGTAGCCTAATGGATATGGAAGTTCCTTCAATATGTGTTGGACGCAACTATTTCGGTTTGGATCAAGAAAATTATATAGTTGATGGTCTTCAAATGCCTGAATCTGCACCTTCTGTGTTATTACCAACTAAAAACCCCTTTGATATTCCTTATGATCCACAAGAAGAGAAGCCTAACCTCTCAGGGGATAGTTTTCAGCAGGAGTTTGCAGCCAACCCTAATGATATCTTCTTCTGCCGCCATGAAAGCTTTTGTCGCAGAGTCTTTCCATTGGAAAATCAGCTTGACACCAAATGGGAACCGTGGAAAAAGTCAATTGATGCTTTGTCTAGACCACAACAAGGTACATTCTCCCATCATTCTGAAAAATGTTGTAGCTTACAATGTAAATGGTTTATTGTCTTATTGATACAACATGCAAAAAACTTGAAAGCCTTTTCTTAGTAACGGTCAAAATTTTTAAATAACTTAACTTCAGTTTTACATTTATAGATAAAAAATGATTCTATGTTCTACGATTGTGATCCTTGCTCATGTAGGTTGCAATGATGGATTGGTTGGGGACAAACATCCTATAATGAAAGGAAAAGATCTAACAAGAGGAGAAGTAAATGATATGAAGTCAGAACACATGACAGAGATTGTTGTGAGTGATTCAAACTCATTGCTTTCTCCTGTAGAAAGGGAAATGGATTCCAATGTCTCAAATCAAGCAGATTCTTCTGGAACTTCCGGGAAACCAAATGGTGATCTTCGTATTGAAAACCCTTTAGTTGGTTTAGTTCCTAGAAACACAGGTTCACTTTCGACTTCTTTAGCAGCCGAAAGGCAAAGATACGTGGAGCATTTTGGTTACAGCTCAAGAAAAGGTCATAAGTTATCCGCAGAATCTGATCTTCAAGTTGAGTTTTCTGAAATCGGATCACCTCCCACTACAGTTGATGGGAATAATTCTTCTGATGAAGAGAAATCACTCTTTGTCTACGAATCAGACACCGGGAAGGAGGCGCACTTTAGTGGTGAGGAAAATGAGGTGAAACAGAAGAGCATTGTGGATAGAACTGCAGAAACTCAAATGTTGCCAGTGGAGAAAGTTGATCAAGTTTTCGATGAAAAGAGTTCTACAATCTCTCCAGAAACTTATGAAGCCAAACAATTTGAGGGTCTGTCTGATGGTACAAATGTCAATGAAAGATCCGAGGAAGAAGATAGCTCAAAATCCGGACACTTTCCACTGGAAACAGTTCCTCACATCAATGAAGTTATTCCGAGAAGAGAAGAGGTTATATAGTACTTTTTCTTGTCAGGTTTTATGGAACATGATTGTTTCTTTCAATGTGTTTCTCAAAATATTGAATTTGAATATATTCCTTATACCGTTTTGACAGGAATCACTGGAACTTGTCCAAAACTCGACTGATGAGATGAAGATAAATGACGACTCTGATGAACCTGAACCCTTAACAAATCAAGAATCTGAAGAGCATTTTGGGGGATATGATGGAGACCAATCAACTCAAGAGATGCAAGAACTTATTGAACCTGAAGTGACAAACGTGAACAATGTCACATCAGACGAGTCTGCTACTTCCCCAAGATCAGTGTTACCAGACATGTTATTACCTTTAGACCAGACTTATACTCTGACTTCTGAGAGTTTGGAACATACATTAGATAGTCAACCTCAACTTGTCATTCCATATCCAGAATCTCCTCATAATCATTCAGGTGTTGATGGGGACAGTAGATGAAGTGTGCTCAGAGGTCAGTTTCAATGGCTTCTCCGTGCACTTGAACTGAAATGTACTTTTAACAGAAAGATGAAGTGTGTTTTCTAAAACAGGGACAATCTAACTATCTGAGGCAAGTGAGGATGCTACAGAACAAGTTTCTTCTATTGTTTAACACTCAACAAATTCAGGCTTATGCAGTATAGAAAGTATAGGTTTCCTAGCCAAATTCAGATTATGTATATGCTAAAGTTGATTTAGTGAAGTGATCATCGATTTGTTTGATGATAATTGCGATATAACTTATGTTGTAAAAAGTGGAAAATCTGATAATGATTGGTTATTTACATTTTCGTAAATTACAACTACTTTTCTCCCGATTATGAAGCTCTAAATATCTTTAACATGTGGATAAATGATGTCAAAAAACATATGGATAAACTTTTATCCAAAAAAAAAAAAAACATATGGATAAACTTTGATCCATGGTGAAAAAAAATTTTAACAAGAGAAAAGATTTTTTTATAACAAATACTTAGATTTCTTACGATAATATAGGTGTATTTTTTTTTCATGCATTATCTGTGTTGTTTAACATGCGGATAATTTTTTTGTCTAAATTCTATCCAATACTTTTTCATTTGTTTCTCTTACAAATCCGTTTTTTTTTTTGTGCATTTTTCACCAAGACAGTATAGTCGACTCACTTTCTTTTGGGATTTCTTTGAATAAAGTCTTTTTAATATTACTGTCAATTATTTTAGTCATACGTCATTATCTTATACTTTAACAAAAAAAAAACCTATCAAATTTTGATCTAAACGATTTAACAAGATATCAAAAGAAGCTTACCAAAAAAAAAAAAAGATATTTAAAGAAAATATGTCAAGAATTAAATTGTATATTTATCTAAATGATAATATCTTGAAATCAAAACACAGATTTATTATCAGTAATTATCTAGATTTGTTCAGATAAAACTGGATCCGAGTCAGTCGAAAATTCCGATGAAAAAGATTCAGTTGCAAAATCTTAGTTTATCCAAAACCCTTGCACTCATCTATAAAAGAAACGCCATCTCCACTCTAGGCATTGAGTTCTATTCACGAATCCTTAATATCACATAATCAGAACTATTAAAAGAAGAGAGCAACAACAATGGCTGTTGGTTCGATGAATGTCGAAGAAGGCACTAAAGCTTTTCCTGCAAAACTGACTTTTCAAGTCTTTCTTTGCTGTGTCATTGCTGCTGTTGGTGGTCTCATGTTTGGTTACGACATCGGAATCTCAGGTTTGTGTTTTAAGGGTTTGATTGGTTTTAGTGATATCAATTAATTAACTAATGGTAATCAAATTTTGCAGGAGGTGTGACGAGTATGGACACTTTCTTGTTAGATTTTTTCCCACACGTGTACGAGAAGAAACACAGGGTACACGAAAACAACTACTGCAAATTCGATGACCAGCTCTTGCAGTTGTTCACTTCGTCACTCTACTTGGCTGGAATCTTTGCTAGCTTTATTGCTTCCTATGTTTCCAGGGCTTTTGGAAGAAAACCCACCATCATCTCCGCCTCTGTCTTCTTCCTCGTTGGTGCTATTCTCAACTTATCTGCCCAAAACCTGGGCATGTTGATCGGTGGTCGTATTCTTCTCGGCTTTGGTATCGGTTTCGGTAACCAGGTATCATGTTAAACCCTCAATTTTCTTTTATCTCAGTGGTTTCCTCTGTTTTCATCTAGGGCTCCTCTGTTTCGTATGGGTTTGCTCTGTTTTTATGCCTTAACTTGTTTGTGTAGTTTTCTTACGCTTTGGTCTACCTATTAGCGTTCTTTTTTGTTTATTAATATTGAAACCATTACTTTTGCAGACCGTGCCATTGTTCATCTCAGAGATTGCTCCGGCGAGATTCAGAGGAGGACTAAACGTCATGTTCCAGTTTCTCATCACCATTGGAATCTTAGCAGCAAGTTATGTGAACTACTTAACTTCCACGTTGAAAAACGGCTGGAGATATTCTCTCGGTGGTGCAGCTGTCCCCGCTTTAATCCTCTTGATAGGATCCTTCTTTATCCACGAGACTCCAGCTAGTCTCATCGAACGCGGTAAAGACGAAAAAGGGAAGCAAGTCCTGAGGAAGATCAGAGGCGTTGAAGATATTGAGCTCGAGTTTAATGAGATAAAATACGCAACAGAGGTTTCGACAAAAGTGAAAAGCCCATTCAAAGAACTCTTCACCAATCGTGAGAACAGACCACCATTGGTGTGTGGAACGTTACTTCAGTTTTTTCAACAGTTCACCGGTATCAACGTTGTTATGTTCTACGCTCCAGTTTTGTTCCAGACGATGGGTAGTGGTAACAACGCTTCTCTGATCTCTACTGTTGTCACCAATGGTGTGAACGCAATCGCTACAATTATCTCTCTTGTAATGGTTGATTTGGCCGGTAGAAAATGTCTTTTGGTCGAAGGAGCTATCCAGATGACCGTTACACAGGTTAGTTTTTCTTTTTTTTTTGCTTGTGTCACATAGTACACATAATCTAACTTGGATAACAAGTTAACGTCTATGCCTTTTGATCATCTTACGCAGATGACAATTGGAGGCATTCTCTTAGCTCACTTGAAACTGGTTGGTCCTATTACTGGCCATGCCGTGCCGCTGATTGTATTGGTCCTCATCTGCATATACGTGTCTGGATTTGCATGGTCTTGGGGTCCATTGGGATGGCTTGTTCCGTCTGAGATCTATCCTCTTGAAGTGAGAAATGCAGGTTACTTCTGTGCAGTAGGGATGAACATGGTCTGCACTTTCATCATTGGACAGTTCTTCTTGTCGGCTCTATGCAGATTCAGATCATTCTTGTTCTTCTTCTTCGGAGTAATGAACATTATCATGGGACTATTTGTCGTGTTTTATCTTCCCGAAACCAAAGGTGTTCCTGTTGAGGAAATGGCCGAGAAGCGTTGGAAGACACACTCGCGTTGGAAGAAATATTTCAAAGACTAGATTTTCTTTTTTCTTTTTGTTCCCCAAGGTAGTTAATAACTAGAAGGTTTTAATAATTTGAACCTTTCCTAAATTTTCTAGCTAGGGTTTGACTTTTATTTTCTGAATTTGTTCTCTGCTTATTTTTAAAGTTTGTAGTTCGAATTGTTAAGATTCAGTTGGAGATGTTCATTAGATCAGTTGGAGAATTTTTTATTTTCATTTCTGGAATTTCAATAATTAGGCACAATTATATAGTTTGGGGATTGAATTGTCTAAGCAAACGACAATATTTTCGAACTTCAGATTTAAGATCCCTAATAAAATGGCGACAAATCATCACCAAGAAACTTGTGTATATCAAAAGACAACTATCACTAATAAATCATGTTAATTTAGTTCTTAAGTTAAATTTACTTGTTGAACAAAAAAAAAGAGAAGTTAAATTATAGTTTTTTATACCATTTATCAATAAATCGTACTTGCGAAAAAAAGTTGGAAAAATTAAGTGGAACAATGATTCTTTTTCTTTTGTTTGTTTGTTGGAACTAGGAATAGAAAGGTGACTGATGCAATATGTCGCCCAAGCAACGTTTACATATAACTGATAATAAGGATCCTAACATCAAACACCAAACCGTACAGCACCATTCTATCATCAATTCACAAATACAAGGAATACACAAGTCCCAAACTAGAGACTGTTATGGGCTGACGGATCTGGAGGTGCTTGATCTTGCGCTCCTTGAATGACTCATTGAAGATTGCCTGTCGCGCCTGCGAGACTTGCTTCTGCTCTCTTTCCTTCCCTTCTTTGGGGATGTGCTCCATGACATGCTTCTCCTCCCAGGGCTTACGCTTCTCGATACCGACCTGTACCTGATTTCATTCGTATTTTCAGTAACAACAATAGTAAGCAGTTTCAGTTGATCTGTTTTTATATTGACCTGCCACTATACCTTCTGTAGTGACGACTTTCAGGTGAGTAGGACCTGTCTCTCCCTTGGTAGTAAGGCGAATAGGACCGGTCTCTTCCTCTGTAGTAGGGTGAGTATGATCTGTCACGTGCTCTGTGGCGAGGCGAGTATGACCTGGATCTGGACCTGTACCTCCGTCTGTAGTAAGGTGATCTGTCCCGTGCTCTATAGTAAGGCGAGTAGGATCTGGACCTGGATCGGTCCCTTCGCCTGTAGTAAGGTGAGTATGATCTCTCGCGTCTCCTGTAGTAACGATCAACAGGCGATGGAGATCTCGAAGGAGAGTAAGATCTGCCTCGCCTATAAAAGGGTGAGGACGAGGATGACCTTCCTCTCCTCCCATAGCTTGGAGAATAAGATCTGCTCCGATCAGATGAGTAGCTTCGACTACGACTACGAGAGCAGCTAACAGACCTGCAGGGAGAGTAGCTAGGAGAGTTATGGCGTCCTGCAAGGAAAGAAACAAAAAACCATGTAAAGGAAAATCAGGAAACACCCACTAAGGAATTGTGATAAAACCAATACAACTGATGTCATACCCCGAGCGGTTCTCAGCCCCAAGTACTTTCCTGGAGTTGGAGTACGTCCTCTACGGCGCCTTGCCTGAATATAAAACCAGAGATATCACAAAACTGTCAGATATGTATCAATGAAACATGAAACACGACAAAAACAACCTTCCTACTTTGAAGCTACTAAAGGAAGGAATATTAAGTTGTTCAAGAAAGAGAGGAATGCAGGGCATACAACCCTAAGTGTCTGAAACTTGATTTGTTTGAACTGTTGCAACGTTTGCTATTTGGTGAAGCACTGCTGCTACAAACAGCAGACCTGCTGCCACAGAAACTTGAAAGTGGAAACAAGCAAACAACTTAAATATTTTAAAAGAAAAGAAACACCAATATAAAATTGCCCAGTACTTGCAGATATCAGCTTCGGCCAAATCACATTCATTTACGGTTCTATCGAAGCAGTCACTAGTAATTAGTCTTTTACCTTCTCAACTGTAATGACTCTGCCCTGCAGAACAGAGTGATCTAGATATCTGATGCAACGGTTAGCATCACCAACACTTTCCATAGAGATAAAACCAAATCCGCGAGATTCTCTAGTCCATGGGTCCAGGACAAGGTGAACATCCGTTACCTAGAAATATAAAAGCTCACAAACGTTAACTCATGAACGGGAAAACAAATCTCTCTACTAGAACTCTTTAAACATTATGCATTAGTGAGCTACAAAAGACTGAATTTTGTTCAAAATTACAGATAACATCCAACCTTTCCTTCTTTAGCGAAATGATCCTCCAAATCTCTTTCAGTTACCCGGTGAGACAATCCAGTTACATATAAACTGTTACCAGGATTCTCAGCATCGCTTGAGAAACTCCTAATGTAACAAAAGCGGTGTAAAACAGTCAGATATGAGCGCATTTAAAAGCAGCAAATATCACCAAGTCACGAAAATTCAAAGCTAATAAAAAGACATATACCTTGACCGGCTTCTAGACAATGACCTTGAGAGAGACCTTCCACGACGCTTGTCATAAGGAGACAGCGATGGAGAGTATCTTGACCTTCTTGAGTAAGACATCTAAAAGAAAAGAGAAAACTTAAATAATTAAGATTCTTAGCTTCAAGAGTATTGTCTAAACTAATATGAATATGCAAAACCACCAAATCTACAAGAATAATTCAAATTTTAAGCTATGAGGACGACATAAATATCTGATCCCTGAGTTCTAAACACCAATGAATTTTTCAAAATTCACGATACGTTCAACATCCAAACCAGCTTCCACATAAAACAAGATTTAGACCTTCATCATACTCGATCACATGATTAAATGCTTACATCTCTCTAGCTATTTTCCATACAAATCTAGAATCAAGCTTAAACACATGGAAATTTATAGCAACAAACAATTCAAATCTAACAACACCTAAAAGACAATCGTTCCAGAATTTAGAAAGCAACTCTGTAAAACGGCTCTGAATCGGAAACCAAAAACGAACGACGATAAAATCGAAAGAGAAAATTACCGGCGAACGTTTCCTCTAGCGCAATGGATGATGTTCCAGAACTCTCTGCACCTGACCCACCGGAACAAAATGAATTTCACGTTCCCGTATATTATTAGTGGGGAATATATATAGACGAATTAGAAAGAAGCTTCGGGAGAGTCGGACGCGATTGAATTTTAAAATCCCATCACATTTTTCGGTTTGGCGTCCGGCCCAGCTTTATTCTGTATTTCTTCTCACAAAAGGCCCAAACCAAATATTTTGACGACCAGATTGCTGTATTTTCCCCCTTATTAATTAATATTAACCATTACTCCAAATTTCGGGTAGAATTATCAGATTTAAAACGTTTCGAGCAACGTGAAATTTGTGATAATAATATTCCCAAAGTTCGTTATGAATTGATGAATAACTGCATACTATTCATGGAACCAATTGCCTCTAAAACTGATACATTTCGTTAAGAACCGGTTCTATAAAACAATACATTTCAAAGTTGAAACTAAAAGAGCAGCAGAAAATGATTCATTCAGAGTACAAAACCTTCCAGCATGATGAATAGCGGGAAACTTGCAGTACATTTTAAGCGAGAATTGTTCTCTACTGAGACGAACCAGTAGTAGTAGAAACAGCAGGCGGTTCTTGAGAGGATCCTGAAGGTGCTCCAGACCCAGTAGGTGCAGAGTCGGGTGATGGAGCAGAGACCGAGCTTGGAGACGGTGCAGGCCTTGATCCAGGACCAGGTTGCTGTGGGTACGGGTAAGCTGCTGGGGGCGGGGCATAGTGCTGCATAGGACCAGGATGATGATGATGGTTAGGAGGATACTGCTGCTGGTAAGGCGATGGCATATATCCATATGGTGGTGGTGGGTATGGCTGGTGTGGAGGCACCATGTAAGAAGAAGATGAAGCTCCGTTGTTCTCAGTGCTTGAACCACCAGCCTCTTGGGTTGAAATGACTGCACCCATTCTCTGTGGGTCCATTGATGGGTAATAAGGTTTGTCTTGGTTAGCTGGTAGTGGCTGCATGTAGTACTGTTGCATTGGTGGGGGTTGATTATGCTGCTGAGATATAACGGCTCGAGGTAGTAAACCACTATGAGCCACACCGCCTTGTTGGTTTGAACCATCTTGATCAGGTTTGGGTCTTCCCCATGTGAGTTTTAGCCTCTGACCATTGACAACTAGCCTGTTGGCGAGCTCTTGTGCGGCCTTCTCTGCTCCTTCTCGGCTTGTGTATGTGACAAACGCACAAGCTTTATCAGCCAAGATTCTGATGGATTCGATTTCACCATAAGCATAGAACTGGTCTCTTATGTCCTGCTCGAGGATTCTCGAGTTAAGTCCACCGACGTAAAGCGTTTTAATGCTTTCATCATCTGGTGATTCCAAAGTGCCCATCTCACCAGCTTTGCCGAGCAACTTCATAGCAACTGGATCATTAACACTGCAAATGTGTAAAAGAAGATGAGAAACAGTTAAAACAGACTCTTTGACAAGCATAAATGCAATAGTACTAATATATTATTAAGGGAACAAATATTGGAAAAGACCCTATGTAACAAGACTATACTGCGAGCCGACATAGCATAGTTCAGCCCATGAATTGAAGATCACAATTCACAAGTCAGAAGCTTCGAAAATAGAGTATATGAATGATCAAGGAGAAAATAGTACCATAGTAGAAACATAAAACGTCAACAAAGTCAAACATACAGAAGAAAACAACTTACCCATAATAACGGTCTTTAATGTTTTGCTGGGATAGCTCTCCTGTTTCGGGCATCTCATGCCGGTATGGACATTCAGCACCTCTTGTACACTCACCCCTGATGAAGAAACTACAAACATGTGCTCGGTTCCTCTTATAGTATGGTGTTGTTCTTTGAAGCTTTAAAATAGTATCATTAGGCCGCATCTTCCCGAATGAAGATTCATAATCCAGTCCAGCTCTAGTCTACATTAAAGAAAAAAACAACTTCACTTAGATAAGGTAACGTCCATCCAGTGCCAAAGTCACTGCCAACATCAATCATCCATAATGGTCACATAACCTAATCAAATTTTCAAACCAACCAATACTGAAATATAACCGTAAAGTTAAAAATAAAGGAAGAATGTGAACATGGTCATACCTTCCTGTCGTGCTCTTCAGCAAAGTACTCTCTGTTGACATCACTTTTAGGGATAGAGTCATGAGTACTAATGTTGAGTGCTGTGTCTCTGACTTGAACTGGAAGACCATACTCAAGATCCAGAAGACAGACTTGACATACATTTTTCAGCTTGCAACAAGTCTGACAAATTTCGGTTTTCTTGTATCTAGCATCGCGGCCAGGTCGCCACCTAAACACCGTGAAAGGTCGTGTACAAATCTTGCATTCCTTATCATAATTCGCTTTAGTCTACATATCAACAGATAAATTTCAATCAGATATCTCAGACAAACAAAAACTGCTTCTATCTCCTAATCGAAGCATTTGCAGCTGAAAGCTATAGGAATCAGCAGCTGTAACCAATTCTAACTATAACTAGACGAATTTGGATCTAAAAAAACAAACTTCCGACGAATTTGATAACTACCTAAACCCTAAAACCTAAATTACTAAGTTAACCACTCCAATACACAGAAAAAAAAACATCAACGAGCAAGAGATGAGATCCGCAAAGAAGATTCAGGAGCCACTGAAACAAAACAAGTAACATAAAATCCAAGTTTGATTGAGAAATTGAATCGAGAAATTACCATTCGCACGTAGGGGTTGTCACCGAGACAAGATTCGCAGATGATTGGGAAATCAGAGCGTTCCCACCCATCAGCTTCGTGATCTCTCAGTATTCTGTGAGCCATTCTCTTATCCTCTGATTCGATATCAAATCTCGAACACGAAGGAGACGACGGGATTTTTAACTAGGGCAAAGTCGGTTTTGGATTCGCGTGTTTTGTCTTTGAAATATTGCAAATAAACCCCCAAACTTTCACTAAAATTCGAAATGGACTTTTCTTCTTTTAATAACACAAATCAATCCTCTAACTTTTGTAATGTCCAAAAACATCCATCCAATTATAGGATGCGGTTTAGGTTATAGGTAGCTTGATTATTAAAACCACTATCCAAAAGACCAAAACCTTATGTTAAATGTTAAGCCTTATGTTAATGTTAAACTTTGAGATCAAATAATTTGAAAACTTTTAGTAAGTTTATTGGTAATAGACAAAATTCTTCCAAATCCGTTTCCAAATTTGTTAAAATATATTATAACGGATTAATAATAGATACAAAACGAAAAATTCGAATGTGAACAATCTTAGATATATGGCGGTGATTCAAATTCTTTTTATTTTTATAGAATTGTAGAATCACATTGTTGACAAAAAAAAAGAAATAGAATCACACATGAAGTTTTTACTTTCTTTACTATTCGTAGTCAACAAATTTTTTTACTGAAAATTACAAAACGTTTTGGCACAATCCAAGTTTCATAAGATTTTAGATTGGGGTTTTAAATTTTAAATAGTGGAAAAGATTACAAAATGTTTAGGTTTGATGACCAATTGAGGCACTAGTGCATTGGCGGGAACCAAAAAACTTAGAATGTCGAAATCCCGCCAGAAAAGAAAAAAGCTTATAAATCGGACTCCTCGAGATGTCAAATCTTCTTTCTAAAACCCACAAAACGATTTTCCTTCTGAACTCTGATAATATCTAAAGACGACGAAATGTTGGAGCTACGACTTGTTCAGGGCTCGTTGTTGAAGAAGGTTCTAGAATCAATCAAGGATCTGGTGAACGATGCGAATTTCGACTGCTCCAGTACTGGCTTCTCGCTCCAAGCTATGGATTCGAGTCACGTGGCGCTGGTGTCTCTCTTGCTAAGATCTGAAGGCTTCGAGCACTACAGATGCGACAGGAATCTCTCCATGGGGATGAATCTCGGCAACATGTCGAAGATGCTCAAATGTGCCGGAAATGATGACATCATCACTATCAAGGCTGATGACGGCGGCGACACCGTCACCTTCATGTTCGAAAGCCCCAGTAAGTGAATTTGCTAATTGACTGAATTAATCTACTAATCTCTGGTTTCTATGTGTACGAAATGGTGGAATGTTTGAGGGAATAGAATGATTTAGTTCTCTTAGGGGTTGTATATAGTTTCCAAGTTTCAAAACTTAGTTAGACCTAGCTGCTTCCTAATTTTGAGGTAGAAATTTCATACGTTTGTTTCTTGAGGTTACCTCTTTGGCTCTTACCAGTGAAGCTAGATCTTTTAACTTGGTAATGTGTGGGATGATTTACAGCGCAAGACAAGATTGCCGATTTTGAGATGAAGTTGATGGATATAGACAGTGAACATCTGGGAATACCTGATGCTGAGTACCACTCAATCGTTAGGATGCCGTCGAATGAATTTTCCAGGATTTGCAAAGATCTCAGTAGCATTGGTGATACAGGTACTTTTTAATGTGTACTGAATTGTGTCTATAGTTAATCTGAGATGGTATGTCGAGTCTAAACAGAGATTGACTTGATGTTATTGTTGCAGTTGTGATCTCTGTGACTAAAGAAGGGGTGAAGTTTTCCACTGCTGGTGATATTGGAACCGCTAACATTGTGCTCAGGCAGAACACAACTGTAGACAAGGTATTGACATGTCCAACTCTCTTTGCATAAAACTATGAAACAGTTGACAAATCCTCTACGGCTGTTTCATTGGAGCAACATGTTAAATTGAGGCTTTTGTTTTGTGTATTGCAGCCGGAAGATGCAATTGTGATAGAGATGAAGGAACCAGTGTCACTCTCATTTGCCCTGAGGTACATGAATTCCTTCACAAAGGCAACTCCATTGTCAGACACTGTGACAATCAGCTTATCGTCAGAGTTGCCAGTGGTTGTGGAGTATAAGGTTGCTGAGATGGGTTACATTCGTTACTACTTGGCTCCTAAGATTGAAGAAGAAGAAGACACTAATCCCTAAGACCCCTTTGTATCCACAGTTTCTTCTCTTCATCCTAAAATGTCGAAGATTCATTGATAATGTTGGTGTTTTTTTTTGTGAGATTCCATTGAATGACCCTCTAGAATCAGTTGTTTTCTTGACTTATTATGTTTTATGATAACAAAGTTCAGCATAATTAGTTATCTTTGAAACTATAACGATTCAACAACTAACTAACTCCATTTGCAAGATAATTTATACACTTACCCAGCCGTAGTTGCCTATACCTGAATACTTAAAAGTTAAATTGCATGTGAACCTTTACATGAAAAGGTATATTGCATTCCATAAGACTTCTCAACGTCAGTTCTTTGACACCGTTCTATACTCTTTGGCTACATTTGTGTAGTACATGTAAGTGCATCAAGTAAACCTAGTATGATACAAGTTTACTACATCTACGTTGGTTTCTACTTGTTTATGTTACAACAAAAGCACTAGAAGAGCCTGTGAAATGGTGGACTGACCCAAAGAGCTTCTTTGCAGCACCAAAATGGGTGATCCTGTAAACCCCTGGTGATGCAGACTCGGGAATTCTCCATTCCACAGTGGCCTGACTTCGGGAGCTCAGCTTTTTAGGCCTCGACCACTTGAACCTCAGACATAGATCATCGTCGTCATAAACTGGGGTCCAAGTCTTGTCCTTCTGTTCTAGTTTCTCCACCAGAGCAAACGTCCCTGCCATGAACATAGTATCTCGTGTTAGCATCAAAATATGTCAAGTTACTTATTTTGAAATTGTCTATGACTAAGAAGCAGACATTAGCATATGCAATTTCTAGAAATTCATAAGCATAACTCATGAGAAATTCACGCCAGCTTGAACAGGTAGTATTTCAATATTTTTACTTTTAAAAGCTCACAATTTTGCACTAACGCAACTATGCCCCATGGTTAAGGCTATTATCCTTCATCACAGAAATAAGAACAGAAAAGCTCACAGGTAAGCACAAATGCAGTTTTCAATCCTCAGTCTCTATGTCGCTTGAAACTTGTTTCAAGGACAAATTACTCAAGAAATAAAAAAACTCAGATATTAAACAAGCAATGTATTCTATTGGAATTGGGTGATGATACCTTCTGTCAGTAGATCGTTTCTAGGACAAGCTGACCGGAATACAACAGTCACCTGGTCGTTTCCCCTCTTCAAAGACAAGTTTTTAGGAACATCCGAAATCACATCCCCGAAACTGTCTCCGTCAGGAGTTGTGTCCATCATGACTGGTGTGAGGAAGCTAAGTTGCTTGTCAAGAAGATCCGGCGGTTGAGGCCCCGGTTGAACAGGCATATCAAGGACGAGAGATTTGGAGAGTTTCTTGAACTCTTGAATGTAGCCACTGAGGGTGTGTGGGCCATATAACGTAGATGCACCCTAACAAATGCAACCATTGCAACAGATGCAGATTAATGTATATAAGAACATGAACTCTTGTTTGTTCTAAAGGATCAGTAGATATGCTTTTACCTCGTATCTCTGCACTTGATACTCCTCAAAGGTAGTCACATACTGTGAGTAGCCATTAGCCAATCCAGCTATCACGACGTGAATCTCACCGCTCAAATCTTTATTACCACTGTTTTTAAGTTGTGTCTTCACTGCATCGCGGAGACGCCTTCCAGCCATAGTTGTAAATTCTGACAAGAAAGATAGACAGGACTATTAAACATCGCAGCATTAGTCAAAATTATGAAGTGTGACAATCTGCAGATTCTCCACTACCTCCAGGAACACTGAGAATGAAAAGTTGTCCAATACGTAGAATTTGCAATGAAAGAATTGATGGCTGGATTCAACGACAAGTTAGAGTAGAGCCTTAAAACCGTAAACAAGACTCATGGAAGTTCATATTTTTTAACTACTTACAGCCCAGTCATATGGCTTTGTCATTTCTCCAGTGTCAAGCAAAATGGGTTTTGGATAGTGACAATCGTTTTGTTTCTTGTCCGGTGTTTTAAGAACATTTCTCACCAATCTCCAAAATGGGTTCCCCTAATTTATCCAAACGGTAGACTTAAGAATTGGAAAGCATGGAGGCAATATTTACTTAGTAGATGATACATTATGACTTTTACTGAATACCTTATCATCTCCTTGTGTAAAATCAAATGCTCCTGGTCCATCTGTGGTTCCAGCAGCGAAAGCAAAGCCCATTGCCGCAGGACATGTTTTTACAACTTCTGATTTCCCATTCTTTTTGGGAAGTGTCACATTGAGCTGTGAAAAGTCAACATAAACATGGCGGTAATCAACCTTTCCTTGTAGCTGTTCAGATGCTTTGTTGAAAAGATCCAAAGCCATCTTGAATTGTCTCTCACCAATTATACGTGTACTCTCAAATTCATCAGGATAGCTGCAATGTTAAAGAAAAATAGGTCATGAGAGTTTACGATAAGTTTGTGCTATCCAATCTTGTAAGACGACAAAAAAAACAAAGACAGGTGAATACCCTGGTCCACGCCCATAACACATCTCATTTTTCCCACCACATGTACTGTGATTGAAATCACAAGGAAGACCAGTGTCTAGGCAAAAGGCTCCAAGCACATTTGGGCTAACATCGCCACAGTTCGTTTGACAGAAAGCAGAAACAAAGCCAGGCATATCTGCCTTCCTCAGAGCACTCCTCACCCGCCTTGCAGAACTTGAAATTCTAGTTGCAGGCTTACCAGGTTGTGACTCAAAGTAAGATGCAAGCTCTAGCAACTCTTGATCTGCATCAGACCAAAAACACTGAATATTTTATCTTGTTCCATCTTTAGAGATACAATGTACAGCAGTTATAAAGGTGTGGTAAACTTACGGTTGTCCTGATGATTCTCGATTATGCTTGAAACTCTTCTAGGTATCTCATCTGAAATAAACTCTTCAGAGTAGGATCTTTCAACAGTATTCTGTTCAAACCAATCCTCCATAAATCGTGATGCAGCACCCTTGTTGTCCCCGCTGATCAAAGAGTTTGAACGACTCATGGAAGTTCCATGGGTAGCAAACCAATTGAAACTACCTACTGGACCCCATTGATCATCCACAAACTTTAAGAGAGTCATTTCCTTATCAACGTCGTACTTGTGTTTACTCCTTTCTCCTGAAGGATTATTAAGATATGCACTTGGACTGCGGTTTACACCAGCATCCAAGAGTTCACCTGTAAGGTAAGTTTAATTAGCCTAATGAAAATAGCAGTTCCAAAGAACAATCCTGCAACACATATGAAGAAGACAAACATATTCTTTTTTTGAGAATTATTTCCAATGCACACATCGTTTGACTACTTTTTTCATTTGTCAATATCTCATCAAAACTTAAACAGATTCCAGCAATAATCATTCTTTCAGAAAACAGGGAAAATTTCCGGAGAGAAGGGGATATCAGTACTTACCATTATTGATAAAAATTGATCCAGGTCGAAGATTTTCGTGAGCTTGTATGATACTGTTCTCAATTCCATCCACAAGGGCATCAAACGACTGACGAACAAATCCAAGTGATGTTACAATATAAATCACATACTGAAGATACCCCCCTGGACCGGCATGGGTATGAATACCACTGATGCCAACATTCTTTTCAGTATACAGATCCCCATATCTGCAAACAACAGCTTAATTATTCCTTCTCGATTATCATACAGACTTAGCTACTACAATCTTATCAAAAAAACTAAGGCTAGTCAACCTAGGAAAAGATTTGGTGTGTACCTTGCCTTGAGTCTCTCGATCACTTTTAGTTTAACAATTTGTGAAGCCATGCAAGCGTCGAGGTTAACAAACACAACCCGCTTCCCTTCAGGTTCAGAGACGATGAATGTCCGAGCCCGGAGCCTGAAGTGAATACCAGATGCCACTTGCTCCATGTTAGCATAACCCATCATATTTACATCAGCTGCCGGGCCAGTAATGTCATAGCTTCCCAGTCCAATCAAATATTCAGAATGAGAGTAAACTCCTCCACCGGTGAGCAGAAAAAGCACTGTCGAAATGTAGAAGAAACTAGGAAAACAAGTGCTCCATAATCTGACTAGAGATAACTCCATCATAGTGAAATATCTCAACCACTTCGCATTACCTGACATCAACAAAACTGAAAATCATGTGTCTTCACAAAACAGATTGTATCTTTGTGACAAGCACATAAACATCAATTTTGACATCCCTGATTCTCAATCACAAGTGCACCAAAAAATTCCCTGAGCATACAGAACTGAGAAGACAAATCACACAGGCCAAACATGAAAGAGAAGAAAACTCAATTGAAATCCGTAAATTCAGTTCGGCTAATAAACATGATTCTTCTTCATTCGGAAACTGAATAAAGTTAGTAACTGTATATACAATTCTTAAAAAACACCTAAAAAGCCAGCAAATATCACTTTTTCCCTAAATTTCTTACAAGCAAAAGAAAAAAAGAAGGTTGAAGATAGCCATGAAGGATCAGTAAGAGAACATATCTTAACATGCAATCGGTCAAGAACCAAACAACAGAAGAGAAACTAATCGCTAACCTGATTATGAGTACGGGATTCTTCCAAAAGAAAAGGGAGAGATAAATCAGATGGAAGAAGAAAGGAATATCATGATGAAGCGAGAAAGAGAGAGATGAGTGAGGCGAATGAGAGAAGAGTCTGAGAGTTGAAGCAAAGGAATGAAATTGGTGGGAGAGATGATGATGAATTTTCATTATTTTGATCGTCAAAGTTGATGACTCTTTTGACTTTATTAAAGGTGCCAAATCCATATCAGTTTTTGGCCCAAAACCTATAGGCTTTTGGGCTCAAATCTTACATAACATTTAAATGAACTCTCCCTTTTTTTCTTTTTTTTAGTCTACTCTTTGTTTTGTTGCATAATGAAAACAGAATCAAATCAAGCAATATTTGGTCTAGAAAGCCCATTAGAGCAACATTATTGGGAAGTGGTTAGTTTTGGTTGAAAGTAAATTTTTTGGTTCTTAGCCCAATTTTTGACTCTTAGCTAAGAGTCATTCCTTAGCAAAATCATCAATTACACCTTTAATTTTAATCTCTTTTGAGCTAAGAACCAAGTTAAGCATCTCCCAAAAAGGATGGTCTTATGGCTCAGATAAGGAAAGCACGAGTGGAATGGGATATGTTAATTACAAAAATGTGTTAATTATGAAATTGAGTTAAATTACATTTGCCTATAGGGTTGACTTTAACATCAACATGACTGAGTTTTTTTATTACTACTAAAAATTTCCAAATGTTCTTGAAGTGCATATGTGTGTGTGTGTAAGTTACACATAACTAACCAATGTAATTTAGGGTGTCCAACGTTAGTAGTTTTTATGAGACTCCAAACTAAAAGAACTTGAATTTTAGTTAGATGTTTTATTTTTAATAACTATAAAAAGTGATTCTCTAAGTAAACAGAAATGCAAAATAAAAAAATCATTCTATAGAATAATTAAATTTAACTCGCTTGTGTTCAGACGGCCTTGACTCTACTTAATTTACGCTTGGAAAAAAAACAACAAAATCTATAGCAAAGGTCCCCTCAGAGAGATTGATGGCTACTAGTGACTAGTGAGAGGCATACGTTCGATGGATATCGACTCATGGGTCAATTTTCATTGTTGGAGTTATACACAAAAGTCAAAAATGGGTTGAGTATTTCGTGGACTCGTATAGTCTATTCGTGGACTCATAAAACTCTCGGAATCAAATCCTATGTTTTTCTAACTAAAAAACATAGAAACAATTTGACAACAAAAAAAAAACAGAAACAAAAAAAAAATGACAAGAAACGAGAGAAGAAGGTGGTGGGTGAAACCGAAGAAGCATATAGCTTTGGTGTTCATAACAATAACAATGATGCTCCAATTCCAAATAAAAGGATGTGTAAGCTGTGTGGAAACTGAAAGGATCGGTTTATTGCAACTCAAGTCGTATCTCAAGAATCTCCTTGATGCCGAAGAAGAAGAAGAAGGACTTAGTATTCTCAAGTCATGGACTCATCATAATGGTGATTGTTGCCTTTGGGAGAGAGTAAAGTGTAGTGATGCTATTAGTGGCCACGTCATCGATCTCTCACTGGATAGACTCATACCCGTCGCATTTGAGTCACAAACTCGGTCTTTAAACCTGTCTTTGCTTCATAGTTTTCCTCAACTCCAAAGCCTTAATCTTTCATGGAATTGGTTCACTAATTTGTCTGATCACGTCCAGGGTACGTCTTTCTAACCGAAAATTTGTCAATTAATGTCTGGAAACCAACAATTAGAAATATCGGTTCAGGTTTAAACCGGTTTTAACCAAATACAAACAACCTCATCATTCGACAACGGCAACAACCACAACAGAGTTCTTTTACCGTGTGGTTTTGTCTCTAAGATCAGCCATTGCTGATTGATAGAATAAGAGTGTGTATAGATTTCATCTTTAAGGGGTCTGATTGGTAACAAGCTGTTAGCTGTTAGCTGGAGCTGTTAGCTGGAGCTGTTAGCTGGAGCTGTTAGCTGTTAGGGAATAGTGCAAAGCTGTTAGGGAATAGTGCAAAGCTGTACAAAAGAATAAAACACCAAAGCTGTACAAAAAAAAAACGCAGAACAAATTTTAAAAATTTACTCTGATTGGAAACATTATAGCGGTACACATAATAAATAATATTCAGAGTTTAGAAAGAAAAAAAAATTACATAGAAATGTACTTTAATATATAATTACATATGAAAAATAAAATTATACAGAATTAACAATATTTTATTGTTAGAATAATAATATGAATTAACTAGTCCTAAAATAAATAAAAATATCTTTTTCTTTATTATAAAATAAAAACATTAAAACTGATTTACTAAAATTAATTTTAGTAATTTTTTAATCTGAAATACAATGTCTCAAACATACATAGAGAATTTAAACATACGTAAACACATAAACAATTGAAATTAAGTACGAGCTTCCCATAACAAATCTGCTATTTGATTACGTACATCTGCCATATATGCTCCACTTCTCGATGTTTCCACCTTTTCTATTTCATTGGCCACACTTACATCTACATCATGTTGTCCATTATCATTTTCATTTTCTGCATCGGTCTCAAAATCATCATCAGCAATATTGGAACGTCGAATGTAATTATGAAGACCCATTGTAACAAGCACTAATTTTTTTTGAGTTTCTAATTTGTAAAAAATAATTAGTTACGGTTAAAAAATATATTAACTGTAACCGTTAATTAACCGTAACCGTATTTAACCGTAATCGTTGTAACCGTAACAGTATTTAACCGTAACCGTTTTAACCGTATATATAATAGTTAATGTTACATTTTAAAAAAAAATAATCGTAACCGGTGATTAATTAACTGTAACCGTAATAACCGTAACCGTGGTCATGCCTAAAAAATAGTGAAGAGCTAATTTTAGTTTGATATAGTTTTTATTATTTTAATCTGTTTTTATTTTTGTCCAAAAAAAAACTTGTTTTTGTACCGTTGTAACCGTAACCGTAACCGTATTTAACCTTAACCGTTATAACCGTATTTAACCGTAACCGTTATAACCGTATTTAATCGTAACCGTATTTAACCATAACCGTTTTAATTTGTTTTTGTTTTTGTCCAAAAAAAACTGTTTATGTTATCTGTACCGCTTTTCATAAAGCTTTTGTGATTGGTAACTGTCAAAGCTGTACAAAGCTGTACAGCTTTAAAATTGTTCACCAATCAAACCCAAGATCTTTATGATAGTGTGAAAAAAGGGTAGGGCGCGTGAGTTTAGTACTGTAATTTGGTATTACATAGTGCACATAAAGTGTTCGACAGTTTGTTTGAAAGAGAATTTTAGTTTTCTTTTTGCATTTTTGATTCCAGGTTATAAGAGCTTTGGGAGACTAGAGAAGCTCACCACCATAGATTTCTCCCACAATATGTTCGACAACAGTATTGTTCCTTTCTTAAGTGCTGCGACATCGGTTAGGAATCTACATCTTGAGTCTAATTACATGGAAGGTGTCTTTCCTCCTCAAGGTTATGTATTTCTTCTAAAATGTTTGGTTCTGTTTTTGACATTTTTGTTTATAATTCAATTGGAGATGATTTTGACGGCTTCTTCTTGTTCTGGTGTGGCAGAACTTGCAAACATGACAAACTTGAGAGTGTTGAACTTAGGGGACAACAGTTTCAGCTTCTTATCTGTTCAAGGTAGTATATATGTTAACAAACTTAATGTAGTTTTGTGGTTCCAAAATAATAAGAGAACAAAAGGATTGATGCCAAATGACTGAGTGAGACATTGAGATGCAGGCTTAACCGATTTCAGAGAGTTAGAAATACTGGATCTCAGTTTCAATGGTGTCAACGACTCTGAGGCTAGTAGTAACAGTGAGTGGCTGCCATTTTTAGCTTTGTTTTATGGAAGCTTATCTCTGCTGACTTATATCATCACTTATGAATGTGTTTATTGGTGCAGGGTTTAGTACGGCGAAACTGAAAACACTAGATCTTAGTTTCAATCCGTTTTCAGATATTTCTCTTCTTAAAGGTAGACAGAGAGTACCAGGAATTTACTTACATGATCTTTATCCATTTCTGTCAACTTTCTAATTATAACTTGTGTTTTTCGGGATCTCCAGGTTTAGAAAGTCTCCGAGAGTTAGTAGTCTTGAAATTACGAGGCAATAAATTCAACCACACGCTATTTACTCATGGTAAGTGTTGTAAACTGTTCTTTCAGGAAGAGACTTATGGCTTAGAGAAGGCAATCATATGTGGATTTCTCTGGTTCTTTTCCTAAGAATGTTTATTTTGCATCCGCAGTACTGAAAGATCTGAAAAAGTTGCAAGAACTGGATCTCAGTGACAATGGGTTCACAAATTTGGATCATGGCCTAGGTAAGATATGTATAGAAAGTGAAACTTGCTTGCTCAATCCCAATTGGTTTAACCTATCTAGTTTAACGTTTTGATAAGAGTAGAAGTGAGGAGGAGTTGATTATTAGAGACGTTGTTCAGCAACTCCAGGTCATAAATTAAAAAATTCAGTAAGCAACTATGAAGCCTAGTTTTTCTGGGCATCTTGTATAGCTATTCTAGACCCTCTGGATAGGATTGCGTCTAAATTTCCAGATGAACATAACGAACCACAACTCAGTTACTGTGGGAGAGGTTAAAGAGAGTAGAATCAGATTATGATAAAATTTCTGGATATTGTTCGGTTTGGTGTAGGTTTTGGGGTCAAGAATTGAGAATAATTTCGTTAATCAATGTCCCATCGGTGTATTACATTTGGGTTGGTGAATATAGAACGGTTTCCTGGGTTGGTTCTTAACAGTCACTTTAGATGCTTATTAGAAGTGGAGCATTCAAATCTTTATCTATTTATGTATCATTATGTTCTTTCAACTGCAGGTTTAGTGATTCCTACATCTTTACAAGTATTGGATTTCAAAAGGAATCAATTGTCTTTGACCCACGAAGGTGAGATGTACAGTAATTTTATCTCTTCTGACCTATCTTTCAATACAGTATGCATTTTTTGTTCTAAACAGAAGAGTCACACTTTAGTCACCCTCCTAACTGAATTTCTACATAGATAGATTGTGAGAACAGAAGATAATTTAATGAGTTCCGTGGCTATGAAGTCTAAATAGTTCATATGATGATGGAGTTGATGAATATCTTTATTGTTATTACTCTCTTTTTAGATGGAGTTGATGATTATTCTGATTTCTTACACTTTTATATGATTATTTCAGGCTATATAGGGATTTGCAGACTAATGAAACTCAGGGAACTGGATTTGAGCAGCAATGCTTTAACAAGTCTACCTTCTTGTTTGGGTAACTTAACGCATCTTCGAACTCTTGATCTATCGAACAACCAATTGAATGGAAACCTGTCTTCCTTTGTGTCTGGTCTACCATCAGTGCTTGAGTACTTGTCGCTGCTTGATAATAACTTCAACGGTTCGTTCTTATTCAACTCACTGGTCAATCAAACAAGACTCACAGTATTCAAATTGTCATCAAAAGTTGGTGTGATCCAAGTTCAGACGGAGAGTTCCTGGGCTCCATTGTTTCAATTGAAGATGTTACATTTGTCGAATTGCAATCTTGGCAGTACAATGCTTGTCTTTCTCGTGCATCAGCATGACTTGTGCTTCGTTGATCTCTCTTATAACAAGTTGACAGGAACATTCCCAACGTGGCTTGTGAAGAATAACACAAGGCTGCAGACTATTTTACTAAATGGGAACTCATTGACAAAGCTTCAACTACCTATGCTTGTTCACGGCTTGCAGGTTCTCGATATCTCGAGTAATATGATATATGATTCGATTCAAGAAGACATAGGGATGGTGTTTCCAAACCTGAGGTTTATGAACTTCTCTTCAAATCAATTTCAAGGACCTATTCCCTCTTCGATTGGCCAGATGAAAAGCCTACAAGTCTTGGACATGTCTTCTAATGGTCTATATGGGCAGCTACCTATTATGTTTTTAAGTGGTTGCTACTCGCTAAGGGTTCTGAAGCTCTCCAACAATCAATTACAGGGGAAAATATTTCCTAAGCATGCAAATCTTACTGGTTTAGTAGGGCTTTTTCTTGATGGCAACAATTTTACTGGGAGTCTAGAAGAAGGTTTATTGAAGTCAAAGAATCTAACTCTTCTAGACATATCAGATAATAGGTTTTCGGGCATGCTTCCGCGTTGGATTGGTAGGATGTCATGGCTTTCCTACCTATACATGAGTGGTAATCAGCTAAAAGGTCCTTTCCCTTTTCAACAACAGAGTCCTTGGGTTGAGGTTATGGACATCTCACACAATAGCTTCTCTGGTTCGATACCAAGGAATGTGAATTTTCCATCTCTCAGAGAATTAAGACTACAAAACAATGAGTTTATGGGTTCAGTTCCGGGCAATTTATTCAATGCTGCGGAATTAGAAGTGCTTGATTTGCGTAACAACAACTTTTCTGGAAAGATACTGAACACTATTGACCAGACATCTAAGTTACGCATTCTTCTTCTCCGGAATAACAGCTTTCGAACTTATATCCCTGGGAAAATATGTCAGCTAAGTGAAGTTGGTCTCTTGGACTTGTCTCACAATCAATTCAGAGGCCCCATACCATCATGTTTCAGTAAAATGTCTTTTGGTGCAGAGCAGAATAACGGTACCATGTCACTTGTTGCAGATTTTGACTTCGCATACATTACATTCTTGCGACATTGTCACTATGCATCACATCTTAACTTGGATGATGGTGTCAGCAATGGTTATCAACCAAAACCAGCAACCGTAGTGGATTTTTTAACGAAAAGCAGATATGAGGCGTATCAAGGTGATATTCTCCGCTACATGCATGGTCTGGATTTGTCGAGCAACGAACTATCGGGTGAAATTCCAATTGAGATTGGAGATCTTCAGAATATCAGATCCCTGGATTTGTCAAGCAATCGCCTCACAGGCTCCATACCAGATAGCATTCAAAAGCTGAAGGGCTTAGAGAGTCTTGATCTATCCAATAATAAGCTCTATGGAAGCATCCCTCCTATGCTAGCCGATCTCAACAGTTTAGGATACTTCAACATTTCATATAACAATTTATCAGGTGAAATCCCTTTCAAAGGCCATCTTGTTACCTTTGACGAGAGGAGCTACATAGGAAATGCTCATCTATGTGGACTTCCTACAAATAAAAATTGCATCTCCCAGAGAGTCCCTGAGCCACCAAGTGTATCAACGCAGGCCAAAGGGGAAGACAACGAAGAAGAAGGTGATGTGATAGACATGGTGTGGTTTTACTGGACTTGTGCTGCAGTCTACATATCTACATCCTTGGCCTTGTTTGCTTTCCTCTGCATAGACTCACGATGGTCCCGGGAATGGTTTTATCGTGTAGATCTATGCGTTCATCATCTCCTACGGTTCAAGCGTTCCTCTATCTGCAACTGATTCCGTGGCTCGCCAAGAGGTACACCGCCATATTATCCTTTTTGATCAAGGAGTTCAAGTTTCGTGTTATCCTTGTTGTATGTATTGCTTAAATAATAATGATCCCACTGGAATAAACGATTGTTGAAATGCTTCTCAGTTGATCCAAGTTGGGATGAGAGAAAGCTTTTGAAGACAAAATATATGTGTAACATGATACCAGTTCAAATTTCAATATCTAAGGAATTGCATCTCATACTATTTGGGCCTCAGAAGCCCATTAGAGCCCAGAAAACACAACGGCTTGAAATTGAAAGGCACATCTAGACTCTAGAGTTTTCTGGATTCAGTTAACCAATCTTGTCATCGTTTTAAGAAGTTGGGATCCGAAAATTCTAGAGGCTCTGGAGATCTTGTTCACCCACTAGTATAAATACATCATCCGACTCACCAGTTTTGCTCAGAAGTAGAAATAGAACTCGTCGGAAAATCGTGGTTAGTTGTCTCAGCATTGCAAACATCTCCTTGGCTTTCGAAATCAAATCGAGAATGTCGCTGATTCCAAGCTTCTTCGGCAACAACAGGCGAAGCAACAGCATCTTCGACCCGTTCTCACTCGACGTGTGGGATCCATTCAAGGATCTGCAATTCCCGTCCGGAGAAACATCGGCGATGACGAACGCACGTGTGGACTGGAAAGAGACGGCGGAGGCGCACGTGTTCAAGGCGGATCTGCCGGGGATGAAGAAAGAAGAGGTTAAAGTGGAGATAGAGGACGACAGTGTGCTCAAGATCAGCGGAGAGAGACACGTGCAGAAAGAGGAGAAGCAGGACACGTGGCATCGGGTGGAGAGATCGAGCGGGCAATTCTCGAGGAAGTTTAGGCTGCCGGACAATGTGAAGATGGATCAAGTCAAGGCTTCCATGGAGAACGGAGTTCTGACTGTGACGGTGCCTAAAGTGGAGACCAAGAATAAGGCTCAAGTTAAATCTATTGATATCTCTGGCTAAAAGCACACTATTACCATATACTCGTGTTTGTTCAAAAGTTATCATGTTTGGTGTTATTTGTGCTGTACTATGTTTGAATAAGGACAATCTAAATCTCCTATGATCAAAATGTATGTCAAATTCCGCCCAAATAATATTGAATGGTATTGAACAGTTTCACTAATTTACAGAGAGAAATGAAGAAACAGAATCAAATCAATGAAAAAGCGAAATAAGCAACTAATCAAAACTCTTGATGGCTCATGTCACAGAAATAGTGAGTACTTACTTGATAATTGATTGACAAGTAGTTCTAGAGAAATACCATTCCAGGTCTAATAACAACAGCCCAAAAAGAGTCAGAAATCGGGTATTTGATCCTTTGGCTTTTTGGGATCTTCAACAGTTTCTTGAGGATTGGTTAAGGATCATTATCTCCATCTGTTTCTTCTTACACCGTAAGTCCGTAACTCTTTCGTGCACATTATAAGTATCAGGGAGACAATGGAGTTGATATTCTTCAGCTTACTTTGTGTAATCTAATTAAAGCCCCCAAATCTTTAGAAAAGGAAAAAGACCAAAACTCGTCGAAAGAAAAGGAAATACTCAACCTTAAAAAAAGAAGGAAATTCTATGTTCACAAAAAAAAACAAAAAGGAAATTCTTGTGATAAATTTCCTTTTTTGTGCTTTTGAAAAACCCAACCTTCGCTTATAAATATATACTCTCAGTCTCAGGCATTCTTCTTCTTGTTGAGAAATCAAAATTCTCTATTCTCATTGTTCTTCTTCGAGAAACGAAAGCCAAAAAAAAACAAAATCTATCATCTAATTCTTTTTTTCGTACATGATACAGTTCTCTTCTAAATACAGAGAGAATCGATCGCCGATGATGATCCATGCATGTAAGAATCGAAATTGAAGTAAGCCGTGTGAGTTCATCATCTCAGTTTCGTGATTGAATGATCTTCAACATCTTCTCTGTCCTTAGCCAATCGGGAATGACGAAGAAAGATGATAAGAAGAGATCGGGGCAGGGAAATCGAGGAGCAGATTCAGAAGTCTAATTCGATGGCTTAAATTAGCGACTACCCAAAGAGAATCATCAATCATTCGCCAGAGAGGATGAACAAAGATCAAAACCAGAAGAAACATAAAAATCTCAGGGTTTCGTCGAAGAGGATGGTATGGAGGATGATGTCACTAGACAAACGGTGGGCTCACTTCTGCCCTTGACAATGGGCTTTCTTCTATGGGACCTCTTTGCTACCCAAGTCCAATCAGGTAAAAAGACTTTCTTCATTCTTTCTTTGTTTGTTTGTTTGTTTTTCTCTTAATTTTATTGTTTTTTATACTAAATTTACATAATGATGTATGAAAACTAACCGGATTTTGGATCCAGCATTAGTCGTTAGAGATTCCACTAATTCAACTTGTTTTCGCATCGTTATCTAGATTTAGTATTCAAGTTTTTAATTCGGATTTTTAAAAAGTTTTTTTGTGTTTTTTTTTAAAGGTTATTGTTTTTGGATACTAAATTTACATAATGATGTATGAAAACTAACCGGATTTTGGATCCCGCATTAGTCGTTAGAGATTCCACTAATTCAACTTGTTTTCGCATCGTTATGTAGATTTAGTATTCAAGTTTTCAATTCGGATTTTTAAAATAGTTTTTAAAATTTTAATATTTTCTCTTCGGATTTTCTAAAGCCCTTTTTGTGTTTGTTTTTTTTTTAATTTTATTGTGTTGATACTAAATTTACATAATGATATATAAAAATTAACCGGATTTTAAATCTCACTATTGATCGTTAGCAACGTTTTCTCGGACAATTATCGTCCTGATCGACGTTTTCAACTTAGTTATGGTTAGAGCCGTCCCTACAAATGGAAAGGCTACAAACTAAAACTAAAAAAAAGGGCTGGTTAAAAGTGACTATTTTATGGAAAAATGAAAATAGATAACAAAATGTACCAGATAAGGATCGAACTTGTAACCTTGAGGTCTTAAGGATTTCATGTTTATGAGTTCATGGCTTTATGCGTAAGACACTTCATATTATGGTTTTTGATTTGAATATGGCTCTGTGTTGTGGTATGATATAATTTAACTGTTAATCCTAATAATCAATTAAGGCCATGTTTTCATTTTTCAATTGCTTTTTCTGATGATTTTAGCCGTAAATTCGATTTTAACCCGGATAGGACCAAGTGACCAACTAAACTCAAGTCTAAATGTTGGCTTTTTAATGAAGATCTGCAATTTTTAGGGTAACGTAAACGATATATAATCTGTCTCATTTATTTAAACTGATCTTAGTTTTGGTATGGGTGATTTGTACAAAGACTTATAACAAAAAGTTGAAATTGAATGAAATTATTTCTTTCGTGGTAAACAAAAAAGAATCTCAAAATTCGAAACTAAAATAAATGGGTGTTTCCGTTTTCACCTCTTGGGCACAAAACTCGCAACGTATAAGGAAAAGAAACAGAGGAATACAGAAACAAAAGGAAAAGCAAAACTAATTACAAAAAAAAAAAACAATTCTTCCATTCTCGATCCTTCCGGCTTGCTCAAAGGGTAAAATTCGATTTTCTAGGGTTTCGATTTGCGAGACGGTTAATTGTTGTCATCTCTTCGATCGATTTTGACGTGAATGTGTGTGTATATGCGTAGGTTGATCGGACGCTAGGATTTGAGAAGCAATGGCTAATCGAATAGATCATGAGTACGATTACTTGTTCAAGATCGTCCTGATCGGCGATTCCGGTGTTGGTAAATCCAACATTCTCTCTCGATTCACCAGAAATGAGTTCTGTCTCGAATCCAAATCCACCATTGGCGTCGAATTCGCCACCCGTACTCTACAGGTCATCTCCTTTCCCTCTAATTCTCGAAATCCAGATGGTGTTTAAGCTTAGATTGTCTTTGATGTATCGTTGCATTTGAATCCTCTGATCATTGTAGGCATTATCGTTGCATTTGAATTCTTAGATTGTTAGATCTGTAGATCTTAGGTGTTTTTTGAAATGAAACTGTAGCAAATGAAATGGCTCGTCTTTGTTCATGCTTCTATGTGTAATCTGATTAGGTTGAAGGCAAAACAGTGAAGGCTCAGATTTGGGACACTGCAGGTCAGGAGCGTTATCGAGCAATCACAAGTGCTTACTACAGAGGAGCTGTTGGAGCTCTTCTTGTCTACGACATAACCAAAAGGCAAACTTTTGAGAATGTCCTGAGATGGTTACGTGAGCTTAGGGATCATGCTGATTCCAACATTGTTATCATGATGGCTGGAAACAAATCAGATCTTAATCACTTGAGATCTGTTGCTGATGAAGATGGTCGCTCTCTTGCCGAGAAGGAAGGTTTGTCGTTTCTCGAGACATCTGCTTTAGAAGCAACTAACATTGAGAAAGCGTTTCAGACTATTTTATCTGAGATTTATCATATCATAAGCAAGAAAGCTTTAGCTGCACAAGAAGCTGCAGGTAATCTTCCGGGTCAAGGAACTGCAATCAATATATCAGATTCATCTGCAACTAACAGAAAAGGATGCTGTTCTACCTAGTTACCTCCAACTATAGCGATGACTAAGACTAATCAATCAATCACACGTTTGAGTTTTTCAAGAATATCTCTTCTGATTTTTTTACCAGTTCTTTTCTTCCTTTTTGGCTTAATTTCAGCAAGTATAGCATACCTTTTTCTTTCCTGGTCTTTGATTTCCATATCGTATCGGATTTATGATACAAGATTTTGTTTAGTTGTATTGAAACTGTGATCATTCACAATTTCACACCATTTTCTGAAAAAGAAAGAATTTTTTATATCTTGATCTAAAATCTCTTGGAGACATTTTCACAGATCATTGGAATAGTAGCAGCCAAAGTGGTCTATAAATTGTTGGTCAACTTTTTTGGCTTTAATGGGTTTTAATCCTATAATTTTTTTCACAACTTCAAATCTTATTTCTGGTTTCAAAAATTCAAAGCAAAATATTCTATAAATACTTTAGAAAAATACAAAAATTGTGCCAAATGTTTTTTAAAAAAATGGAGACCATAAAACCTAAAATAGAGACTAGGGAGGTGGAGGAGGGTGATGTGCACGTGGGGATGTGTTAGCATTCATTTACTGTGTACCAAAAAGGACCTGGCTCTGATAGAGAGAGTGGTCTTTAAGATGAGTAAAAAAAAAAGTTGGTGAAAAAAATCAAAAAATATCTGAGTTGCCAGATATCATTTCATTGTCGTGACAGTCTGTTGTTTGTTTCACCTGCGTGGCCTCTCTCCCACCACTTTCTTCTTCTACATCTTCCCATCTGTGTCTCATAGATCCATCTATGGCTTCCCTCGTCGAATCTGGTTGGCAGGTACTCTCTCTCTTCCTCATAATCTCATCTATCTGATCCTGCTTCCGATTCCCTCGTTTTCCGGCGATTTCCTCTGTTTTCTCCGTCTCGCTGACTTCAGTTCACCGCATTGTGATACATGCGGTTGTAACCCACCTCTCTGGATCGCATTGATCCATCGGATGAAATTTGGTTTCGTGTCGATTGCAGTACTGTTTTAGATCTGAATTTGACTATGCTAGTTCCAAATCACGTTAGGACTTTTGACCGTGTTTCCAGTTTCCGTTTGTTTGCTTGGAGCTTAAATGGATGTAGATATAGGTATGGGACCTAAACACACATGAATGATAATCGAGTCCCTCTTTTGTGCCCTCTGTTTGATCGGTTTAGCTTACGGACTTTCCAATGGTCGGTAACCAAAATCGTCAAAAAAACGCCGTTCTGATTACTGTGATGCATGGTTTTCGGGTCCATAAGAGTATTTCTCATTTGATCTTTCCTACCAGAAGAATTGTTCTTATTTGTTATACTGTGCATTTTGGGTGTCTTGTGTCCCTAACTTGGATCACTGAAAAAAGTGTTGCTAGGCAATAGTGTTTCCTGGAACATGTTCTTCGATACTAGTTTTTACTTAATGATAGTATTTGTTTCCTTTCCTTGGTGTTTGCGCTTATTGTCTATCATGAGTTCTCCTTCACCACAGAAATGCTGTATCTGTAGCTGATCATATGTTTCATTTCTGTGGTTGATGCAGTACCTTGTGACACATTTTAGCGACTTCCAACTGGCCTGCATTGGGAGTTTTCTCCTCCATGAGAGCGTGTTTTTCTTATCTGGACTCCCTTTCATTTATCTTGAAAGGCAAGGCTTTCTCAGCAAGTACAAAATTCAGGTTTATTCTCGTCTTTTTCTTCATCGTTCCAAGTGTCTTCTATGTATGCGATTATAGCTTTGTGATGGTTTGAATATGATCGTGTAGAGGTTGATCCCTAAGAATTCAGCCACACGAGAAAGTGTTTTCTTGTGACTGATTGTAAAGGCAAATGTTGTTTCACTGATCAAAGTGAATAACTATAGTCCCTTTGCAACTATTACTAGTGATTGTGAATCTGATCCTTCTCTCTGCTTCTCTTACCCTTTATGATCATCAAATACTTTTGTTTTGGTCCTGTGCAGACAAAAAACAACACACCTGCAGCCCAAGGAAAATGTATTACTCGCCTGTTGCTTTATCATTTCTGCGTAAACTTGCCCCTGATGATGGCCTCCTATCCTGTCTTCAGAGCCATGGGAATGCGAAGCAGTTTTCCTCTACCGTCCTGGTATTGATGTTAAACTCTTCCAATTAGCAATAGAAAAAAAAAGACATAATCAAAAGCTGTCAGTGTTGAGCATCATGAAAGAACCTGAGCTTATGTTTGATCAGGTATATAAGACCCTCTTTGGTGATGGTCCTGCAGGAAAGAAGTGTCTGCCCAGATATTATTCTACTTCATCATTGAGGATTTTGTCTTCTATTGGGGTCATCGGATCTTGCATTCAAAATGGCTGTATAAGAACGTGCACAGTGTGCATCATGAGTAAGTTTCAATGTTCACCATTTTTTTTTCAATCTTGATACTTGAAAATGTTAGCTTAGATAATTTTCTGAAAAGCAACCATTCTATGATATCACAGATATGCCACACCATTTGGTTTGACATCAGAATATGCTCACCCCGCTGAGATTCTATTCCTGGGTTTTGCTACCATAGTCGGTCCAGCTCTTACTGGCCCTCACCTGATTACTCTCTGGTTATGGATGGTGCTGAGAGTGCTTGAGACAGTTGAGGCACATTGTGGTTATCATTTCCCATGGAGCCTCTCAAATTTTCTTCCTCTGTATGGAGGGTAAGATCACACATCTAGCCAGCTCTCTTGAACTTAAAACTATAAGACATTTGTATTAATGGATTTTTTTTTTCGTGATTTGGTTACAGTGCTGACTTCCATGACTACCATCACCGACTGCTATACACAAAGTCTGGAAACTACTCTTCAACTTTTGTGTATATGGACTGGTGAACCCCTGAACTATTTATTTTCTCTTTGCTTTCGAGAAAAGATCTTAACTAGTTATCCTGATATTAATAGTCCAGTGTATAATTCGTCTCTTGTGTTCGTCAGGATCTTTGGTACTGACAAGGGCTACAGAAGACTGAAGACCCTTAAAGAAAACGGTGACATGAAACAAACGTGAAATTACCAGTTTGGATTGCAGAGTACATTTGTCTTAGAGAGGTCTTATTCTGCAACCTCTCCTTTTCTATAACATTTTGCTTTCAGGTTGGTGTTCTGTCATGTGTCTTAGTTTATTATGTCTGACTAGAATTGCTACTCGTGTGGCATATTTGAACAAACATTTCCTACTTCAACTCAGTGTGTTTAGGTTGGGCAACTGAAACATTTTGTATGGGTAATATCCTTCTCTTATTCTTCTGTACCGAGTAAGGTTAGATGCTGTGCTACCAATTCCTTTGTTCACGAGGTATGCAAACGGGTAAAAAGTTGGCGTTACTCACTGATCCAATACGATCTTAAAAAGAGGCTAGCTTGTGTTGTTTTTCGTTCTCAAAAGATTTATGCATTTCGAGCTGGTCTATCCCTAGGTGTTAAGTCTGGCTGGTCGCTCAAGTTCTCGTGCAGTACGAAGTTTGTATACATCAGTTTATTGTTGGTTTGGATCACCCAATATTAAAAAAAAAAAGATTTGTGCTTGATTTCTAATTTTTGGGTAGGTTGGGATTCAGATGAAAGTTTATCAGCACAAAATTCGCGGCCCAAATGCTTTGGGATTATGGGTTCAGCCTGGTCCATTAAATTATTACATGACAGGTAACTTAATATTGACTTTCCATTTGATCAGTGATCATGTTTAGATAAAACACTCGGATTAGGTCATATTCAGATCTCAATCAATTACCCGACACCGACACGTACGAATGCGCATATAACATATGCATCGTTCCTTGGGTGGGTCACGTCCTTTTTCCGTGGTGTAGGGTTTTCTATCTTTACCTCTTCGACACGTACTCCTTCCTCTTCCCAATTATCTTCTCTTTCTCTTCATTTCCGTGAGATTTTGAATTTCTTCTAACACAAAAAGGCCCACTCATTATAAAGATTAAAGTCTCTATTAGCAAAAGAAAATTCCCGGTGATGTTCTCAAAGATCACCACGCGTACCTGACCTAATTGGTTTTGAATCTTTCGATTAAAAGCCAAACGAATATGTACATACTTTTTTATTAATTGAATTCTGAACTGATTCCACCTAGATAGTGACATCCCGTTTTCTTTTCTTTTTTGTTTGTTCATTACACAAAAAGAAAAAAGGCAAAACAAAAAAAGTGTTCAGAACAAAAAAAAAAAACCAACCATACCCCGGTTTAACCGCTTTCAATAAACTGTGTATGTTTTTAAAAAACTAATGCTTTCTTTTTTTTCTCTCTTTTGGGTTCAAAGATCTGAGCTACCTACGTCCCAAGGAAAAAGAATCACTTTTAAACAAACAAAAAACGGTGGAGTAAGAGTGATGATGAGATTAGTGTCAAGCAACGTGTCTCTTTCTTCTTCTTCTGAGATTAATAACAACGACGCTTACGTTGTCACTACTGTGTTTTGCCAACGCCAGCTTCGTCAGTAATACTGACGCCTCCGTACATGCTTTGTCCGTGATCTCTCCTTTCTTCCCGTTCTTTCTTGACCCCACCACTTTCTCCTCCTCTTCTTTCCCTTCTTCTTCACTCCTCCTCCCCGGAGTTTGTGTTTGAGTTTCTCCTCGCCGTCTTCCATGTCCACTTCTTCTGTTGAGACACATGTGAACCATTGAACACGCCGCCTCGTTTGACACTACGTCCCATAACCCGTCGCTTGCTAGAATCAGAAAGTCATCTTCCTCAGTCCGATCCGTCACGGTCACTTCCGGTTCCGAAGTCACGTACGGTTTTAAATAGTTGTCTCCTATGGCTCGTGACATGGCTAAAACGCCTAAGACTCTTGCACCGTCCCAGTATATCACTCGTCCTCCTGCTTCTTGGATTCGATCCAGCTCATCCGGACGATCCGGCTGCTCATTTCAAACGTAAAACAAGAGTTAAAATCCACTAAACTAAACAAATTAACAAATCAAGAAAGATTTAGAGAAAGAGATAAAGACTGACCTTGTGATCTATGGAAAGAGGCACTGCTTTACCATTCCTACAAAGAACTGCTCTTGAGTCACCACAATTCGCAACAATAATCTTCTCCGGCGTAATGACGGAAACAACTGCGGTGGATCCAACGGCGTCACAGTCAGGAGTTTGAAGCTCACATCTGCAATTAGCACTCATCACAGTTTCACCCCAACGAACAACCTCCTTGTCCAAGCGCGTGAAGCTACGCTCCATCGTCTTCTTCCATTCTTCTTTCTTATCCGAGAGAGCTTCTTCTTGAACTAACTCGTGAAGTCTCTCTTTACACCTCAACGCAACCTACAAAAACGACGCCGTACTGAATCAGGCAAACCCGTAAATAATAAATATTCAAAAATTTCAAATTAGGGCAAAACGGGGTCGTACGTGAGAACAGCCATGGCCGTCGTAAACACCAAAATAATGCCATCTTGTTCGAGAAAACTCCGTTTGTTTCCGTACAAAAGACGGATGAATCGCCACCGCATCTTCCATATCTCTTCTTCTCCCGCACACCGATGCGAAGCCGTATATCGGCCTCATATCCGTCTCTTTAACCGTCGTCTTCTTAGAAGGAATAACTGTAATATCATTAACCGATGAATTTCCATCGGAGACGGAGACGTCACTCTCTTCAAGTGATACACTCTCTTCAGGAGAGCTTTGAGAAGGTGGTGGTGATGATGATGCACAGTTCATAAAATCGTACTCTTCTTGTTTATTTCGCTTGTTATAAATCCCCTGAGATTTCTCCTCCTCCTCCTCTGCCGCCGTCGAAGCCGTGGGATTCATCTCCGACGGAGACATCCTGAATCGCTGAACACCGATCCTCCACTTCCGGCTAGACCACGACGGTCTCGATTCACAAGCAGACGTCTCGTCTTCGTAACAAATATCCGCCATAACTCGATCGTCTCCACTAGGTTTTCAGGTAACAAATCTGTTGATCGTCAAATAATTTCCGATGAAATATATCTCTCCGATTTTTATTTTATTTTTATTACAAAAAGAAGAGTCGAATAGTGTTTTTTCGTTACACGTTACAAAGCGTGCCCATTTATATACCCACGCGCCTACCGCTTCACAAAACATTTTAAAATTCCTTTTTTTTTTTCTCGTTTTCAAATTACTTTTAACTTTGATTTTTCAGATTTTTCTCCCTCCGCCTTCAAAAAATCTTACTCTAACGACGTGACGTATTGGTCTTGTGTCTAAGCTAAATTTAATCTTGACCGTTGATCTGGTCACTATAGTGTCTAAAAATGGACCACGTATGCATCACGATCAGGTGGGAGATATACGTGGACTAATCAAAATGCAACAGACAGGAAAGAGGAAGTTCCTTTCGCGCCACGATTGTGGTCCACTTCTTTTCTCAGGAAGACCTTTTTGTCCAAATTGTCTCTCTGTCTCCCTTAAAGATAAAAGATCTATCTTAATCACGATATTAAATGTTATTATAATTTTAAAGAATCCCATTACGTTAGTTAAATTGTGATTGTAGTTAACCTTAATTTGATCTAAATTAGGTCAATTTTTCAAGACTAACGAATTAATATACTGTACTACAATTAGGTTACACTAGACACGTACGTTAACTTTTCATATAAAATTCTATAGTTTTCTATAGTAACACTTAACATCAAATTACGTAAATGTGTTTTTAAGAAAGAAATTTTACTACAAAACATCTTTTATTTTCCCAAACCATCTTCTGTGTCTATGGACTGAGATTTGTAAAATCTCCAAAGACAACGGTGATATGCATTTGTTTGATTTTGAAAGAGAGAATTGTTTAGTTAAAAGCTTCGTAGGCTGGTTTAGACTCTGTATCGGACACTATTGCAGTTGTTGTCATTTAGAGTAACAACATTGTAATCTTTTATATTGCTAACACAATCCTATGATCCAAGTAAAATCTTTTAAGATGTAATAAAACTTTCTATCATCATAACAAGTGCTTTTGACTATGGTCGCTATGATGTTTTTTTACCAAAATAATGCTTGAAATATTTGTGTCTCGTAGTACGTGTTTAAAAATACTCATTTAGTCGAAGCTGCATTTGTAATCTAATACCAAAATCATTTAGTTGATATATGAAACAAAGTTAAAATCATTTACCTAATTTATGAAACAAATAGTAGGGTTACTAATAATTAGGGCATATATCCTTATTTCTATCCGCATCTCTTATAAATTAATAAATTAATTCGTTGCAGAAGTTCCAATTTTAATTCGGGGAGACCACAAAGATTCTCAGCACTCAAAAACATTGCGTTCCGCATTTGAATAATAGTTAGATTTATAGTACGGATTTAAAGAATTAACTATAACGTATAAGATAACAAATACAATCATAAATTTAAATCCAAATCTGTCTCCATCAAATGGATTTGATATAATTAAGCACGAGATCAACTAGATTTCACGCAACTAAATCTCATCTGTTTAATTACCTGTAAAGCTCTAGTTGAATTCATGATTACCTAAACAATCCTCGGGTAATTAAAAATTGAGGCCTCACTAGTCACTATGAAGTAGAAGAAAGTTAGAAAGAGAAAGCCGTACAGAGGACACGTAATTGTCTTGGAATTAGGAGTTTTGTTAACCGTTATAAAAGCCACAAAACAATTTTTAAAAACAAAACAAAAAGAAGAGAGAAAAAGGCTTTTTGGTGAAGCAGTGGCCCAACCATTTACCTCTACGTTGCTCTTTTGTTCCATTCCGGCGAGTGGGTCTCACCTCCTTTAATTATAAGAGAATTTGAGGGCTCTATTTTTCTCCACCGTACACGTGTTACCATCGTAGCTCTTATACCTGGATATTTACTGACTACTGTTGCAGTGAAGTTAGGTCACTTTGTCTCTTCACGAGTCTGAAGTCTCTCTACTCTCTCTAGTCAACGATGACAAGCTTTAATGTCTCTTTAAAATGCAAAGTGGTGTTGCAAATGTAGACATTGCATAAGATAACATTTTGCTTATAAATGAATAACCGCAAAATCTTTAATTATTTACTTTTATAATCTTACGATATATCAACGATTAATTGATTTAACCATAAATACATGTAGAAATAACATAATCATCGTAACATAATAGCAGTGATGAATTAACAACAACATTTACAGCGCATTATCATTCTCATGTCATTTATAGGCAGTACTCTTCTATAATTCTATTGGATGTTTTCAAGATCTCAAGATCTAAGCTCTCACTTGGCTAGTCTTCTTCATGGAATTCAATACTTCATTAATTACATGCACCCCAATAAAAGCAAACATTAATTGATGTACCACCTACAATTTTTTTTTCATCTTTAATTTGGTTTCACAACACTTGTAATACACACGATGTAGTCGATCTCATTTAAGTGCTACTATAATCATGAATGCTCATGATCTAGCAATAAGGTAAAAGATGAGATTGGGGAAAAGTAAATATAGCATTGTGAATAAGACCATCAGAAACTAAAATAAGATAATTGTGATGAGTGTTACTGATATCTAAACTCATTAAGTTGCAAATGTTGAGGATTAAATGGGGCCTATCGTTCATGTACCCACCGATCCAACCAAAATCACTGTAATTGGAATTGACTCCCAATACTGAAGCTGCTAGAATCATGCATTGGTAGGTGACAAAATCATTCAGTTTCTGTTTTTGGAATATAGCGTATGAGTTATCATGACCTTATTATTAAAATATGATTTGATAAAGATGGTATTATTTTAGTAGAAATATCCAAAGTTTAGTGTGCATGGTGGCATGCACCTCGACCTAGGCTTACGATATATCCATGGTCTTGTACTTACGTGGTTATTTAATTTCTGTTTTTTTTGCGCCACTTCTCGTTTAATTTTAGGTTCTTTGAACTTTTGAAATTAAATTAGAATTTGAAATAAAGTAAAAAAGTAAAGAAACAAACAAATAACCAATTTAATTACATTTATTGCATCGTGACAACTAGTCGTAGTGGTGGAAGGTCAAGAAGTTAATTTTGCTTTCGGACATTATATTACACATTTTGAATAGTTTAATCATAATTCGGGGTATTAATATTTCAAACTAAACCGTTTGGATTATATCATAGTTTATGTTATAACAAGATTGATATGTTTTATGAAAAAAAAACAGTTTCTTTACTTGAAAACGCTAATTAAGTTATAATTCTAGGCTTCTTTTTTGCTGATCGATCTGGAAAGATTCGTCTTAGGTATTTTCTGAAGCTTGAAAGTCTCCTATATACATATACATACATAAGTACGCAAAATACCGGTCCAAAATTATTAGCCATAGCACAAAAATAATAAGAATTATTAACCTATTACTAAAAGATTATAAGATTTTTATTTGTTCGGGATTTAATTCCTTACAAAAATATATTTGCTAAATAAAATTGTACACAAATTATTGTAATCACTCATGAGATGAAATCATCAATTTTGTAATAGAAAAAGTTCAACTTGCGTCCAAAAAATAAACATGCGGTGCATGCCAAAATTGACTACAGAGAAAATGGGCGTATTCATGTATTTTGTGGAAACAGACAGATGATGTTCTGGATCAGGATAAAAGCCCGAATTATTTTCGATGGGATGACAAAATACTACTTTTTATTTTATTTTACATATTTATTTAGTGAAGTGATGTCACGTACTTTGAGCAAAGGAACTGAAAAATCCAAGCAAAATTTAAATCAGAATATTGAAGTTTCCTTCTAAATTTCCAGACGAGAATCCATACCAAACCGGACTTAGACCAAGATGACAATGTTCAAAGTCTGGACACTGAAATTTAGTAATGAAGATGAAACTTTGTTTGTTTTTGGATATTGGTTTTAATCTTGTGGCTGATAGGAGAAGCCATTGACAGAGAGACCACCATCGACACATATGGTCTGACCAGTTATATAAGAAGCTGCAGGCATACATAGAAAAGCCACAAGCGAGGCCACTTCTTCAGGCTCTCCGAAACGCCCCAGCGGCTTTCTTGATATCACCACTTTCTTGAACTCATCATCATACACCTAAGTATAGATAGAAGAGATCAGCAAAGTCAAGAGATCAACAAAAGCAAGAAACAGAGATGAATCTTGGAGATAATGTAGCTTAGTATCTCACAGCTGCAGCCAAAGGAGTTGCAATGACTGCAGGAGCCACAGCATTAGCCCTAATGCCATCCCTAGCCCACTCACATGCCAAATTCCTTGCTAGCTGATTCATTGCCCCTATGATTCACACACACACTTACACATCAAGGCCTTAGATTGTTTCAAAAACCAATTTATGCATTGCATTTACATGTGAAAACTATTGTAAGAAAAAAAACAAAAAAGCTCTGTTAAAAGTCTCAAACAGAGATGTGTTTCTGTTTTCTTGGTGGCAGTATTCAATAATTAGTATATAACCTTTTGTTGCAGAGTAGATGGATCCGACACTAAGCGATACAACTCCAGCAATAGAAGACATGAAAACGATGTTCCCACATCCTGAAGCCTTAAGCAGAGGATGTGCAAGCTGGCTAAGATGGAAAGCAGATTCTAAGTTTGTCGAAATATGAAACGAGAAATCCTCTGCTGTATAATCCACCGTTGGCTTTGACCGAATCGCTCCCACATTGTTTATCTAATTATCACAAGATTACATTAACCAAGATTTTGGATAAATGATAAAGAGTAGAAAAAAGATTAACTTACAAGGATATCGAGCTTGCCACCAAACATTGAAGACACAGTCTGCATTAGCTTTTCTCTATCTGTTCTCAAAGATGCGTCACAGACTGAACCAGTGACTTGAAAACCCTTTTTTTGCCATTTGCTTAAACACTCGTTAAGCTGAGATTCGTCTCTGGCACAAGTATGTATTACTGCACCAAATCCTGCAAATTCCTCTACTATAGCATGCCTATTTGATTCAAGAACTAGCGATTAAAATAAAGTATAATGTTTTCAAGAAACATGGAAAGATTTGGAACTAAATCAAGATTAGATACGAACCCGATGCCTTTGGTTCCACCGGTTACAAGTGCGGTCTTGGCCTTAAGGCTCCATCTTTGGCTTTGCTCTGCTCCAGCCATTGCTCTCCTACGGCTAAAGAGCTCAGATTGAAGTGTTTGATGTGAAAAGAATAAGTGGAGCAGACACAAAGTTGATTGATTTATTAAATCATTAGAGATAAAAGATAAAGAATCATCCATCACTAATTGGAGATAAAAAGGTGAAGATGATGGGCCGGGTCCATCAGGAATATCTCAGACTCAGAGGATCCAAATCTTCCATGACAAATGTATTGTCCATATCAACGTATCTTGAGAGGTGACAATGGAATCCAAATTTTACTCACACAAACAGTACTACCATTCTAACATCTCTGCTTCATATATAAGCTTGAGCTCATTAAATTTTGTCAAAGCTTGACTAAATGTTCATACATCATAGAAGTGTTAATTGTAGAAGTTTTTCTAGGGTTTGAGCCTATGGCTTATAAGAGAAGCCATTAACAGTGAAACCTCCATCGATACAAATGGTTTGTCCTGTTATATAAGAAGCTGCAGGGAGACAAAGGAATGTCACCAACGACGCAACCTCACGTGGCTCACATGCACGTCCTAATGGGGTTCTTGAAAATATAGCTTCCGCAAATTTCTCGTCTTCAAGATACTGATAAGTCCACACGTAAACCAAGATTTAGGTTAATTATAAAGATTTACCAATATGAAAAGCATAGGTTCTTAGAATTACTTTTTGGACAAGAGAAGTTTCAGTGACCCAAGGAGCTACAGAGTTAGCCCTTATGTTGTCACTAGCCCATTCACACGCCAAGTTTTTTGCCAGTTGATTTAAGGCTCCTACATATGAAGAAAGCTTAGATGTGTATATTACATAGTTTCACAGACATACTATTAATCACTAGTCATCAAAATGTGTCATCTATGAACCTTTTGTTGCACCATATATGGAGGATATGCCAGAGACAACCCCCGTTACCGAGGAAATGAACACGATATTCCCATATCCCGAGGCTTTAAGTAACGGATGTGCCAATTGGGAGATATGGTAAGCAGATTCCAAATTGGTAGCCATTAAACTTGAGAAATCTTCAACTGTACATTCTAACGTTGGCTTTAATATGTACTTGCCAACATTGTTTATCTGCATAATGGCAACCAATGACGTTATTAAGATGTTCCAAACGCCAATTTATGCTTTTGTTTTTGCCTTCACAAAAATCAATCAAGACCTAAATGAGAGCATAATAGCAAAAGAAAGCTTGAAGAAAACCTTACAAGAATGTTGAGTTTGGCACCAAATAGAGAAGAAACAGTCTGTATCAATTGCTCTCTCTGAGGTCGAGAGGAAACATCACAGATTGAACCACTGACTTCAAACCCTTTTGCTTGCCATTCACTTAAGCATTCGTTAAGCAGAGTTTGGTCTCTGTCACAAATGTGAACTCTTGCACCAAAGCCTACAAGTTCCTCCACTACCGCAGACCTAAAATCAAGTCTCAGACTCAAATCTTTTTGTTTCAAACTTGCTTTATTCACGTCAAAGAGGAATCAAAAAGCAGAGAAGAAACTCAGAAACAGAGCATTTAAGAGCAAGAAAACGAACCCAATTCCCTTTGCTCCACCGGTTACAAGAGCAGTCATTCCTTGAAGACTCCACCTGTTAATATCCATTGTTGTGACTTGTGTGTGTGACACTTAGTCACTATAGCCACAAATATAATCAGTTAGAGTGATAAGCTTAATGGTTGGTCCGACGTACGAACATGGACCTCTCGTTTTGTCATCACTGGCTTGAAACATGTGGATAACAAAAGTAAATTTTTTTTTTCGTTTTTTTAAAGTAAGGTGAGGTAATTATTTTTCTTAGCCAATGATAGTATTTCTATCAGCTTGTGTGGTTTAGGATTCGATTGTTGGGTGCACGTACTAAGCCTCAGTCTGATCCTAATTATTTGTATTTTAATGAGTTTTTAGATCTCAATAATACTCAGGTTTAGCCGGTTGTTGATTATATACATTTGTTAATTACTTTAAAGTGATGACATGTCTGAGATCAATTATTTTCTTTATGTAACCAAATAGGTATAGATTCTTACTTGCACGTATATTTCCCAAAAACCTTGTCTGGATCTATTTTATTGTATGCTAGTTTGGGAAGTTTAAATCCATCTCTACAAGTTAGCCCTACGACTTATTATCACGATCAGCTTAACTAAGACTTGAACAGTTCAACATTATAGTTTCTTTGAAATTGAATGTCTTAAAGAAGTTTAACAAATGGTCGAGATATTTTCTTTCTTTTCATGAAGCCTATATAGGAGGAGAACAATTCAGACAATCAACTACATAGACACACAGATCAACAAAACAGACTTTTATTTCTTCTTTTTAGTTGCTCATCAATGGCAATTACTTTCAAATCAATAGTTCTATCCATAGTCACCCAATTATGCCTCGTTTCTTGTGTGCCTAAGTCAACAAAACGAAACCAAATTTCTCTACCACGGATTTTTCGAAGCCAATCTACTCAAGTATGGATCCTCCAAGATCCTCCCAAGTGGCATCTTGGAGCTAACAAATAGCTCAAGGAGACAAATGGGTCAAGCCTTCTATGGTTTTCCCATACCCTTCAACAACAGTACTAACTCATCAAACTCGCTTTCTTTCTCCACAAGTTTCGTTTTCTCAATCAACGCACCAGGTCATGGCCTAACCTTTCTCATCTCACCGTCTATGGATTTCACTCAAGCCATGCCGAGCCAGTTTCTCGGTCTCTTCAACACTACAAACAACGGAAACTCCACAAACCGAATTCTCGCAGTCGAATTCGACACAGTAAAGTCCACCGAGTTTCTTGACATCGACGATAACCACGTAGGCATTGACGTTAACGGTTTGGTCTCAGTAGAATCTGCACCGGCTGCATTTTATTCTAACAAGCAAAGCAAGAATATAAGCCTTGAAGCTGTCAAGCAAAGATCCGATCCGGGCTTGGATCGAATACAATGGAGTAGAAAGGCTTCTCAATGTCACATTGGCTCCTCTTGACACGTCTAAACCTAAATTTCCTCTTTTGTCAAGAAAGATGAATCTTTCAGAGATTTTCATGGAGAAAATGTATGTGGGATTCTCAGCATCCACAGGAAACATTACGAGTAGTCATTATGTTATTGGATGGAGCTTTAGCAGAGAAGGGAAAGCACAAGACTTTGATCTCAGTCTACTTCCTTCGATTTCAACACCATCGCCATCTGATTTTGATGACCTTGATCCCATTCCAGATCCTCCTTCGGATTCAGCAACCGTAGAGCCTAACCGCACCATGATGATCATAATCTGCACACTTGCAATCATGATCTTTATGATTTGATTAATGCAAGATGCATAAATGTATTACTTTCTTAATAGTAAAGTTGGATGAGTCATGCCTATTTTTTTTTTTTTTTTGAAAAAGGGTTCAAGTCATGCCAAAGAAAATTGATTGGTTTGTTTTTTTTTTTTCTTTTTCTTTTTTCCAACGACATAAAGATTGGTCTGTTGTTACACAAGTTTTTGCTTGCCAAAGAAAAAATGTTTAAATTTCAGTTCTCAACTCTTTTGCTTCATAAGATTAAGTCATTTAGCTTTAACAGAATGGATCAGGTGAAGTCAACGAGGTGTCACATAAAAACGTAAATAACAAATTTTATTTGTTTTTGTTTATCTATTTAACTTTTTGTAAGAATCTGAAAAAGAGAAAAAGGAAATAAAATCACAATCGTGGAGATGATGGCACGTGTCACTGTTACGACACGATCTGATCCAAACCTATTTATATTCTTCGCTGCTTTTTCTGTCTTGACCGCTCCTCTTCTTTATCGATCTCTCTGATCTCATCTTCTCTGTGTCTTCTGTCTATGCTTCGTCGCCGATCTCGACCAGACTCCGTCTTACCTCCTCCTGCCAAACCCTAGGTGAGCGTAACGAGCTTGGATTGGGGTTTTCTTTGGGGGCAATTTTCTTGGGTAAAGTGTCCTAAAATGTTGCTTCTGATAAACTCAGATTCCCGGAAGACGAAATTCGATTTTTTGCCGGAACTAAATTAAGGAGACTTTGAAAGGCTGAGAAGATGGGTACAACTACGACAACGAGCGCTGTGTATATCCATGTTATCGAGGATGTCGTCAACAAAGTCCGTGAGGAGTTTATTAACAACGGAGGTCCTGGCGAGAGTGTTCTCAGCGAGCTTCAAGGAGTGAGTTTTCAATTAGAGCTGAATAATGATGAAAATTTTATATCTTTAGTGGATTCGATGTTGTGAGTGGCTTTGGATTTGCTCCGTAGCAACTAGGGTTTTTGGGATTTCATCATTTCATCTCCTTTAGTTGGCTTAAATCCATGAATTTTGGAGCTTAATTGGAGCTGTGTTTTGGTCCGAGTAGATTTGGGAGACGAAGATGATGCAAGCTGGAGTCTTGAATGGACCAATAGAGAGGTCATCGGCTCAGAAGCCAACACCGGGAGGTCCATTGACTCATGATTTGAATGTTCCCTATGAAGGTACAGAGAGTATGAGACTCCCACTGCTGAAATGCTCTTTCCTCCGGTAATTAAACTTACACTAGTCTTGAATCTGTAATGATATGAACACATGCTTTGGTGTATCAGTTGGCTTCTTTACATCTTTTCGGCTTTTTTTGTTTTTGTGTTGAGCAGACACCATTGCAGACTCCCCTTCCAACGCCGCTTCCGGGTACTGCTGATAACTCATCCATGTATAACATCCCTACCGGCTCAAGTGATTATCCAACTCCTGGAACTGAGAATGGAGTCAACGTTGATGTTAAAGGAAGACCCAGTCCTTATATGGTGAGCTATGCTTATTAAACATGCTGTTGAAACTATGAAGTGCAACTGCTTTCTAATTGTTTTCATAGAATTTACAGAAGCAAAATTAATTAACTTTGTATTTTGTGGTTTTTCTATTTTACATAAACTGAGAATATGTTTTCTATTGCAGCCACCTCCTTCCCCGTGGGCAAATCCTAGACTTGATGTCAATGTTGGTAAGTACTAGTTTTGCCAGTACGTAATGTCTCAGTTTTTTTTTTTTGGGATAGAAATGTCTGACCTGCTGCCAGCTTATGTGGATGGCCGTGATGAGCCTGAGAGAGGAAACTCTAATCAGCAGTTTACGCAGGTACTTCTACTTAACATCTAATCAAGAATCGTGAGTTTGGCTTTTTCGTTTGGGTTCAAATCTTCTTTGCAACAGTTACGTGATTGGTCTGATTAGTGCTCATCTCAAGTACTTGCCTCATTGTACATATATTTTTAGTCGACAATACCTGAACTATATGTAAAACTTAATATCTTTAATTGGAATACGTCCAGGACTTATTTGTTCCATCCTCTGGGAAACGAAAACGTGATGATTCTTCTGCACATTATCAAAATGGTGGATCTATACCTCAGCAGGATGGTGCAAGCGATACTATCCCTAAGGTGTGTGTGTGTGTAAAACTACTCATTTGCATTTGCATTTGGAGTAGCTCGCATGAGTTTAACAAATTGTACGTAGCTCCCTTCATTTATCATCGAGTAAATATGGGAGAAGATAGGTTTTGACTTCACAACTTTGTGAGTGCCATCCAAAAGAAGATACATGATTACAAAACGGGTTAAGTTGTTTAAAAACAAAAACGCATCTATAAGTCTTTAGAGTATGATGTGGAGCACTGTTCTCAGTGTAATAAGATCTTTCTTCTTTCAAGAATGATGTATTTATTGAAATCTCATGAACATCTGCTGGGAGTACAATTTTTTCAGGCAAACTTTGAATGTACTGCACTCCGGATAACCTATGTTGGCGATAGAAATATCCCACGAGACTTTTATCTGCTCATCATCGAAGATTCCTCAAGTTGATGGGCCAATGCCTGACCCGTATGATGAAATGTTGTCCACACCAAATGTAAGAATGCTTCAGCTTTTCATCGAGTAGTCAGAATTTCTGTGGTTATATACTTCTTCAGCGAGTTTAGAAATCAGTAACCAGAATCTCTTACTAATTGGATCCCTTCTCACCACCTCCCATAGATATTGAACTATATATAAACACGTTTGACTTCTTAGATTACATGAGTGATGAAAGGAATGGTAATCCTCTCATTTAAACTTCATGTTCCATTTGGATTTGCTTTCAAACATGCAACAATTAGTTTTGCTAGTAATTCCATAAATTTCATTTACTGGGTTGCAGATATACAGTTATCAAGTACCCAATGAAGACTTTAATGAAGCCAGAACTCCTGCTCCAAACGGTAATAGAAGCCAAACAAAAATGTTGACAGTGTTTTAGAGCAAGTAAATGCATATCATTTGCTAAATTCCCTCCTTTTTTTGTTAGAGATCCAAACGAGCACGCCTGTTGCTGTACAAAACGATATCGTTGAAGATGATGAAGAGCTTTTGAACGAAGATGACGATGATGACGAGTTGGACGACCTAGAAAGTGGTGAGGATATGAACACGCAACATCTGGTTTTAGCTCAATTTGATAAGGTAATGATGTTCCTGTTTACACAGGTTCCGGATGTGTTTTTTTGCACGTAACTCTAATTACAGTAAGACATGTTTGGTGTTGTAATTAGGTGACTCGCACAAAGAGCAGGTGGAAGTGCAATCTGAAAGACGGGATCATGCATATAAATGATAAGGACATTCTCTTCAACAAAGTAATCTGTGCCTCCCAAATAAGGTTGGAGCTATTCTGGTAACGATAAAATACTAACACAGGCCATGTATACTTTTTCAGGCAACAGGCGAGTTCGACTTCTGATCTTGAAACTAGCGCAATGCTTCTAGAAAAGTCACAGTCCTTCAAATGTCGGATGTCTTTCTTTCTACCTTATGATTTAGACCGACCTCCGAGAGAGAGACATGATTATTTATGTCAAAGTGTACTCTGGTTGGCTTGTTGTACAAAAAGAACAGATTTTTCTGACCGAAGAAGGCTTATCAACTTTGACTTGTTTCATGAGTTTCTATCCTCTTTCAGACAACGGAATTTAACTTTTCAAATTACAATTATATGTCCTCTCTTATTACAGCATCTTGAGAAATGGGTTTGTACAAGACTATTGAAAAGCATTTGGATTCTAAGACAGTAAAGACCATCCTAAATGCTAAAAGCCTAGAAACCCTTACTGTGAATGATCTACAAGCACGAACTTGGTCTGAAACATATTCAAGAGAGCCATCTCGTTGCTATTGTCGGCCTTAGCCGAATATTTTGGCCCTTCCTTGTGGTCCATCGACGGCTGAGATCCGTTCTTTTCAGTAAATCCCACCGGAAACACGCAATTGTCCCCTTCTTTAGAGAGAGAAGAGTGCGGATTTGGAGACGCAAAGAGAGGTGAAAGCAGAGGAATAGCTGTCGTTGCAACCACATCACAAGACTGCTGCAAGAAGGGGTTCTCGGGAACTAGGTCAAGATGCAGAGCCGTGGGTGCTTGCCTCTGCAGCCTAGTTGGTGATCTTGGGGACTCACTTTTCCCAAACATGTTCACACTGTTCTCCATCACCGAGATTCAGACTCAAGATTGAGACAATGAGCATAAAAGCTAGAACGAGAGAGGAAGTTAAAAAGAGTGATGTAAAGAGGACAATAAAAGGGAGAGAGGTTTTGTATGTTGTTGTCAATGAGGGCGCAAAAGGAGGGTTTGGTTATGGTGGAACATGTGGAGGACATAGGAAAGAGCTGTTACTTTGAAACGGTCATTAACTAAACTAATAAAGTTGCCTCCTTTGTTGTTGTTTTCTTCTACTTTCTCTACTCTCTATATGTCGTTGGCTTCGGTTACTTGTGCTTACGATTCTTTGGGTATCTTCTAATGTGATACACTTTTAGTTTCATAAAAGGCCAAAATTAAGGTCAACGTTTTTTTAAGATAATTTTCGATTGTTGAGATCGTTTAAATGCAAGTGAAGGTTTGATTTCACATTTCAGTTTATGGTTTTACTGATTTTATTTATAAAAGAACGAAACCCAATTGAAATTCTATGTAATGTTGTAGAAACATAAAAACGACCCAAAGCAACAATAAAGACGTTGACATTTTTTAGGCCTTTGACCAAAAGTGTAAGATCCACAAAGGGCATAACATAAGTAACCGATACCAACAGAGTGGAGAAAGTAGAACCAAAAGAAGAAAAAAATAAAGGAAGCAACTTTTTTAGTTTAGGTAATGACCGTTTCAAAGTAACTGCCATTTTCTATTTTCCTTCACATGTTCCTTCATACAATTAAAAACTAATGACCGTTTCTTTTGCGCCCTCATTGACGACAACACACAAAACACCTCTCTCCCTTTTATTCTCTCCTCTTCACATCAGTACTCTTTCTGTTTTCCTCTCTTTTATAGGCATTGTCTCAATCTTGAGTCTGAATCTCGGTGATGGAAAAGAGTGTGAACATGTTTGGGAAAAGCGAGTCCCCGAGATCACCGACTAGGCTGCAGAGGCAAGCTCCCTCAGCTCTGAATCTTGACCGTGTTCCCGAGAATCCCTTTGTGCAGCAGTCTTGTGATGCAGTTGCAGGTGCAGCTATTCCTCTGCTTTCACCTCTCTTTGTGTCTCCAAATTCGCACTCTTCTCACTCTAAACAAGGGCACATAAATCCAAATCCACACGCTTCTCCCTCTAGAGAAGGGCACGATTTTACGTTTCCGGCGAGTAATAGTGAGAAGAACGGATCTCAGCCTTCAATGGACCACAAGGAAGGGTGGCAGCATTCGGCTAAGGCCGACCATACTGACCAGATGAGTCTCTTGAATATGTTTCAGACCAAGTTCCTGCTTGTAGATCATTCACAGTGAGGGTTTTAGCATTTATGATGGTCTCTTGATGTTTTTCTTGCTTAACCCATTTCTCAAGATGCTGTAATAAGATATTAGCTAGAAACAATTGTAAGCAAGATCCAGCTTTTGGGAAGTTAATTTTCCATTGCGTAAAAGACAATAGGAATTCATGAAACAAGGTCAAAGTTGATACGCCTTCTTCGACAGGAAAAATCTTTTCTTTTTGTACAACAAGCCAACCAGAGTACACTTTCCCATAAATAATCATGTCTCCCTCGGTCGGTCTTAAATCGTAAGGTAAAAAGAAAGACACTGAACATTTGAAGGACTGTGACTTTTCTAAAAGCATTGCTAGTGTCAAGATCAGAAGTCGAACTCGCCTGTTGCCTGAAAAAGTAGACATGTCGTGTGTTAGTATTTTATCGTTACCAGAATAGCTCCAATCTTAATTGGGAGGCACATATTACTTTGTTGAAGAGAATGTCCTTATCGTTTATATGCATGATCCCGTCTTTCAGATTGCACTTCCACCTGCTCTTTGTGCGAGTCACCTAATTACAACACCAAAAATGTCTTATTGTGATTAGAGTTTCCTGCAGAAAAACACATCCGGAACCTATGTAAACAGGAAAGTCATTACCTTGTCAAATTGAGCTAAAACCAGATGTTGCGTGTTCATATCCTCGCCACTTTCTAGGTCGTCCAACTCGTCATCATCATCATCTTCGTTCAACAGCTCTTCATCATCTTCAACGATATTGTTTTGTACAGTAACAGGAGTGCTTGTTTGGATCTCTAACAAAAAAGAAGAGGGAATTTAGCAGATGATAATCATTTACTTGCTCTAAAACAATCTCCAACACTTTTGATTGGCTTTTCTTACCGTTTGGAAGAGGAGTTCTGGCCTCGTTAAAGTCTTCACTAGGTCCTTGATAACTGTATATCTACAACGCAGTAAATGAAATTCATGGAATTACTAGCAAACCTACTTGGGTGACGGTGTAATAGATGGTATCTCTAGACAAATGTTGCATGTTTGATGGCAAATCCAAATGCAATATCTATGATGGGTAGCGAGGAGGGATCCAATTGTACTAAAGCATAAGAGTTTCCAGTTACTGATTTGTGAGTATGTCAAAGTAAGTATATATCTACTGAAATTTTGACTACTAAATGAAAAGCAGTATTCTTACATTTGGTGTGGATAGCATTTCATCATAAGGGTCAGGCATTGGCCCATCAACTTGAGGAATCTTGGATGATGAGCAGAAGAAGTCTCGTGGGACCTTTCTATCGCCAACAGAGGTTATGCGGAGTGCATAACACTCAAAGTTTGCCTGTAAAATTGTGCTCCAGTCAGGTGTATCACCAAGATGCTAAATACATCTTTCTTGAAAGAAATTATAAGCAAGTGTTACAAATACTTTCATGATTCTGTTTTTATGATGTGAGCTATTCCAAATGCAAATGTGGAGTTCTACACACACACACCTTAGGAATAGTATCGCTTGCACCATCCTGTTGAGGTATAGATCCACCATTTTGATAATGTCCAGAAGAATCGTCACGTTTTCGTTTCCCAGAGGATGGCACAAATAAATCCTGGACATAGTTTGATTAAAGATAATAAGTTCCTTAGTTGAGGTATACTCGGCTTAAACGATATGTACAATGAAGAAGTACTTGAGAAGAGCACTAATCAAATCAATCACGAAGTGTTGCAAGGAAGATATGAAACCAAAACGAAAAAGCCAAATTCGTGGTTTAGATATTAAGAAGAAGTACCTGCGTAAACTGCTGGTTAGAGTTTCCTCTCTCAGGCTCATCACGGCCATCCACATAAGCTAGCAGCAGGTCAGACATTTATATCCCAAACAACAAACTGAGATATTTTTATTTTCACAGAGACATTAAGTACTGGTAAAACTAGTACTTACCAACATTGACATCAAGTCTAGGATTTGCCCACGGAGAAGGCGGTGGCTGCAATAACGAACATAATCTCAGTTTATGTAAATTAGAAGAACCAGTAAGTAAAAAGTCAATTATTTCTGCCTCTGTAAATTTTACGAAACACCGAAATAAGCAGTTGCACTACACAGCTTCACAGTTTAATAAGCACAGCTCACCATATAAGGACTAGGTCTTCCTTTAACATCAAGGTTGACTCCATTCTCAGTTCCAGGAGTTGGATAATCACTTGAGCCGGTAGGAATGTTATACATGGATGAGTTATCAGCAGTACCCGGAAGCGGCGTTGGAAGGGGAGTCTGCAATGGTGTCTGCTCAACACAGAAAAACAAGAAAATAAGGATTTACAGCAAAAACATATCAAGTGGCAAAGAAGCCAATTGATACAGCTAATGCTCAATCACATATTCAAGACTAGTGTGAGTTCACTGTTCACTAACCGGGGGAAAGAGCATTTCAGCAGTGGGAGTCTCGTACTCCTCTGTACCTTCATAAGGAACATTCAGATCATGCGTCAGTGGACCTCCAGGTGTTGGCTTCTGAGCAGATGACCTCTCTATTGGTCCATTTAAGACTCCAGCTTGCATCATCTTCGTCTCCCAAATCTACTCGGACAAAAACACAGCTCCAATTAAGCTCCAAGAATCATGGATTTAAGCCAAGTAAAGGAGATGAAATGATGAATTCCTAAAAACCCTAGTTACTACGGAACAAATCCAAGCCACCCACAACGACGAATCCACTAAAGATATAAAATTTCAATCTTGATTCAGCTCTAATTGAAAACTCACTCCTTGAAGCTCGCTGAGAACACTCTCGCCAGGACCTCCGTTGTTAATAAACTCCTCACGAACTTTGTTGACGACATCCTCGATTACATGAATATACACAGCGCTCGTTGTCGTAGTTGTACCCATCTTCTCAGCCTCTTAAATCTTCTAAATTCAATTTCCGGCGAATGACCAAATTCGTCCTCCGGGAATCTGATTTCATCAGAAGCAACATTTTAAGGAAATTTACCCACGAAATTGCCCAAAACAAAACACAATAAACCAATCCAAGCTCGTTACCCTCACCTAGGGTTTCGGCGGAGGAGATAAGACGGGGTCTGGGAGAGATCGGCCGGCGACGAAGCGTAGACAGAAGACAGAGAGATCAGAGATCGAGAGGAGCGGTCAAGACAGAACAGCAGCGAAGAATATAAATAGGTTTGGATCAGATCGTGTCGCAATAGTGACACGTGCCATCATCTCCGCGATTGTGATTTTATTTCCCAGATTTTATTTTATTTTTTATTTTAAGGTTTCTTCGCGGGATTTTTCTCATCACATGCATAAGACTTTTTATTTCTTAAATATAGGATTAACGAAAATTTAATTCTTTATAATACTACCCTAAAAGTCTCATCGTACTATGATTAAAATCAATTTAATTGTTTAAATATATAGGATTGTAAAACAAGTTATCTCATTAAATAATTACAACGTTAGAATTTTCTTATCAAAAACGTGTTTTGAAAATGAGAAAACATTAAATGTACACATATTCTCTACTTAAATCGTTTCTTATCTCTACATAACATGATTAAATTTAATTTTTAATGTTTTAAGTAGAGTTGTAAAAAGGTTAGTAAACTTCACTCTTTGGGATATCTCTAAATAACTCTTCTTATAAATTAAATTCAAAGAAAAAATAAATTTCTTACAACAAGTGCAACTTGAGTTTAAAGAATTCCAAAGTAGAAACCACCGATTTTAAAACAACTTGAGTTTAAAAAACTCTTCTTAAAGACCATTGACTCCAACACAATGGCAAGATATGCGGATCATTTGTTGCAGCAAAAAACATTTTCGATGAGAGCAAAAATTAAGGTAAATTTGTCACTTTTCTTTCCCAAGAGATAAAGATTCAATGGAACCATGTATGCTAAAAGTGTAAAAATGAAAACTGGATGCTCTTAAGTATTAACTACTTTAAATTAAAGTCAACCTTAAACAGATTTTATAGTATCAATTTTGCAAGTTTGTTGCATCCCCATTTATGTATGTTTCAAAACAATTTTCTATTTTTCCTATATGATCTATTACACAAAATACGTATAATATGTTTTGGGCCCGTATGGGCTTCAACATAAGGTTATACCCAATAATATAGAAAAAGGGTGATAATTCCATTCGCTAAAAAACTAGTGATTTATGATTATTTTTTTTGGGTCAAAAGTGATTTATGATTTATCCCCTTGTTTTAACGTCTAAAAAGATCTTGCCGCAAGGCTAGTTTTCCCTCGATCAAAACGAACAGTCGCCACAAAAAAAATCTGGTTCATACTTAGCCACTTGGTTCCGCAGTCTCCACCGTCAGATTTCCCAAAATATTCACTCTGACAAAATCCAACGTTTCTCTTAAAGCCACGTCATTCTTTTTACCGAACTCGTTTTTTTTTCTCGTAATAAATCTGTGTAATGTTTCTGACACTGTTCACTTTTTCTCTCTTGTACTTTTGTGTTTGGTTTCTCACCTGAGAAGTCTGAGTTTCTTTCTTTCATTTTTTTTTTCGCCTTTTTGTGTATTTTTTTCCTATTAAGAGTTTCTCCGTACGATTTATTTTTTATTTTTTGGCAATAATTGAAAAGGGCTTTTGAATAAATTTGTAACGTGATCACTTATTTTCTGATTAAAATCCAAAATTCTTATGATCATGACATTATCGTCAGTGTCAAAAAGAGACAAAGATCGAGTGGCTCATAACTTTCCATTGGATTCTTCAATATCTCGAAATTTTTTTTCCGCTATAAGATAGAAGATTAATTTTATTTCATGTCAGTAACACGGAACAGTGTCCAAGTACGTACATTCTTATACACAGCATAGTAATTCTAATTTCTATCTTAAACTTTTCTTTAACATATATATTACTATAAATTTCTTTTGGATTCATTGATAGAAAATTTAGGTTAGGCAAGAGGGAATCTTCCTTCTATCAAAGAGACAAAATAAAATAAAAAATTTAAGAAATTAATACTGACACAAGATGCAAAAAGTGAAAAAAAAAAGTTATAGGTACCAAATATAACTCATATCTCTTAAAATGAAAAGATTTCTGTAACCCTTTTAAGAGTTTATACTGTTTTTGTTGGATTTTTCTATTCTAAATGGGTTTTGTGGTGTAGGCAAATTTTATAATCTAATAGCATCATGCAACTTTATTGACCGGATTATTGTCATCATAATTGTAAATCCATGACATTAACTAGACCCCATTAAGATATTGTTTTGAAGTCTAATCACGGCTATAAAAAGAGCATAAACGTTGCAAAATCCATAAGACGACAAATAAATTAGTAAATAAGTATGTTAAAAACACTCAGATCTGTTGACCGAAAACAAAAGAAACCTCAGATCTTTGACCAAATAAATTATCATTGGTTGTTATTATTGAATTTATTTCATTATTTTTGCCAGACAATGAAAGTGACTATTCGATTTAATCCTAACAAAATAATTGTACGTCTCGACACATCGACCCTCCAGATTGTGGCATATAATTTCACTTTTTTAAAACGTTCGATGTTTTCAATTTTTTCTTCATCAGACGACACACTTTTAATTATTTATACCTCTGTATACATGACTCTGTCTTATCAAAATTAATAGTAATATATTATCAAAAGAATCTCTTCTTACAATGTACTAGTATGGAAACTTGTAGCAAACTTAGAGTAGAGAATCAAACTGATCTAATCATGAAAAAAAAAGAATAAAAATGCATGAGATCTATCTACCTAGGAATCATGTTTATGCCAACATACAAGCATAGCCACACACCTTCTCATGATGTAAAACCTTCCCTTCTGTTCTTTGGCCAAGCTACTGTACTTTTGTGTAATTGACCCTTTCTCTTTTTTCGATGAACTTCTGGAGATCGAAGACGAGGAAGAAGAAGGCACTGAGCATTTGGTGGATGAGCTTCGTAAGAATGCAGGAGCTTTTGAGGAGGAAGCACTTGTTGAGAAGCTTCTAGAGAACTTGGATTTAGATGAAGTTGAAGAAGAGGAACACGACGCAGCTAATGCATCCTTTTTCGACAGCTTCCACTTCTCGTCCATGTTTTGTGTTGCAGAAGAGAGAGAAAGAGAGAATGAGCTAGAGCTTCTGACTCAGATGGAGGGTCTCTGGTTTTTTGTTTTACTTTTAGTTTGATTGTGAGTTTGTGGTGATTGAGCTAGAAGGAGAGATGGTGATCTAGAGAGAGATGGAGAGAGAGAAAGGAAAGCAAAGAGAGGGATAGTTCTCTCTGCTTATGTCTATTATATAGTGAGTGCTTCCAAAATACTACTACATACTAAGTGGAAATGATGAAGAACAGAAGAAGGCTAGAGAATGAATTAATTAGTTAAAATGGTACTATTAACTAGCTTGGCTCGTAATGTGCAACTATTATTTAATTAGGACTAATTAGTGTAACTCCTGCACAAAATTTTACACATAATTTAACTTTTTCAAATAACATTAATGATTAAAAGATTACTTTAGTACTAGGAAAAAAATAATAATATAAAGTTCTAAACATATTTTTACACATATTTTTTTTTTCAAAAATAGTAATTATTAGAAAATTACTTTAGTACTAGGAAAAAAACAATAATTTAAACAATATATATTGATACATGAGTTAAAAAAAGATCAAATGAACTTAGCTGTATAAAATAAAGTTGTTTTTATGACAGAAAAGCGAAGTATTTCATTCACTATTTAAATTTGGCCACTGATAGTTTACATGTCATATACAAAATGATATGAAAAATTGTGAGTGTCGATAATTCATTATTTTTTACTATATTATTTGGTCTGAGTTTAATTTAAATTTCGTGTTATAATCATTTTAAACCAGATTTCAACAAACTTTTTAGGTTTCCTTCTTAATCGTTTTCTTATATTTCAGTCCATTGAGTTCTATGAATATTTTGTTTACCAGTATTATGAATTTGATATTTTAATTTGATTACATATGCTTTAAGATAATCCAGTATAGACCGTAAGACGTGGGTAATCCGTAATCGCATATTTTGGTTTTATACAAACACGTTGTTAATATAAATCAACCGTCACATGAGTGAGAGAGTACAATAAATTGAATCAATAAAACTGACATCGTGGGACAGGAGTCACAATGAAATTTGTAGAGGAATACTATTTCTAAAATTGTTTGGTTTAAGAGTTGATCTGAAAAATGCAAGATAATTTTTTTTGGAATCATGCCTACTGCTAAATATATAAGATCCATTTCAAAGAAGAGGGGACACAAGTATCCCATTTAAACACTGTGCCTTGAATAAAACTACTTGTAAATGACAAATTACATCTTTTAGTTAGACGAAAGAAAGTTTTAGACCATATGTATTATCTTTCATTGGTATAGTGGTTGATGTTAAAACAAGAGACATTGTTTCTAATTTGTCTAGAAACGTCTAAAATCAAGGCGCGGGCTTGTCTCTCAAACCATATAATGAATCAGTGGTCTACAATTATAAGAGTTTTTTAAAAAAATTTGAAAACATTAATATCTTTTTGTAAGAGTGTCATTTGGGAGTGTTTGGAGAGAAAGGAGCAGAGAGGGACGGGTAAAGTGTTTCTTACGATAATAATTTGAAATCGGGGCCAAGAGTAGACAGCTTTGGTCTAATAATATTCCACTTGTTTTCTTATCACTCCTGTTTTCAAAAAAAGTCTGGCTTTCTCGAAATTAACTCGCTCCATTTTACACTATATAATTAACACTGTGTCGTACGTTCTACCATTTTTCAATTGGTGAACTTTCATGTTTGTTCATCCTTTAAAATCAGTCACGGTCTAATTTGTGGTGTTGACGTCACCATGCTATTCATAGAGGATCCAACTTTGATATTTTTTTTAGTGAATCCAAAACAAACTAAATAAATCAGATAATCATGTTTTATAATATATGACTACACATTGTTTCATGTTCGGAGGAATGGTAGATTTTGGTGTCGGAATTGCTTGATTTATGAGGGTTAAATGACCATTATTCCGAGTTTGGCTGGTTTATGACTATGGGAGTCGGATTATAATGTTGAAACGGATTTTCGTGTTTGTAAGCATTTATGTGCATGGTTATTAAGGCTTCTATGCACATTGTTTGTTTTCTCTTGCGTTAAACAATCAACTTTTGAAAAATTTACTTAAAAAAGGGACAGAAAAAGTTTCGAAGCTAGATGACTTTAATAAGATTTGTTCATGGAAAAAAATGTCAAAAAAATTATGGCATCCATAATTAAACAAAACTGTTTGACCCCTTCTATTATTGAATTATGGACCGTCGCACTTTTCGTCCGTCGTGGTGAACCGGCTTTTAACAGATTAATCAACAAATAACTGTGTTTTCGACTGAATGAGTGAATGGTACGAAAATTTGCTCTATATGAGATTTTGATCATTACCATTTTGGAACAGTAGTTTAGTAGATTAGATTTGTATAGCACACAACATTAAGCCAGAACTTGACGAATATATCACTTGTTGTGTAACTGATGCCATATAACCACATATACAGCTTTCAGTTATATCATTAGAAAGAAAACAAACAAAGAGGTTATGAAAATTTAAAATGCATCCATGACTACAAAATAATACAAAGACAGACCATTTATACATTAAACAAAGAAAAAAACTTATAATTTCTCCAACCGGACAGCAAAAAAAGAAAAGGAAAGGAATAATACACATCAAAAGTTCAAAACCGAACTGATTCAACACAAAGTTCATACAAACATTGTTGTGCCTATCCTACAGGACTAGTTGACTACATCAAAAAAAAAAAAAGCCGAAACACTTGATATAAATCGTCAAACCTAGCTAGCCTTCCATGGCGTGCACATATATACACACACATAACCGCATTCAAACCCGAACGGGACGATCTAAGCGCATCTAGGTTGCCGTTTGGAGGCTTCCACCACTGAGAAGAACAAGTCTAGATCCGGCGGCTGAAAATATCCCTTCTTCGGTGGTTCCCTCTTCTTTCCAAAGGGTAGTAGCGATCTCTTCCTCCTCACCGGAGGCGGACACGGCGGATATGCTGGTATCCGACATTCATCACGTGTCGGCGTTGTGCATCCCATGTGATAATCATCATCAACGGTCACAGTATCTCCGTCATAATTCTCCTCCATCTTTGTCCACTCTCTCGCACTTTCCTAATAAGAGTACTTAATTTGATTGCTTCTTTATTACACTAGTTGTGGAAGTGGCGTAGCTTGTTCTGGAAGTTGCTAAGTACTTGCGGTCTAGAAACAGACACGTGGAGGAACGTACTGCCACGTGCTAAAGCGTTGTTATATTCAGGTGGGAAAAGTTGCCACACATACCCCACTCGAGTCAAATGCTCGTTTATAATGTGGCTTTGTTAAAACGAGGCCCATTAAGCTAAACAAGGGCCCGAATTTGAGATTTGCAAAATCAAGAACCGGTTGGTTTATAGTTGAGCCAAGCGAGGAGACTAAACCGGTTGAAATAATCCACGGAACAACATATGTTGGAGTCTGAAACGCGTTGATGTCTTGTTTCCCAAGCAGCTCAAAAGTGACATAAATTGCTCTCTCAACAAACTCAATAAAAATCCCAAATTTCGTCCTGGGCTCTTGAATTTTTCTTCAATCACCACATTTTCACTTCTGACTTTGCTCTATCTGAAGCCAAAGCTGCCATCTTTCTCCTCTGGGTTTTGATTAGATCTCCTATTTCGGTTTCTATTATATTATGCGAGCTCACTTTTGATTGTCCTGATTCTCTGACAATGATATTCTCCAAGCTTGGTTCTTCACTCGCTCGATCCTCTCGTTCTAAGGTTCGTTTCGTTGTGATGCTTTTCTTTTTTCCAGACGCTTGCTAATTTCCTAATTTTTGAATATTCCGGTGAAATTAGGGATTGGTGTACGGCGGTGGTGTGCGATCGGCGATTTTAAACCAAGGGAGGCTACGAGCGCCGCAGAATCTTGAGGCGGCCGTCAATCAGGTAGATGGGGGATTAGGGTTTCTGAGGCGGCACTTTGCTTCATTAGCTGCTCGGAAGGGACTAGATACCGGTGATTTAAGCCGCGTTTTCGCTAACCCTAGATTGCGTCGGTTCTTTTCTAGCCAAAGCCCGAAGAAAAAGAGTATGTCTCAAAACCCTAAATTTTTATACGGAGTCAAATTAGTTGTTCATATTAATTTGAGAGATAATTGGAACCCTAAACTGCTTTTCTTTTGCAGATTATGAGAACTACTATCCAAAAGATAGTAAGAAAGCACCCAAGAATGAGCAGAAATCCGAATCCGGAGGTGACTGTTTATGTAACATTCCCTTACTTTTGGATGTCGAATCCATTTGGTGCTTTGCAAAAGAAATTTGAGTAGACTTGTTGATACTTTTGGGATATGTGAAAGTTTGTTTGAAGATTTTAGTAATTGAATATGTATTTGTTGCAATGCAGAGGGTTCAAAGAAGAATGAAAACGAGAATGTTGGGGACATGTTCACCAAGGAATATCAAAATATGTTAATTCCTCTGATGGCCATTGCTTTAATCCTTTCTACTTTCTCTCTTGGTTCCCGAGAACAGCAACAGGCAAGCATGTTTAACTAAACTCTGTTTATCTTGGATTTAATCATCTGTATCATGTTATCTATAGAACTGCAGACGTGGGCATGAGATATGTAAACTGATTTTCCGTGTTATATCTGTTGGTTCAGATTAGTTTCCAGGAGTTCAAAAACAAGCTTCTTGAGCCTGGTCTAGTGGATCACATAGATGTTTCTAATAAATCAGTCGCGAAAGTCTATGTGAGGAGTTCACCGAAAAACCAAACAACGGAAGAAGTTGTTCAAGGTCCTGGTAATGGGGTTCCTGCTAAAAGACGTGGTGGTCAGTATAAGTACTACTTTAATATTGGTAGCGTTGAAACATTTGAGGAGAAACTCGAAGAGGCTCAAGAAGCGATAGGCATTAATTCTCATGACTTTGTTCCTGTCACCTACGTCTCGGAAATGATCTGGTACCAGGAAATGTTGAGGTTTGCACCGACTTTACTTCTCTTGGGTACGCTAATTTATGGGGCAAGACGTATGCAAGGTGGACTGGGAGGTGTAGGCGGACCTGGTGGGAAGGGTGGCCGTGGAATTTTCAACATAGGGAAAGCTCAAATTACGAGAGCAGATAAAAATTCCAAGAATAAGGTTAGCATTTCAATCAGGGTGGAGAAGTAGAAGTACCACCCTCATTTCCCATTCATGATGCTATTGGGATTTACAACTGATCTTTTTTGGTTTTTGCCAGATATATTTTAAAGATGTTGCGGGATGCGAAGAGGCTAAACAAGAAATTATGGAATTTGTGCATTTCCTTCAGAACCCAAAGAAATATGAAGATTTGGGAGCTAAAATCCCAAAAGGTGCACTCTTAGTTGGCCCACCAGGGACCGGAAAGACCCTTCTAGCAAAAGCTACTGCAGGAGAATCAGCTGTACCGTTTCTGTCGATATCTGGTTCAGATTTCATGGAGATGTTTGTTGGTGTTGGACCTTCCAGAGTGAGAAACTTGTTTCAAGAGGCTAGACAATGTGCACCTAGCATAATATTTATTGATGAAATCGATGCGATTGGCCGAGCGAGAGGACGTGGAGGTTTCTCTGGTGGAAATGATGAGCGTGAAAGCACACTTAATCAGCTGCTAGTTGAAATGGATGGATTTGGTACTACTGCTGGAGTTGTCGTCCTTGCTGGGACTAACAGGCCAGATATTCTTGATAAAGCTTTACTACGGCCTGGCCGGTTTGATCGTCAGATAACCATAGATAAACCTGATATTAAAGGCCGTGATCAGATATTCCAGATATACCTGAAGAAGATCAAACTTGATCACGAGCCCTCATATTACTCGCAAAGGCTTGCAGCCCTCACACCCGGATTTGCTGGAGCTGACATTGCGAATGTCTGTAACGAGGCGGCTCTTATTGCTGCCAGACATGAAGGAGCAACAGTTACAATGGCGCACTTTGACTCTGCAATCGATCGTGTTATTGGAGGTCTGGAGAAGAAAAACCGGGTATGTGCTTTCGCCTTATCAACAAATTCAACTGTTTGGCTTATAGCCAGTTTTTTGTATTATTTGATTTGTTCATTTTTGGCAATACTGGAACCTCCTCCTCCATAGGAATGTAGGATAGATCTCAAAAATTTGAAACCCAACAAATTGGTGACGTATCATTATCAGCCAAAGATTTGCATCTTTTTTTCTTCCCAATGGAAACCTGAATGTTCTACAATCTTTTTTGGTGGTTTCTCCATGACCGCAGGTAATAAGCAAGCTGGAGCGCCGTACAGTTGCATATCATGAATCTGGCCACGCGGTTGCTGGGTGGTTCCTGGAACATGCGGAACCATTGCTCAAGGTGACTATTGTTCCTCGTGGCACAGCAGCACTCGGGTTTGCCCAGTATGTTCCAAATGAAAACTTGCTCATGACAAAAGAACAACTCTTTGACATGACTTGTATGACTCTCGGGGGCCGGGCAGCTGAACAGGTAAATCTTTCTATCAACTTTAACTTCGTTTGGTTACTGAAAGTGTTAGAGTGATAAAACCCCAGACAGTTGCAAAAGAACCAAACCAACCCAAAACGTAAAATCATTAGACAAAGCCCAAAGCTTTGCCTATTGTTGGAAACTGGTAAACCCTAAAAAGCTTTCTCTAACATCCTTATGTGAAAATGTAAAGCAAAGCACTCTAGGAAAATGAAATAAAGAAATTGAAACCATAAATTAGGACATAGAAAGGATATATGCTACTTGGTTGGTAGACAGAGATGAGAGTTTGTTGAGTTGTTTCCTCTTACAGAAGTCAAGAACTCATTACGGTTTCAGGTCATAAACTTTCTGTTATTTGTTTTTAAGATGTGAATCCTGTTTTTTTTGGTGGGTCTTGATTGCAGGTATTAATAGGAAGAATATCGACCGGGGCTCAGAACGATCTGGAAAAGGTGACTAAGATGACTTACGCGCAAGTGGCGGTGTACGGATTCAGCGACAAGATAGGATTGCTTTCGTTCCCGCAACGGGAAGACGAGTTCTCCAAGCCGTACAGCAACAGAACCGGTGCGATGATAGACGAAGAGGTCCGAGAATGGGTGGGGAAAGCTTACAAGCGGACGGTTGAGCTGATCGAGGAACACAAAGAGCAAGTGGCTCAGATCGCTGAGCTCTTGCTAGAGAAGGAGGTTCTGCATCAGGATGATCTTACTAAAGTTTTGGGTGAGCGTCCATTTAAGTCGGGTGAGACCACGAATTACGACAGGTTTAAATCTGGATTTGAAGAGACGGAGAAGGAGAGCCAGAAGGAGTCTGTGCCGGTGAAGCCTGTGGAGGATGATGGTGTTCCACCGCTTGAGCCACAGGTGGTTCCGACGTAGATGTTGGAGGCTTGGAGACACCCAAAGTTCACTACTACTCATTGTACATTTAATCCAAGGCAATAACAAAACACGCTTCTGTATCTTCCTCTTTTAACACGGAGGGATTGTTCTTTCTGGAAAAGTATCATTTTTTACTTGATATATAATCTTTTTTCCAACAATTTAAGCTCATCTTAGACACTTGAAAAAACAAATTACATAGACATAAAACACCAAATGAGTTCTTCAGTTTAGATTTGGTTAAAATGTTCCCTACCAAAGATTTAGTCAACTCTTTTTTTCCCTCTGTAAAGTTTTTAGCTTTCAACACAGTAGAAATGTCATTGTATACAGCAAAAGTAAAGAAAATCAAGTACAGCAAACAAATGATACATCAATGACTCCACAAGCTCTGCCTCTAGAACAAAAATAAAACAGAACTTGGGATTTACATGGCAAATCTGTAATGATCACAAAAGCTAAGAAGGGACCCAACAAGACGAAGAAAAGAGGATGCGACCTTTCCAACCTTGTAAGAACCAATTACTATCTTCATCAAGGACAAAGTCTTTATGATAACCCCATTTCTTCATCTTTTCCCTAAAAACCTGCACAAGCTCTGCCTCTACAGGCTTCTGTTTAAATCCAGCCCTAATCATCCTCACTTGCCATTGCTTGTAAGTCTCTGGTCTCTCCACTCTATCTACTCCTTCACACGCTATCACATTCATCACTTCTCTCCCGTAAAACTCCCCTTCGAAATGTATCCTCTCCGGGTTTTCTTTGGACAGAGTTGCACCAAACAAGTCAAAGAGCGCCGAGTAGTGAAACAGGGCTTCTTTGAACCGTGTGGTGAAGAACGGAGCGTTGAAAGATCCGTTAACTGTCGAGCTGAGGAAAACGTCAGGGTTCATGTCTCTGATCAGTTTTAGAAATGCGTCCCTCGGGCAATCCTCTTCGCCTGGAATCACGTCTCGTAGGTTCTTGAATCGGAGCGCAGCATTAACCGCAAGAACTTCGTTTGGTCGGATCTTGAACTCCTCCATCCGGATTGTTTCCCAATTCTTAGACGCAATTGCATTGTATTCGAATGGAATACCAAACCGTTTGCAATACTCTGTCAGTCTTCGACCTGTATCCTGTATTCTTTCGGTTGGACGAAGCCCGTGTTGAGGAATCTCGATGCCGGTAATCCGTAGCTTCCGTAGTCCGGTTTTGATCTTTGATAAGTGCTGTATAAACATCGGCCACTGGAAACCGTAAAGGATCCCGAAATCGATTATATGAAGAACCGAAGCACCCTCGGCAGCATCAAAGATCATCTTGTTGGAGAAGAAATAGATCAAAGTCATAAACGGAGACGCAGACAAGAACACACTATAGGATTTAAGAATCTGTGCAGCTGTTCGTTTCTTGGAGGAAATGGAATCGTAATAACTCTGGATCGTAGTTCCCGTGCTACCTTCAAGACGCGCCTCAAGTGCATTGGCGAAGAAATGAGCTAGTCTCTGTGATGCATCACCAACAGGTGAACACTGCTTCCTTATCTGCCTCAGCAAATCATCAGCTGTAATCTTATCCCCTGCAGAAACAGATTGTGCGCATAGAGTGAGAAGTGTGCGGAAATCAACCGCTCGACTCTTCTTTTTTCCCCGGCCTTTCTTAACCTGAGCTTTGCTTGAACCATTCTCGCCATCTTCGATAATCAGCGGATCATATTCACCATCAAGAAGCAAAACCTTATCAAACATTTCTGTCAATTTCCCATCTTCCTCATTCACTGCAAATTGCTTACTACTCCTAGCTTCCTCTAGATAATCTTCTTCTTCCCGCTCGCGATGATTCTTCCTAGTTCTCGAGACACCAGACCATCCTTTCTCTTGTTTCACCGGAACAACTCTCTCCATCTCAGGCTCAAGGTTGAAGATCCATTGATCAGTATTAGGAAGAAACTTGCTAGCTTCCTCTAGCCCTCTCTTAAACTGCATAACTGATTCTGCATCACTAAACATACTCCTGACAAGAATCTCATTCGCCGGCTGTCCGAATTGCCCGCCTCCACGCAACATGTTTGACCCTGGAAACGACACAACACCAGAATCACCAAGATGATTATCATACAACAACACTTCATTCTCAGCAGAATTAGCAGCTGTTTCGATGCGTACACTAGAATTGCTGCTGTTACTACTACTCCTATAATCACCACTATTACTACTAGTACTAGTAGTAGAAATCGAATTAGGAATAAAAGAGTGAGTTTGCGAGTCGCTGATGACTTGCTGCAACATTTCTTCGGTTTGTCGAAGAGCCAAGGAATCGTAAAACATAGACTGCTTCTCCGTGAGACTCTCTTCCATAAGGAGCTGGTTTACATATTTCAAAAGTGTGTTTTCAGAATCAATCTCATCAGCTGGAGGAGAAAAGTGATGATCTTGATCTGGAACCCAAATTGACGGTTGATGATGATATTGATGATCCATCCGGAGATCAAAATCACTAGACGAAGGAACACCGAATCCAAGATCAGGAATCGAATTTGGTAAGAAACTCACATCGTAATACTCTAAACCGTTGACCACACCTGAGTAATTCGATTCCATCATCCAAAAAAAGAAACTCCTTTTTTTCTTATAAAACCCTAAATTCCTCTGAATTTGCTTCCTCTTTCAAAGAAGACAACTTTACAAAAGATTCAGCAACGAAATCTGAATCAGATGAGAACTCGAGACAACATTGCTTACATCTGAAGAAGAAGAAGAAGAAGTGGGATGATTAAGTGGAAAAGTAGGAGGAGGCATAAAGGCGTGAACTTTATCGATCAATTCGTTAAAAAGAGATAATATAAGGACATGTTGGTGAATAATATTCAAATGGGATTTGGCTATAATTGCTAAACGTGAGAGAAGAAGCAAGTAATCGAGAACTGTAGAGAGACTAGAGGAAGAGGAAGTTTCCCGGGAAACTCGAAAGGGGGACAAGACCAGTCTTGCGATTTGTCCGAGGAGTCAAAACTATCTCTCTTTTGACTTGTCATTTTAGAGTATTATTGGGCTTGTTGGGCCCAGCTTCTTTTTTTTTTTTATGTAGTAGTGATTGTCATGTTAACCACAAAAAGTAATCTTCTTTTTATGACTAGTGGTGGTTCTTTTTAGTAGTGATATTTGTCTCCTAATTCCCCCATTAACTTTGTCTAATCCATATGTTGACCGATTATCGAAACTTACATGATCCATATATGTTTGTTGGATAGCTTATAATTTTGTGTGCTTTAAGAAACTAGTTGCCAAAATTAAAATTGAATATGTCGACGAGTTACTAGGATCTTTATTTTTCTTAATAAACAACAACAAAAGTACTTCTGATTTTAAAATTTGTAATAGTCTTTTATAAATAGCTCGTTATTATTCTCATTTGGGATATGTTAAGACATCTTTTTAATAATAGATGCGGTCAAACCGTACAAACTGTATATACAAATGTGAACCATAGAAGTGATGTTTTTAATTTCCATATGTACAATCTTGGATTCTAAAATATACTAATACAGATTTCTAAATTACATATTCCGGCCACTTTAGATGGTGTCATATATCAAAATTATGAATGTGTACTTGATCAACTCCTGTTTTATGATTATTATTTTGATGTAAAGTCAAAAGTGTTCACATAATAAAATAAATATATTTATTAAATTGATTCCACAAGTTTCAACTTGACAAAAACAAAAGAGTTTCATATGTAAAAACTTGGAGAGCAAGATTAATAAAGGTTCCTGATAGGTGGAGTTGATTATTTGACCAGTACGAATTATTAAAAAAAGGTTGCTGATGAATACTACATCAACAAACAAACGAAAAATGAAAACATAAAAGTGACTTCATAGTCTAATTATTATATAGAACAACGACAATAAATAAACACAAAAAAGTGAAAAGGACCCCTCCAGATCTGATCTCAGTCACAATGTCATTCTGACATATATATTGTGAGATTCTCACCATATATTATTTGTACTAGTAACATGAAGAAATACTTTATTATGTCAGAAAAACTCGAAATTGAGTGGGTGTCACGTTTTTGAGTAACTAAAATTTTTCTGTCTCCAAATAAATATTCAACTCTTTCGGCGTTATAAACAAATCCTAGGATATAATAGTTAGGAAAGTTTATTGGATTGATTATTTCTTTGGTTTTGAAAGTATTGTTTGTTGTTCAATCAATAATTGTAAGACTTTAGTTGAAGACTTGAAGTGATGTAATACTACTGATCATGAAAATATTGTTTGTTTCTATATTTCTGATCATGTCGTCCTAATACATGATTACCTACTTTTTTCATGAGTTTTTTTATTCTTGGTATATAATACGAGATGAATTGAGAGAATCGTGTAAAATTACATGTTACGAACGATGTCACACTCTGTGAGGCTGAATCAGCAATAGAACTTTATAAACAAGACATTGAAAAAAATGTAACTTTTCATTATTTATGCAACAAAAGATTACATGAACATATAGCAAAAGATCATGCAGTGAGTACTATCTCTCTTAGGCTATACTCTTACACACGCTATGTCACAAAGCATAATATAACAACACTCTAGTGTTCAAGAACCCTAACTCTGAACTTAATCCACCCGTGTTGGCCAGAGACTATAAACAGAAAAGCCCTACACAAAACCCAGTAGCTTAGGACGCAAGAAACAACATCTATGAAGACGAAGGAACCCAAACAGATGAAGCATACACGATTCTACCTTTCCAACCTTGAAGCAACCAGTTACTGTTTTGATCAACATCAAAGTTTTTATCGTACCCGTTTTCGATTTTCAACTTCAGATTCTGCATCAGTTCCTTCTCAAGTGGAAGCTGTCTAAATCCGGCTCGGATCAGTCTCGCTTGCCACTGCTTATACGTCTCTGGTCTCTCCACTCTCTCCGTTCCTTCACAAGCCACAACATTCACAATCTCTCTCCCATAAAACTCTTTCTCATACATCAGCCTCATTTCGTCTTCCCTCGCTAGCTTCGAGTCACACATATCAAACACAGCCGAGTAATGAAACAACGCTTCTCTGAACCTCGTGACAAAGAATGGCGCGTTGTAATTCCCGCTTAGGATCGCTGGTATGAAGACATCCGGGTTTACTTTTCTTATCAGATTCAAAACCGCATCTCTCGGGCTGTTTACCAGAACGGTCTCGTCTAGAAGGTTCCTGAAACGGAACAAAGAGTTTACAACCACATACTCTCCTTGTCGAAGCTTTAAATCTTCGACTTTGATCGTTTCCCATTTCTGAGCAATTGCGTTGTACTCAAACGGAACATTGTGTCGCTGACAGTATCGAGCCAAGCGATGACCCGTCTCCTGAACTCCTTCTGCTGGTCTAAAACCACGCTGAGGAAGCTCTATACCGGTAATCCGAAGCTTAGGCGAACCACCAGGTCTGAGCGAGAGGCGATGAATCAGAGCAGGCCACTGAAAACCGTAAGATATCCCGAAATCTATTATGTGGATCGTGTTGGCGTTTGCAGTGAAACGCATCATGCTGTGGTTAGCAAATATGATAGCAGCTTTCTTGAACGGACAGACCGACATGTATGTCTGGTAAGCCTTCAACATGTCTGCTGCAGATGTTTTCTTCGAAGATAAAGCGGTGTAGATCTGTGTACCAGTCCCAGCTAAGCGTGCTTCAAGACTATTTGCAAAATAATGAGCCAATCGCTCTGACCCATTACCTAGAGGCGAAGAATGCTCCCGTATCTGCCGTAGCATTTCGTTGGCGGTTCTACGATCATCCACTGATACAGCTTGTGCACATAACACCAAAAGAGTCCTCAAATCAGCAGTTTCTTTCTTAGAATCGTTACTATGACTAGTAGTAGTTGATTTCTTCCCACGGATCTTTGCTCCATTTGACTGTGCGGTCTCGACTTTGGCGGGTTCTGTTGGAAAATTCTGGTTAAGAATGCAAACGGGTTTCCCAGGGCCACATACCAAGATCTTATCAAACATTTCAGAAAGCTCACTTTCCTCAACATAAACAGCTGATTGCTTGTTACTCCTTTCTTCGACGAAATCTTCATCTTCGTCACGCCAATGGCTTTTCTTTCCAGTCAATCTGTTGGGAGGAGGAGCAGAGCTATGGTGATGATGGTCTGTCTCATCTTTCTTCTCCGTCTTAACTAAAACCTCAGAACCATTTTCCTTGGAACCCGAATTCCTAGGGATGTAACTATCCACATCAATAAAGAGCTGAGAAGATTTAGGAAGGAACTTACTAGCTTCCTCTACCCCTCTCTTGAACTGCAGAGCCAATTCACTATCTTGAAACATATTCGAAACCAAATCATCGCCAAAACCAGACCCGTAAACCGCACTATTACCACCACCACCTGTGACACTGTTGGACCTAGAAGTGGACTGGAAAACAAAATTACTCGGCATAGGTGTATGTAACCAAGGTGGTCTATTCTCCAAACCATCAACACTATAGTGTGAATCAGAGGAAGTAGTGGTAGTGGTGCTAGCGTAATCACTAAAAGCACCACCTGAACAAGAACCGTCAGGGCTATCAGTAGCCAATCTCTCAGGATGGTCCACAGAACCAGAAGAAGAAGAAGGGTATTTCTCACCGAGAGCCTCATAGAGAGATTTCTCAGCAGCTTGAAGAGCCAAGGCGTCATGAAACATACAAGGCTTCTCTTCCATGTCCTCTTCCATAAGAACTTGGCTTATATACTTCAAAACAGAATCAGAGAAATCAGCGTCATCAGATGGAGATGATAACAGATCTCCTGATGCAGCTTCGTTGTTGTTGTAGTTCTGGGAGGGATATGCCTCTGGAGGAGGATCCAAGGATGAGAAATCTAAGTCATCTAAATAGAATCCATTAGCTAAACCTAAGGTTTGGTTTGAGGGAGGCAAATCAAAGTCCTTATTGAAATCGAACTCGTCCATGGATCCATCAGGATAAGAACCCATGGGATCCAACTCCAAAACACCCAAAAATCCAGAGTCGGTAATATCGAATAAAGGTCGAATCTTTCTTTATTCCTGATCAATCACCAAAACCAAAACCAGAGCACTAAAGAAGATGAGAAGAAAAGAGAGTAAGAATTACAAAAGCAGGGAGATTTGAGAGAAGAAAGCGTACCCCTTTGTGGAATCGGCAACAAGATGACAAAGAAGAACCTTGAGTAAGAGGAAAAAGGTCTCTGTGTTACTGTGTACGTGGTGGAGAGAGAGAGAGAGACTACTACAGAGAGAGAGAAGAAGATGAAGCTCAAATAAGAGAAAGATAAGAACTAATTAATTGTTTTACTCTCTCTATAGAGATAATATAAAAGAATATGCCTTTCTTGTTTTTTTCTTTGCTTTTTCTTTTAAATTTTAACTATTTTACTCAGAAATCAGTCGATCAGGCAACTTCTTGGGTCTATCTGATGTCTGAAAAGAATCCTTCCGAATCAAGACAAATTTCAATTTTCACTGTTTACTTTTTACTTTTACTAGGAACTGATATTTATGGTATTATTTTCCTAAAATAATTAGTTATTGTTTATTAACATTATCTTGCTTAAATATAACTATCTTTTATTTTCATTTTATTTCACGTGTTATAGATTTTTTTAAAATTAATTTATTCAATAATGTAAATAATGTTTAATTTTATGATTCTCTCTTTCCAAAACCGGATTATTTTTCCAATCTAGAAAGTACACGAATGAAACAATGTTACTTTCATAGAAAGTCAACGTGCTACATGTGCAAAACTGATTTGATTATTGACTACAGAAAATAGTTATAGATTTATTTAATATTAAATATATAAACAAAAAAATAGTTTATACAAGTCACTCAATGGATTAATCTAAAAAATAGTTTAATACCAAAAAGAAATCAATCTAAAAAATTGTAAGAATTAAAAGGAATATGCACAAAATAACTTGAGATTCAAAAGTCACTCTATGCTTTGATGATCATTATACAAGTCACACTCTATTCTTTCATTTTACTTTTCTTTACCAATTCTTATATTTCAACATTCCTGCTCACTATTTTTTCGTTGACCCGACTAAGAAAATCATTCCAATTGTAAAATTCATTCTCTCCTTTCTAAAAAATCATCTCAACTTTATTATATGCCGGAGAAAGGTTTAGAGATACCAAAGAAAGAAAAAAAAAATTGGAAGAAAAGAAACAGAGCCAAGAAAAACAGAAAACAAAACGAGAATAAATTCTGTTTTGTAAGGTCCGTCTCTTGCGATATATGATTGATGTCGGCCTTCCTTAGTGACGCTTCTACCAAAACTGTGTTGTTGCTTTCGGTTCACAAATGATATATCCCAATCTTTAAAATTACTTAAAGATAATGATATTATAGTAGTCGCTAATAATTGAACAACTTCGACAACAAAGATTATGACAATACTAGGAAGTAGCAAATGACAATTTTTAATACTGTACTTTTAAAGCAACATAAGACAAAGGAAAAAAAAAATAAGAGATCAGATAGATGTGCTAAACTTGGAAACAATTTCACTGTAGCAAATTGTCTTGTTTAACGTATCATTCCTTTTTTTCGCTCTAAGATTTGTATAAAGCTTTTTTCGTCGATTTTATTGCCATATAATCCCACACTATCGCTCCTTAATATCATGAATTTCTTACATTAATTGCACCTTACTTTCACTTGCCACTAAAAGATTGGCCTAATCGTAGCCTCATGAACACATGCAAAAAAAATTACTTCCGTAGCCACATAACAACGATGCTAGCAAAAAAAGATTACTCATAGATAGGTGTCGACTTTTGAGAAAGATGAAATAATGAAAATGACATCTCCAATTATTTCTCTCGATTGAACGATGAGATCCTAAAGAATCTTCCATCTTATTCTCTATTTTTCTATAAGTGTCCAAAAAAGTGTGTTTTAGCCATCGGAAAAAGTCGCATAGCTATTGCCACACAATTTGGAGAAAAAAAAAGAAAAAGAACAAGAAAAGCTATTGCCACAAAAAGCCATAGTAAATAAATTATTGGTACGTATGTTATGTTTCCATTTCCTCTTAGCAACTTTACCTTCTTTTTTTGTCAAGGAATCTTATCAGAATCTCAATTTTGCAAGGGAGCAAAAGGAGGAAACCTCTTATTATAACCAAGCACTGTGACAATTACATCGGACTTCACATATCTTCATCTCTATCTTCTTCTTCTTTACCACAATCCATTCCTTTTTTTTACATTGAATCTTCTCAAATACATGCATAAAACAAATAAACAAACAAACAAAAAAAGTATATATGAATGAAAAAATTCCAGGTTTATCCTGCTAACGTCCATTATCACGTTGCGAGGATAACATTTTTATCCCGGCCTATAGACCAAGACTGGTCTCGAGCTGCTGGGGTCCCTCTAGCAACTGGTGTTTCCCCTGTTGCTGGGACCAGTAGGCATGAGCCGTTAGTACCCGGTCTAAGAGCTCCTGTGGAACTGGCTCACCTCTCCTTTGTTGCGGCGATATTCTTGCTGTGTGCACCAGCGTCTTCCATTTGTCCTAATTTTCACATCAAACCCAAAATTAATTACTTCTTGCACAAGCAACATAGACTTCATTCTCTGTATGGAGAGATTTTTATTTTACCTTCAAATCAACGTAAGTACGGTGCTTAGCATTATCGAAAGCTCGCAATTTTACATCACGCCACCTGCAGATAGATATGCACAACAACATTAGAACTATCTTGGACCAATTATTGATGGAAATTAAGTCGTCGACTTTGGTGAACAAAAAAAATTTAGTTACCTTCCGGTCCCAAGTCTCTCCACAGCTTGAACAAGGGCCTCTACTTCTGCAACTGAAAAAGGTCGACGGATTCTACGCTGTGCCACCTCAGATCGCTTGGTTTTCCGAGGTGGGACTACTGTCAAAGCCTGAGCATGCAGAGGGACAGGAATCAAGGCTCTGGAGTAGATGGTTTTACCCCTATTTGGTGCAGAGGGTTTGGAGTCAAGGTCACTTTCTACAGAATTACTCGGTTTAGCATGCTTCCCTGGTGATGGGAAACACCTAATGACAAACAAGTTTAGGAGAACTTTAGAAACAGAGTTCTTCTCTACACCAAAGAAACAAGAAGTATGGAGTGAGACTGACCTTGTTAGAGTGTGAGGTACATTACATGGACGCGCAAAGTCAGAATCTTCAGGAGAAAGCGGTTTTGTGGATTGTGGAGGATTGGGCTCAAGACAAAACCCTAAATTATCTGAAAGAGTGTCTAGAGAGAGTCCAGTCTGAAGAAGCATTTTACTGTCGTCTCTAACCTTTTTTCCATGAACAAGAACACCTATGCGTAATCCACCTCCAAGTATCGAGGTCACAGCTTCCAAGACTGTCCTCTACCGAAGAGGAAGTAAAATTTTCATCATTATCCAAAAACATGAATGACCCTTTCCAGAAAATTGTAAAGCCAAAAAGCCAAACCTTTAGCGAACCGACAGTAGCGGTCTCTGGAATTTCAATGAAAAGTTCAGGAACTCTAAATGACTTGATTCCAAGTTTCACTAAGCACAGCAATAAAAAAATGAACAGAATCAATACAAAACTATGATTGATAGAAATAACAAAAACCTTAATAGAAATAGATACCGTTAGATTCTCTTGATGATTGGAATGCTGGCTGCTTCTGACAAGCTATGGAAGATAAAAAAGCTGAAGCTGCCAAAAACAAAGTTCAAAGCTAATCACTATATCATCATTATGTGATTTTCGACTTCGAAACTTAAATGACAAGCTTCGGATAATATACCCTTTCGAGGTGAACCAGAAAGGCCTTCATTTTTACTTGTTTCCTCGGATTGTGATGCTGTATAACCATCAAAGTATCTTCTTTTCTTGATTGGATAGTTCCTCTCGGATCTTAAGCTTTTAAGACAATGTTTCTTGCTATAGTAATCAGACTTCAAGTCCAAGTCTAAACATTTTCAGAAAAAAAAAACACATAAGTAAAACATGACATCGTTAAAAGTACATATGACTTTCCCACAAATGGTCCATATGTTCACCTGAATTAGGTACCGTTGTATCTTTCAGCTTTGGAGGGACTTTACAATACTTGGAAGCCAAAACTTTCCTTATTCTTCTATCTCCGATACGCAGAGTTGACCTAAATGATTTTGTTCTGTAACATGCTGGGAAGTTTTCGCCATCATCATTTTCCTTACCGTGTAAATCTATATCATCAGAGCATGCTGAAGGATTTTGGGGAATTGGTTTCCTGAATCCACTACCTATATGATTCTCATCCTTAGCTACAACATTCCTTGATAACTTTGCTTCAAAATTCAGTCCCCCATGCATTGATCTCTTATCGTTAGACTCTGTTCTATAGCAATCACCATTATTGATCTTGGATTCATCATACGCCAATTCGTGAGTTTCAAACTTCTCCGAGGAATCAGAAGTTATACCAGAAGAAGATCCAAAATGGAACTCTTTAAGGGGACTTGGAGATCTGTTAAAGCTTTGCATTTCATGAGATTTTGGAAGAATCTCAGAGACAAAGAAACTCCTTTCAGCATTGTTATCATGATCACAATTAGTAGTCTCTTCTTCCACCATTATATCGCCGCCATTTAGCGGTTCTTTCTTAACTGCACAGTGATCTTCATGATTACCAGCGGTGTTGTTACTTGAGGAAGAAGAATTTCCACCTTCAAGCAACAGTTTTCCAGCTACTGCAGCCAACAAATCGAAAGACGATATTTGATGGTTTTCGCTCTTCTTCTTGAAAGCACTCTTCTAGCAAAACACAAAAAACAACACAGACATATCAGAAGGGAACATTGGAACATATAAAACTTCTAAGAAACACACAGAAAGTTAAGAATCTATGTAGTTACTCTTGGTGATCTAGCAGCTCGAGGTGTGTGAGGCACCTCATAGCCATTGAATCCATAATCGAGCCTCTTTTGCAACACCATGATTCGAAGAACATTTCAGTCATTCAACAAAACGAAGGCATTCTCACGGATTACAAGATCCCTGCAGGAAAACAAATTAGGTTAATGAGTCCAACAATGTATTAGAATCATCCAACAGATCTATAAAAAATTTCTCACGTTGCAATAAAATCTCACATTCTGCATATTTGAATTAGCAGGATATTTCCAATTTCAGAGATCATATTTTGTAAAACCCTAGCTAGAACCCAAGTTATTGAAATTTCCACGATCTAAGCCTCGTTTGATTAATGACCATAAAGTGAAAACAGAGCAAGAATTTAGACAGAAATTTCTAATTACCAAGAATAATAATGAACAATTCTGGTCTTGAAAGTACATTTTCATGAAAAACAAACACAGTTCTGGTTCTGAGAAACCAAATTACAACATCAAAAACCCCTCCAAGAAAACTTAAAACAGGAATCGCTCGTAGATGTGACCGCAATTCCAATTGCAGATCCAAGAAAACTTCAAAAATATCTCACCTTTATGATCTATAAGGAAATGCACTACGATCAGAAGAATCAACAACAGACTGAAATCAGAATGTTTATGATCTTATTTTCTCATCAACCCACATTTTACAGAAAAACGAAAGAAATCAAAAGGCAAAAAAGTTTCTGTTTTATATTTTTTTTGTTGTTTTGAGAAATCGAAAAACCCTTTAATGTGGGAAAAAAGTACGGAAGGAGAGAAGGGCTTAAACCCCTGGTCTTATACGAGTAACACAGAGGACGTGTCTGAAAAAAGAAGAGAGAGCGAATAACCGGCTATAACCAGTAAACCCCACCCTGAAGACCTGTTCTTCTTCTCCCTTCTTGGGTCACCCACCACTGTCTCACGTACTTCCTCCAGATTCGGCCACGTGGTGTCTCTGTCGGATCGTCCGGCTTTTTTTACCACACACAAACTTCGACAAAAACGTTGAGTCACACATGCCGTGTAATGTTTTTTTTCTTTCAGTCCAAGCCATGTCATTCTCCTTTTTATTTTATTTTGTCTTTTTCAGTTTTTCTTCTTCTATTTTATTTTAGGAATCCTTCCCTTATTTTATAAGAAAAAAATCATGTTTGATAAATAAAAAAAATCATTGAGAAACATATTTATTTTCTGGTGCAAATTACTTTAAAACCAACTTTTTCATGCTACTATTAATCTATTCCTATTCGAAACACTTTCATGAATTTCTGATAAATATGAAGTTGTGAAAGCTTTTAACGTTTTTTTTTTTGTTGTGTAATGTAAGTAAAACTATACCACAAGAGAAATACTTTTTTACAATCGAATGTGACTATTCTGAAATGTTTGGAACGGATATTCACACTACAGACTTTAATACAAACATATGGAGTGTATCTTTCAAAGAAAAATATACAGTTGAAAAGATTAACGAGCTGAAGGAGTATCACTGATCAAAGTTATGCTATGTCCCGTGGACTTGGTTGAATTTTCATCTTGGCTCCTTCTCTTACTTAAGTTATATATTTCCAAACACTCATTTAGCTCGTGAGCAACCCGAGTCATGTTTGGTCTCTGTGTGGAAGAAGGGTTAATGCATGACATTGCTAATTCAAGAGCTTTCCAAGATGAACCTGCGTCATAATCTCCATGGAGATTCGGATCCATAATACTTTCAATATCACCATTTGCAAGCATAGACTTAGCCCATTCTCCTATGTAAGACTTATCACGTGATTGTTCAATCACATGTTGACCAGTGATGATTTCAAGTAACACAATTCCAAAGCTATAAACATCACTCTTCTCTGTTAACCAATTCTTTTGATAATATCTGCAAGAAAGTAACTGAAGATGTTATTGTTTGCTAAACACACAAGAAACCAGACTTCTTTTTTGAACTTACTCAGGATCAAGATATCCAAGAGTTCCAGCAACATTTGTTGATACATGAGTTTGACTTCCCACTAGAAAAGATCTCGAAAGTCCGAAATCGGCGAGTTTGGCTTCAAAATGTTGACCTAACAGTATATTGGTGCTTTTCACATCTCTATGAACCATTGGTGGCTTACATCCAATATGCAAATACTCAATTCCTAGTACATCGAAAATTTTCATATATCAATTAATTATCATAAAAATGATGTTTAAAAGAAATATCGACTTAAAAATGAAAGAAGTATAACAATAGGAACTAAAAATTTCCACAAACCTAACGCAGACTCGATAGCTATTTTAAGTCTACTCGACCAGTTCAAGATAGAGCCCCCAAGTTTTCCTGCCAAATATCACCATATAATTAGAAGGTTTGGCTTGGAAAAATATAACTCAAAAGACTTTGTATCATACTATAATGGTTTACCTGAGAGATGTTCCTTTAAGTTCCCATTTTCCATGAACTCGTAGATGAGAGCCAAGTCATTTCCTTCGTCACAGTATCCGACGAGGCTTACTAAATTCACGTGGTGAACTCTTAGAAGTAGTTCGACCTAACAATCAGCGATAATAAAGGGTATAAATCATGACCTCATATGATTGTCTGAAAATTTCGTGGAAAATTGTAATGTAATCAAGTACCTCTGTTTTGAATTCCTTGTAGCCTTGAGTTGATGATTGAGAGAGAACTTTAACGGCTACTTGTTCATTGTTTAGAAAACCATGACAAACAACACCAAAGCCTCCTTTACCGAGAACAACTTGAAAGTTATTAGTCATTTCCTTGACCTCTGAATACGTAAATCTTCTATTTTTCATTTCGAGTGATGGACGTACAACTGCAGAAAATAATTTGATACGGATCCATGAGATTTAACACTTTTGATTTGGAGTATATATCTCTTTTAATTACCTTTGCGAGTTGATTGCTTTCTCTTCCGGAAAATAAAGATGAGAACCAACACAATTATGATAATGGCCACACAAACAAGAGACACAACAATCAACACGACAGGGGATCTGGATCTTGGTTGGCCTGACCCTTGTTGCTTTATATTTGCATCAACACTAAAAAGAATGACAACGTTCTTGAATAAATAAGTTATAAAACGAGAGTGTATAAATATCAATAAGATCATGGCAAAACAGAATCTTACGATAGCTTTAATCCATCCTTCTCTCTATCGAGAAGGGCTTGAGGAACAGAACCACTAAGATTGTTTCCTCTTAAGTTTCTGTGGGATGTGGAGAGACCATTAGCAACTAATGAGGACAACACCAGAAAAGTTGTTAGATAACTTACATGACCAACAACGATTTCATCTTGGCTAGAAATTCAGGCACTTCTCCAGTCAAGTTATTATTCGACAAATCCCTAAAATTTGTCAAGAAATAAATGTTAACCAATTCAACAAAATTTCTTCCTTTTATTCCAATCATGTAGAGACGTACAATTCTCGAAGCTGAGTTAGATTCTGTATGCTAGGTGGTATAACTCCAGTTAATCCGCTTGAAGACAAATCTCTGTTTGCATGACCGGAGACATATCACATAAAGTCATAAAGATACATATTTAACATGCAGATAACAAATGTTAGTTTGAATGTTCTTACAATGCTATGATTCTTGGTGGTGTGGAGACATCAGTAACGTTGCAGCTTACGCCAATCCACGAGAACTGTTTAGGAACACATGGATCTCCTTGCCAGCTGATTCTACTCAATTGATAAGTAGATTGGATTTTCTTGATGGCAATGACTAACCAAAGTATAAAATAACCATTTAAATAAAATGTGTGTTAGGACTTATAAAATACGTCTCATATGCATAAAACATCATATGGTTACATACCATCATCTGTATTCGTCTCTGATTGTGGAAAACGTATGATGGTAAAAATCTCTAAAGCATTCATTAGGGGTGGTACAGTGGACCTAGGCGTTTTTAAGAGCTGCAGATGACATACCCCTCCCTCGCATTTCAGCGGTACAGAGTTGGAGAGAGTATGTGCTTCCAATTTCATAGGACTATAAGCATCGAAATAAACTTTACCATTTGCTACACCTTTGAATTCCCTGGTTTCATTGGCCTTCAACTTTTGGATCTCGGCGAAGTAAAGGTAGCCATACATTTCGTCATCAGAGGTTTCCAGATTCCAGATTATGGTCAATGGCCCACTGGCATTAGTCGGTATGGCTGCAGTCGAAATTACATCACGCGGCGGGGCATAGCCACGGGAAGAATCTTTGATGTTGAGGGTTGTGTTGATTTGAGTCCAGTCCGATTGGAAGTATGGAAGCCAAATACGATCATACACATCTTTGGGGTAACTGCCAGTCAATAATTAACTTTATATCAAGATACCAAAAAAACAAAAAAAACACACATATGGATAAAAGAGTAGTATAGTCTAAAATTATAAAATGTCAGATACCTTATAATTTTTTCGGAAGTGGTAAAATAGAGGTGGACTATACTCTTCAAGGAACCTGTTTTAGCATTATAAATATCATAAGGCAAGGGTCTTAACTCAATGGCTGATATCAATGGTGTGCTTGTCCCTGTCTTAACAAGACATATATCTAAACTGTTAGACCTTGTGATGTGAATGATCTCCTCAGTCGCAGCGAAACCCGATTTTCCAAGATCTAAGGATGTCCAAATATTGGGACCAAGATAAAGGTCAAATCTTGGAGGATTCTTAAGACCATCGTAGTTGCCATATACAAACACGGTCCTGATTATATAGTTCGTGTCTTGCGTGACACTCAGACTATAGCAATTTCTTATTCCATCCGGAAAGTATCTTAAAACCCTGTTTGGCTTCCAGGTAAAGTTTGACTCTGAGCTATTTTGGATATGACCAGTTTTTCCTCCGCGGATGAAACTGGCGTCAGATATGTATGTTAAATTGGTGAATTGTTCGTTGTAAGGAGATTCATTAGAAGGTAACCCACAATCCAAACTGATGAATCCTGGTAAAACCAGATAGGTTAATATCGGATTTTCTTTCTTTTTATATAAACAATCACATATATCAAAAGAATTCATGAAAGAAGTGAAAGACAATAAAAATACCTTGTTGATTTTGAGACATAACAGGATGTATAATGGAGAAAATGGCATAAGCGAGTAACACAAGTTTGTTGCAAGTCTCCATTCTCGACTACTACTCAGTTTTCAATCAAACGAAAACTTAACAAGAACGAAAAAGTCTTGAAACATTAGAAAGTCATCTATCTCTGTTTAATTTATGTACATCTATAAATATTTATACTATTGATCTCTCTTTGAGCACTGCAAATAAAAGTTGGCAATGTCAACTTACTTATGGAAACGTCACCTGCAAATAGAAAACTAGCTAATGTATTTTTCTAATACAAATGACGTAAAAGACTACCAGTCTAAGATATGGAACGAGTAATAATTACTAGGAAGATTGACATGAAAGTTTGAAAAATTCATGTGGCATTCTCAAATTCAGAAAGCACAAATGTCTGTTATAAAAAAATATGCAACCAAGCTATATTGAAATATTATTATACGTGGGGTCAAATCACATTGAGGTAAAATCAAGTGTTTGATATTTTATTTACTTTGACTTTCTTATAATTTTTTGTGGAATATCTGTCAAGAAAATAATTTAATTTGATTTATGGGAAAAAATCGTAACAAATAGCCAATAGGCCATTATTGGATCTTTTATGGCCCATTTTAATTGTCCCTAAAGATATTTCTTTACGCTTGCATACAATAGACCAATAGGCAAAAACTCAAAATTCTTTGCGCAAAATACAGAAGCTAGATGAAACATCCAAATGTCTACACCTTAACATTTATCATAATATCAGGAAATAAGTAATTCATTTTGTGGGGGTTTTAAGATCGTTTTTAAAAAACGAGGACGAATGTTAAAGTTTCAGAAATTTGGAATCAATATATGCAATAAATAATATTTAGGGGCCTAATTTTATAACTGGTGGGCTTAAACATTTGGGGGCCCTAAGCCCACGTTTCAGAGAGATTTAGTTAAACCTATTTCAGTATTCCCTGAGATTAAAATTCGTGGTAGAACAAGAATCACTAAGCTTACACAATTCGATTGAGAAAAAAAATGTAAAACAAAGGAAATCGAAAAGACACAATTTGAGCTAAGTTTGGCAAGATGAAAACAAGGCACTCCACAACACTGTTCGGATATTCTTCTTGTACAATAAAAAACAGAGTAGTTTCAACTTTCAATAGCACAAGGAGAAGCTTTTAAGTATCAACATGCTCACCACCCAAATTGTGCATATAGTCGCTTTCAAATACAAATTATCATTCAAAAAAACCCAACCACTAACGTGCCTTTGGGTTTATTTCAGTGTCTACACTTATGCTCAGTTCCAGAGGACTCCTTAAGTCCACCTCTTGCTGGCTCCTTTGATTTCTCCACTTTTCACATGTGTCCAAACATTCGTTTAGCTCATGAACAACCTGAGACATGTTTGGTCTCTCTTTGGAAGAAAGGTTCACACATGACATTGCTAATTCAAGAACTTTCCATGCAGAACTTGTGTCATAATCTTGATGGAGGTTTGGATCCACTATACTTTCAATATCACCATTTTCGAGTATAGACCTGGTCCATTCCACTATGTTACAATTTTCACGGGATAAATCAATCACAGGTTGGCCACTGATGATTTCCAATAAGACAACCCCAAAGCTATATACATCACTCTTCGTGCTTAACAAGCTGGTTTTGTGGTACCTATAAGAAAAGATTTTAAAGATATGGTTCACAAAGATTTTTCTGAAAGCAAAGAAAGATCGAAGACATGCATGTTTAAATGTACAATGTGATATACATCCTCCACTACTTACTCAGGATCCAGATATCCAAAAGTGCCAGCAACAACCGTAGATTCAGCTTCATTTCCTATTATGAAGGATCTTGAGAGTCCGAAATCCGCAATTTTGGCGTCGAATTCTTCACTCAACAATATATTAGTACTTTTGACATCTCTATGAACTATTTTTGGCTTGCATCCAGTATGCAAATACTCAATTCCTACCATATGTAAAACCTCATATGTTAACTAATTATCATAGATATATGGAGTTTAATTAAGAGAGAATTTAATTTTATCAGCTCAAACTATAACAATATTTCTACACACCTATGGCGGATTCAAGAGCTATTTTAAGTCTTATCGGCCAGCTCAAAACAGAACCACCAGGGTTTCCTGCAATAACAAACCAAGTGGCTTATAATCTTTAAGAAGTTGGTTTAAAAGAGAACCTATTAATTGCTGTATCAAATTTTCATGTGTTTAATTACCTGAGAGATGCTCTTTTAAGTTTCCCTTTCCCATTAACTCGTAGATGAGAGCTAAGCCATTTTCATCATCACAATAACCAATGAGGCTTACTAATTTTTCATGGTGAACTCTCAAAAGTAGTTCCACCTAACAATCAAGGACATAAAAAAAAAAGTGTAACTCATTGATCCATGATCTCAAACATCGACCTACTTGAGTAGAAATTTTTAATACAAATACCTCTGTTTTGAATTCTTTGTAGCCCTGAGCTGATGAATGAGAGAGAACTTTAACAGCTGCTTGTTCATTATTTAGACAACCTTGATAGACAACACCGAACCCTCCTTTACCAAGAACAACTTGAAAGTTATTTGTCATTTCCTTAACGTCAGAGTAAGTAAATCTTCTATTTTTCGACTTGAAGGATGAGCGTCTAACTGCATAGAAAATTTCAACAGAGTTCCATGAGAGTTTACAATACGGGCTTATATTTTTCTATCTGTTATTCTCCATTATGTACCTTTCCCAGCAGGTGGCTTTCTCCTTCTTAAAACAAATATGAGAACTAACACAAGTATGATAATGGCCACCAAAGAAACAGACACCGCAACCGCGGCTGTTGGGAATCTTGTACGGCAAGACACACAAATCATATTTTCGTCAACCCTACAGAATAAATAACATTAGTGGATTACATAGTAAATTAATAAAGATCATCTCAAAAAGAAATCTTACAATAGCTTTAATCCTTCCTTTTTTCTATCAAGAAGGGCTTGAGGAACCAAACCGCTAAGTTTGTTTCCACTTAAGTTTCTGTGAATATATATGTAGAAAAATAAAGATCATCTAGTTAGTATATGTATAACATCCTAATAAAGACGGCTTATTGTGCTTTCAACAACTTACATGACCAACAAAGATTTCATCTTGGCTAGAAATTCAGGCACTTCACCAGTCAAGTTGTTTTGGGACAAGTCCCTGTAGTTACATCAAAAATTGTTAACGAATTTTTTGAATACATCTTCATTTTATTATAGAGATACGTACAGTTCTTGAAGTTGGGTTAGATTTTGTATGCTAGGTGATATAACTCCATTTAATCCACTTGAAGACAAATCTCTGTTTGGATGATCCAAGACATATCACATCAGATACATTAATCAAGGTTTTGCTAACAAGATTGAGTTAGAATGCTCTCACAATTTCACGATTCTTGGTGGTGTGGACAGATCAATTACGTTGCAGCTTAAGCCAGGCCACGAAAATTGTTTAGGGACACATGGATCACCCTGCCAGCTGATTCTGTTCAGTCCATAAGTAGCTTGAATCTTCTTTAGAGCAATGACTGAAACATGGTGGAAAATAGCAAGAATTAACACGTGTAATAAGCTACATGCATAAATATTGTTCAAGCCAACATACCATCATTTTGATTTGTTTCTGATTGTGGAAACTCAATGACCGTGAAAATTTCGAAAGCATTCATCAAAGGTGGAAGAGTCGATCTCGGAGTTTTTATAAGCTGCACACGACAAAATCCTCCCTCGCATGTCAGTGGTACATCGTTGAACATAATCTGTGCTTCAAACTTGGTAGGACGGAAAGGATCGAAACGAACTTTATCATTTGCCACAACTTCGAATTCTCTAGTTTCATTGGCCGGGACGTCCGTGATCTCAGCCGTGTAAATATAACCATAAACTTGGTCAGTAGCCGTCTCCAAATTCCAGGTAAAGGTCATTGGATCACTGGCATTAGCCGGCATGGCGCCGGTCCTAAGTACATCTTGTGGTGGGTCATAGCCATCTATAGAATCAATAACGTGGTGGGTTGTGTTTATATTCGTCCATTCTGGTAATAACAACGGAATCCAAATTCTATCATGCACATCTTGGGGATAACTGCCAAAATCAAAGTATATATTTACTTTACATAAGCTTATAACAAATATTAATACTGTATAATCATGGTTTATACTAGATGACATGAATATCCAACTTTCTGCATGTTTTTTTGGAGATAAGTGTTTCTGCTTCTTTAATTATCTACTTTGGTTAAAAAGGTATAAGGTGAAAATGAGGTACCGTATATAGTTGTTTGAATTGGTGAAATAGAATCGGTTATAACTCCTCAAGGAACCGGTTTGAGCAGTATAAGTATCATATAGAAAGGGTCTCAATTCTATGGAAGATATAATTGGTGTACTCGTCCCTGTCTTGACGAGACATATCTCCAAGATGTTAGACCTTGTGATGTGAATGATCTCCTCGAGAACTCCATCACCTGACTTCCCCATATCTATGGTTGTCCAAATATTAGGACCAAGATAGAGGACGAATCTTGGAGACATGTTAAGCCCGTCATAGTTTCCATATCGGAACATAGCCCTGATTAGATAATTTGTGTCTTGCGTGACATTTATACGGTAACAATTTCGAATTCCATCGGGAAAGTATCTCAAAACCGTATATGGCTTCCTGAGTTTCATAACCAAGTCTTTTTGGACATTACCAGTTTTTCCTCCTTGGATGAAATTGGCATCGGATATGTACGTGAGATTGCTATTTGCTTCGTTGTAAGGAGACTCATTAGAAGGTAATCCACAATCCAAACTGATGAATCCTGGTAAGACCGAAAAGAGAGAGGTATATTTTGTTTTTCTTATATCAAGTTCTATCTCAAAAAAAAACTTAGAATTAATGGTTTATTGCCAAAATTATTGTTAAAAAGAAAAAAAGATGACAAAAAAAAACCTTGTTGATTCTGAGATTGAACAAGAAGTATGATGGATAAAGTGGCACACGCAGCAAACAGAAGCTTGGTGTGAGTCTCCATTTTTGATGATTTCATGGGTTCACAACTAACAAAACCACTACCAAAACTTTCGAAACATAATAAAGCCATGCATATCTATCTGTTTATAATAACGATCTATTTATATTTCTAATACAAATGGAGAAAATTAGTGTTATAAAGCTGCAAATGGAGTTCATTAATCATCGTGGCGTCTAATTATTAAAAAAAAAACTAAATTTTTTTGCCAAGGTTTTATCTAGCGAATAGACTAGAGCGATTAACAGCTAACCACTGATATTAGTGATATAATATCCATATAAAATAAATCAAGACATTAGAGGTTGATTATAAAATAATACGCTAAGTAACCAATTATATATACTCTCTACATTTGAAAAATCTCGATTTTTTTTTTTTTTCACTTTTGCTTAGTATATTCGTGGTTTGATTCTGACACGATCGGTGACTTTGCCATATATGACATCCTTCACACACACGGTATTAACCAATTAGAATCAATCATTTCTAATTCCACTTGTAAACTTTTATTATAAAATTTAAACGTGACACACTTGTTAAGATTCAATAATTCCACTTGAGAAAAGTCTTAGCTTCTTACCATAATTAATCCTATTTGACAAATTATTTCGGATTTTGGTCAGATAATCGGTCTAGATGTTAAAAAAAAAAAAAAAAAATCGGTCTAACACAAATACACGTGGCTTATTGTCATTGGTATAAGCACTTTGACATTTTTCCCGTTACGATCCGTCCCCACCAGCAAGTAAAATTCAATTATTCAATAATTCATCCGTTTTCTATATCCAAAGTTTTGATTTGGCATGTTTTATATTGCAAGTACATTGTTAAGTTCGTAATCCTGTTTTTTTTTTCTTTTTTGAAGAGAGGTAGAAAAATGAAAAACCTCCGTGGACTTTTGTTGGCCTTCCTAATTTTGTCTTTTGGCATTTCCGATTTTCCTCAAGCACAAGATCAACAAGGTACAACTTTTTTTTTGTTTCAGGTTTTCTTCTTTTAACTTTCTAAACATGTTTCCTTCCAAAATCTAGACATCAATTTAGCTAGGAAACTTATTTTTTTCCAAATTATTTCTTGTCTTATCAGGATTCATCAGCTTGGATTGCGGATTGCAAGCCAATGAGTCTCCTTATACTGAACCAATGACAAAATTAACATTCAGATCCGACGCCGATTTCATCAAAAGTGGAAAAAGCGGCAAGATTCAAAATGTTCCGGGTATGGAGTATATAAAGCCATACACGGTTTTGAGATATTTTCCGGATGGAGTACGAAACTGCTATACTCTTAGCGTCGTACAAGACACAAACTATCTGATCGTAGCCATGTTTAATTATGGAAACTACGATAATCTTAATAGACACCCAAAGTTCGATCTTTATCTAGGTCCAAATATATGGACCACCGTCGATTTGCAAAGACATGTAAACGGAACAAGGGCGGAAATCATTCATGTACCAAGGTCAACTTCTTTGCAAATTTGTCTTGTTAAGACGGGAACAACTACGCCGCTAATATCAGCTTTAGAACTACGACCATTGAGAAATGGTACTTATATTCCTCAATCTGGCTCCCTCAAGAAATTGTTCCGCGTCTATTTGACTGATTCCAAAGACATTGTTCGGTAAGCCAACTCCAAACCAATTGGTAATGAATAGATTAATGACTCATATTCTTTATATATTACCGCTAGATCCTTTCTCATTTATGAGTTGAATTACCTAACAACTTTGACATATATGATCTCTTCAGGTACCCAGAAGATGTCCATGATCGTCTTTGGAGTCCATTCTTCATGCCGGAATGGAAATTGCTAAGAACAAGTCTCACAGTCAACACTTCTGATGATAACGGCTATGACATACCAGAAGATGTAGTGGTTACGGCAGCCACACCTGCAAATGTGAGTTCACCATTAACCATTTCTTGGAATTTGGAAACACCTGACGACTTAGTTTATGCATACCTTCACACCGCCGAGATCCAATCCTTAAGGGACAATGATACCAGGGAATTCAACATTAGCGCAGGTCATGATGTTAACTACGGACCTGTTAGTCCTGACGAGTTTCTAGTTGGTACTCTATACAACACATCACCAGTTAAATGTGAAGGAGTGACATGCCATTTGCAACTAATAAGAACTCTGAAATCAACTCTCCCTCCCCTCCTTAATGCTATTGAGGCTTTTATAACACTGGAGTTTCCGCAGTCCGAAACTAATGCAAATGAGGGTATGTCAGTAAAATGTGAGTATATAACTTTGTTGTATACATATATACTTTAAGTGTTTTCATTCTGTTATTTTGTTAGTCATTGCTATCAAGAGCATAGAAAAAAGCTATCAATTAAGTAGAATTAGTTGGCAAGGAGATCCATGTGTTCCTCAACAATTCTTGTGGGATGGTCTTACCTGCGAGTACACCAATATGTCTACACCACCAAGAATTCATTCCTTGTACGTACCATGGCCATTTGTGACATTAACAGTTTTTGTTAAGCTCTGAGTTTCCTAACATCTTACACTTTAAATGTGTGTTATGATCTTACCACCAGAGACTTGTCCTCAAGTGAACTAACTGGAATTATAGTTCCTGAGATCCAAAATCTTACGGAGCTTCAAAAACTGTAAGTGTGTCGTTCTACCTGAACACTCTGTTTTTCAAGGCAAAACATATAATCAATTGATTCATTTTTGCAAATGATAGGGACTTGTCAAATAATAATTTAACAGGTGCAGTACCTGAATTTCTAGCCAAAATGAAATCATTGTTAGTCATGTAAGTTACTTGATGAGCCATGTGAATCACAATGCCAATTTTATTTTCCTAGTCTGTTGATGTTTATTTAACTTCCTGTCATTTTTACCTAGGCAGAAACTTAAGCAAAAACAATCTTAGTGGTTCAGTCCCTCAAGCCCTTCTTGATAAAGTGAAAAATGGGTTGAAATTGAAGTAAGATCTTCTCAATTATATATTTGTCATTCAATAGTTGATTGTCATTGAGATCTGATGTCTTAATTTGTATTATGTCTTCACTAACACTTAATTAGCTTGTTTACAATATTAGCATTGAAGGAAATCCAAACCTTTGTTCTTCCAGTTCATGCAACAAAAAGAAAATTAGCATCATGTTACCAGTTGTTGCATCACTTGCTTCTTTGGCTGCTATAATAGCAATGATCGCTCTGCTTTTTGTTTGTATTAAAAGACGCCCATCGAGCGGAAAAGGTATCTGCAATAAAGTCATCAAACCAGAAACATTAGTGTATGCATACATAATTATATAGTGATTTCTAATTATTTGTGTCTGGTTCTAGGTCCATCACCAAGCCAACAATCAATAGAAACAAAAAAGAGAAGATATACATATGCCGAAGTTCTTGCGATGACAAAGAACTTTGAAAGAGTTTTGGGTAAAGGAGGATTTGGGATGGTCTATCATGGTTATATAAATGGCACCGAGGAAGTAGCGGTTAAGCTACTCTCTCCATCATCAGCTCAAGGCTATAAAGAGTTCAAAACAGAGGTTTTTTGCCACAACTATTAATTTTTTATTCATTTTGTAAGGCTAAGTTTATGTATATTATATTGTAAATATTTGAATAGGTAGAACTTCTTCTAAGGGTTTACCACACAAATCTGGTAAGTCTTGTTGGATATTGTGATGAAAAAGATCACTTGGCCTTGATCTACCAGTACATGGCCAATGGCGATTTGAAAAAACATTTGTCAGGTAACACATGTATATATAACATGATGGAAATGTATTTTGTTGATAACATCTAAGATTATTTGACATCCATGACTATGTTAATACATGCAGGTAGCTCCATTATTAGCTGGGTTGATAGACTAAACATAGCTGTTGATGCCGCGTTAGGTTCGTCATTCCATTTCCTTTTTTACACCCATTTGATCAAACTTTCTATTGATTTACTAAACAAAAATGAATTTTGGAGACAGGGTTGGAGTATTTGCATATTGGTTGCAAACCGCTGATAGTTCATAGAGATGTAAAAAGTTCTAACATACTATTGGACGATCAATTACAAGCCAAGCTTGCAGATTTTGGGCTTTCTAGATCTTTTCCAATTGGAGATGAAACTCATGTGTCTACACGTGTTGCGGGCACATTTGGATATCTTGATCATGAGTAAGTATTTTGACTTCTTCATTTCGTGTACCGGTTAAAACAAATTAGTTATAATAATTTCGACTTGCAGATACTACCAAACAAATAGGTTGTCTGAGAAGAGTGATGTCTACAGTTTTGGTGTTGTACTGCTAGAAATTATCACAAACAAATCCGTTATCGATCATGACCGTGACATACCTCACATAGCAGAATGGGTGAAATTTATGCTTACTAGAGGAGACATTAGCAATATTATGGATCCTAAACTTCAAGGGGTGTATGACTCTGCTTCTGCATGGAAAGCTCTTGAATTAGCAATGACATGCGTGAATCCTTCTTCCTTAAAAAGGCCCAACATGTCTCATGTTGTTCATGAGCTAAAGGAATGTCTGATATCTGAAAACAAGAGGACGGGAGACATAGACACAACGAGATCCATCGACATTAACTTAAGCTTTGGTACAGATTTGAACCCCAAGGCACGTTAGTCTTTACTCTTCACTTTGCAGCATTCATAACAAGCAGATATGTGAACTAACTTATCATTATGTTGATGAATCCTCATGTTACAAAGATCAAAATTAAATGTTTGTCGTAGTGTAATGAGAGATGAACTGTATCAAATCTTACATTAACAGAGACAAAAACTGTACATCTAGATTCCGTAGACAGGACATGATATAGGAACTTAATGTCCTGCAAATGTTTTATCAAAATACAGACACAGGACGTGTTTATACTTCTTCAGACATACAGTGGTGAGGCCGATGGGCGAGGATAAGCAACAACTGTACTGCCCACAGCAGTCTGTCGAGCAAAACCTGCATTTGCTTTTTTGCTGACAACACTGTCACTTCTCCTACGCATCCTTCTCTCTGTCCTATCCATATTTCTCCCTATTGCAGCATTTAAAGACTGAATGTGTTCGAGGTGCGAAACAACCTCGCTCATGTTTGGTCTCAGCTTAATCTCTGTGGTGAGACATCTCAGAGACAGAGTAGCCACTTTACATGCTTCTTCCATAGAGTACTGGTCCTGAAGACGATTATCGATGACTCTGAATATCTTTCTTTTGTTTACGAGGTATGGTTTAGCCCACTCCACAAGGTTCCTCTCTCCAGATGGTCGGTTCTTGTCCACGGCTCGACGACCAGACAACAGCTCCAGAAGGACAACCCCGAAGCTATAGACATCACTCTTTGTTGTTAGATGACCTAAGGACAATGCAAAGTGATCATTCATAAGAAGAAGCCAATTCCGGAAAACAAAGATTTGACCAAAAAGAATCTGACACTTACCGGTTGCAAGGTATTCGGGAGCTGCATATCCGTGTGTACCCATGACCCGTGTAGAGACATGACTTTTATCACCTATTGGACCATCCTTGGCCAACCCAAAATCAGAAAGCTTTGCGTTGTACTCCTGTGATCATGTACCAGAAAGTTTCCATCATAAAGCTTAAAACTTTTGCAGTTATGTCATGGCAATCATATCAAAAATGAGTGAAAGTTTAAATTACCGAGTCAAGAAGGATATTAGAAGTCTTGAAATCTCGGTATATCACTCTTGTTTCGGAACTGTGAAGAAAAGCAAGGCCCTTTGCGGCACCAAGAGCAACTTTCAACCGAAGTTTCCAAGATAACGGTTGGAAGTACAAACCCCCTGTAACACAAGAAAAACAAACCTGAATAATCAGTGAATATTCATAAACGTCATAAAAAGCTTTAAGTTTGACCTCAGCCTGAGATTAGACTCAAGAGGAAGGACAACATACTTCTGAAAAGATGATTCTCCAAGCTACCCCGAGGCATGAACTCGTAAACAAGAAGACGGTGCTCATCCTCTAGGCAATAACCGATCAGTTTCACAAGGTGACGATGAGAAAACTGACCAAGGTAATTCACTTCAGCCTGCAAAATCATCCAAACAGAAAACAATCATTAAGATTAAGAACACAAAAGAACCAAGATTGGCATATATTAACTTATTTATTTAGCATTTTTACCAGCCACTCCTGGTGACCTTGCCAACCATCTTGGTTAAGCTTTTTGACGGCAATAACCAAACCAGTGCCTGGTCTTGAGGCAGTGAGAGACTTCTCATCAATCCATCCTTTGAACACACAACCGAATCCACCTTCACCAAGCACACTGTCTGGTCTGAAATTCCTGGTTGCGGATTTAAGGTCAGCAAAGCTAAAACTCTTGAGGTTTGGAGACTGTAAGATCTCACCCTCAGTTCGAGGGCTTGGTCTTACAGACACAGACGAACCCTTGCTCCCAAGACTTCCAGTATCTTTGGCGTCATACTTCGGACTCGCCCCTAAACCAACCAAACAACAACAAAAAGTATTAGTTTCGTTAGATTAATCCAAATTTTGAAAAAGAGTAGTTATATATTCGAATCCAATTAGACAAAACACCAAAAACCCTAACCTCAGATTGAAAAAATCAAAACTTTAAGGTAATGAAACAACAAATCTAAGTACTTTGCCCTCACAGAATAACAGAGGAATAGAAACCACAACAAGATTCCTAGGAGAAGTCTCATAGTTCATGATAGGAAAAAGCATTATAATTTGAAGTAAATGTGTTTTACCTGAGCTCTCAGCTTTGACCTGAGCACTCAAGCAAATCCCCATGATTGAGTAATTTCAGAGAGAGGGAACCAAATTGGACACGCTTCTGCAATCTTCTCACTATATATCACACTTGAAGATAAGAAAAAGGTAGAAACTTTAAATCAACGGAAGCTGGAAAGATAAGAAAAAAGGTGAGAAAGAAATCAAATTGTTTAAAGGAAAAGATTTGACAACTAGTATCACCCCCAAAAATGTATGCACGCTTTAAAGCATATGACCAAGTTCATCAAATCTCTTTTGCCGATTTAAGTAACCTAACAACTAACAAATGAAGAAAGAAAGACAAATTCTTCTTACTCACCTTTTCTTTTTCGTTTTGTTCTGAGCCAAGAGATAGAGAAGAGAGTGTGTGAAGAAAAGCGTTGTAGTTGGGTGGTAGCATTAATGGCGGATCGGTCCCGCCTTTCTCTGTTTCTCTTTCTATCGCAAAATCAAAAAAATTTCTCTCCTTTTTTATTTATTAACGTTTCGATTTACTTGATGTTGTCTTTTCTCTCAATCGTTTTCGTTTTGGCCTTTTTGGTACTGCAATAGAAGATATGATGATGGTGAAGTCGGAAAAGATTAGGCTTCACAGAAGCGTGTTCAATCGCTCTCAGCCGTTGGATCTGACGTTAACATTGTATCGTAGTTCTCCATGTTAAGCTCCAGCTAGTGGACTTAGGCTTGGCTCGGTTCGGCTCACTTATCGTTAATGAAAAACCGGAGTGTCTTTATTATGTCTACAAGAATTAATGAACTTGTAGCTATGCTAAAAGAAAAAAGAACCATTTATTCATATTTTTCTACATAATTAGTATTCTTTGCATATGTCAAAAAAAGAAAATATTGTATTTCTTGCATGATGGAATGAGACAATGTCCGTGAGTCGTAAGAGCATCTTTCCAGCTAAACCCTACGTACGTTGGTTCATTCATTCACATTATTTTTATAGGATCTTTTTTTTTTGTGTGTGTATCATGCATGGGATACTATCATTGATGGTAAACCTCAACATGTGTGTGGTGGTTCGTTGAAATTTGAATAAAATACAAATCTTAATTCATCGAGAGACCTGGGCCCGTTCTAAACTCATATCGTCCACAAGATTTGAGGTCTCCTCCTTCGTTAAGAATTTACATATATTATTAAATAATCCAGAGAGAAGACCGACAAAGATTGTCATTGACTCGTTGGTTAGTCCTACATCTTTTAAGAAAATTGATTAACGCAACTCCAATTATCTTTCAGATGCTGGTTTATGTATGGGTTTGATAAAGCTCAGGACTTAAAAAAAGACACATATATTCATTGCTGATTTTGCTTTTTTTTTCTTTTAAATTTTGAGCATTGGAAAGTCTATTTGCCTTCCTAATTG